TAGATCCAACCATTTTTCATAGTGAAAGGGTGTATGAGAAAGACTAATAACATGTAATTCCAAATTTTTCAAAATTTGCAAAATCTCGTAGGGGTTAGCCCACAAATATTGGCAAAATTGATAAATTTTGAGGTTTTTCTAAATTAACGATTGGAAGATGTCTAAAGTGAAACCAAATTTATCCAACCATTTTTCATAGTGAAAGGGTGTGTGAGAGACTAATAACATATAATTCCAAATTTTTCAAAATTTGCAAAATCTCGTAGGGGTTAGTCCACAAATATTGGCAAAACTGATAAATTTTGAGGTTTTTCTAAATTAACGATTGGAAGGTGTCTAAAGTGAAACCAAATTTATCCAACCATTTTTCATAGTGAAAGGGTGTGTGAGAAAGACTAATAACATGTAATTCCAAATTTTTCAAAATTTGCAAAATCTCGTAGGGGTTAGCCCACAAATATTGGCAAAACTGATAAATTTTGAGGTTTTTTAAAATTAATGATTGGAAGGTGTCTAAAGTGAAAAAAAAATTATCCAACCATTTTTCATAGTGAAAGGGTGTGTGAGAAAAAATAATACATATTATTCGAAATTTTTCAAAATTTTCAAAAACTCGTAGGGTTAGCCCACAAATATTGACAAAATTGATAAATTTTGAAGTTTTTCTAAATTAATGATTGGAAAGTGTTTAAAGTCAAACCAAATTGATCCAACATTTTTCATAGTGAAAGGGTGTGTGAGAAAGACTAATAACATATTATTCCAAATTTTTCAAAATTTGCAAAAACTCGTAGGGTTAGCCCACAAATATTGGCAAAATTGATAATTTTGAGGTTTTTCTAAATTAATGATTGGAATGTGTCTAAAGTGAAATTAAATTGATCCAAACATTTTTCATAGTGATAGAGTATGTGAGAAAGACTAATAACATATTATTCCATTTTTAAAAAAAAATTGCAAAAACTCGTAGGTGTTAGCCCACAAATATTGGCAAAATTGATAAATTTTGAGATTTTTCTAAATTAATGATTGGAAGTGTCTAAAGTGAAACCAAATTGATCCAATCATTTTTCATAGTGAAAAAGTATGTGAGAAAGACTAATAACATATTATTCCAAAATTTTAAAATTTGGAAAAACTCGTAGCTATTAGCCCACAAATATTGGCAAAATTGATAAATTTTGAGGTTTTTCTAAATTAATGATTGGAAGGTGTCTAAAGTGAAACCAAATTGATCCAACCATTTTTCATAGTGAAAGAGTATGTGAGAAACACTAATAACATATTATTCCAAATTTTTCAAAATTTGTAAAAACTCGTAATTGTTAGCCCACAAATATTGGCAAAATTGATAAATTTTAAGATTTTTCTAAATTAATGATTGGAAGGTGTCTAAAGTGTAACCAAATTGATTCAATCATTTCTCATAGTGAAAGAGTATGTGAGAAATACTAATAACATATTATTCCAATTTTTTAAAAATTTGCAAAAACTCGTAGGTGTTAGCCCACAAATATTGGTAAAATTGATAAATTTTGAGGTTTTTCTAAATTAACGATTGGAAGGTGTCTATAGTGAAACCAAATTGATTCAATCATTTTTCATAGTGAAAAAGTATGTGAGAAAGACTAATAACATAATATTCCAAATTTTTCAAAATTTGCAAAAACTCGTAGTGTTAGCCCACAAATATTGGCAAAATTGATAAATTTTGAGGTTTTTCTAAATTAATGATTGGAATGCGTCTAAAGTGAAACCAAATTGATCCATCAATTTTTCATAGTGAAAAAGTATGTGAGAAATACTAATAACATAATATTCCAAATTTTTCAGAATTTGCAAAAATTTGTAGGTGTTAGCCCACAAATATTAGCAAAATTGATAAATTTCGAGGTTTTTCTATATTAATGATTGAAAGGTGTCTAAAGTGAAACCAAATTGATCCATCAACTTTTCATAGTGAAAAAGTATGTGAGAAATACTAATAACATAATATTCCAAATTTTTCAAAATTTGCAAAAACTTGTAGGTGTTAGCCCACAAATATTAGCAAAATTGATAAATTTCGAGGTTTTTCTATATTAATGATTGAAAGGTGTCTAAAGTGAAACCAAATTGATCCAACCATTTTTCATAGTGAAGGAGTATGTGAGAAAGACTAATAACATATTATTTCATTTTTTTCAAAATTTGCAAAAACTTGTAGGTATTATCCAACAAATATTGGCAAAATTTATAAATTTTGAGGTTTTTAATGATTGAAAGATAGGTATATTGTAAAGTAAAAATAAATTGAGCCTTTTGAGTTTTGACACTTGTGGAGACCATATCTTTTGCTATGAATTAGTACTTGTTTGAACCAACCCCATAAATTTTCTCATGTATCATCATAAGCCCAACATATTTAAGTCATAACTGAAAGCCCATATTTACATCAACGCATTATACCAACTCCCAGCTCCATCCATATCTCACAGGCTCGCAGTCATGACTAGCAGTCGAATTTGTTCCCCCCATCTTAAATATACCTTTCTCGATTATTATATGCAAATTTATCAGATATCTAAGGACTATCGAAAGTCCTTTCCGTCCATATATACGAATTGTATTGTCCACTGAAATATACCTTTCATACTGACGTACAGACATATATTTTCATATTGTCTCGATCATTTCATATACACCCTTCACTGGTAGATTCTCTAAATATGTTCGAAAACATATGTTTAATACACGCATGCATGATGCATCCATATTGTTGCGATTAGTTCATATACTGATATACATCTACACCGGTACATTCTCTTAGATATGTTTTTTTTCTTCTTTTAAGATCCTCTTAAATATGTTCTCTATACTTCTTTAGACAAAAAATATAAATGTTCTCTATAGTACATATATATAATATATTCAATCTACATGATTTGCAAAACGAATAAGATGAGATTGTATGTACGTAACGTAAGTCAACTTCCATGTATAGGCCAAAAAATCATAATTGTGTCTACTGATTGTATATTGACCCGTAAACAGTGTCCTATATTTGTTTTTGAATCGCGGTTAATAGAAACCATTTGAATTTTTTGCGGTACACTAATGTTTAGTTATTAACAAAAATTAACAATATGGATTGAGCCATCGACTTTAGCTAAAGGTAATTTTTATGTTGATAATATCATATCTTCACTTGATATTCCCATTCTAAAATTTGATATTATCAATTAGCTGCTCTTTTTCCTTGATAAACAACGTCCGTCGATTGTGGGAGCCGAATTAACTAAACAATGGCATATTCCTAATTACTGCTCAGTATTCTTTTTGGGATATAATTGCAATCAATGGCTTATATCTTAGAGCGTACGGCATAAAGGCAATAAAGCATCTTAATCAATTAAAGAAACAGTGAAAACTATATTCTTCAGTCTTCGAAATTAATATTCGTTTCTTTATTTTATTTTTTATCATGCTTCTCCGTGGAGCTAATGTACTCTACAGTCTACTATACAACGACGAGGAGGGACTTATTAGAAGATTAGGAACATAACACTAGTAAATATGATATTTTCGTATTCTTTTTGTAATATCTTATGCTTCCAAGGTTTTTTTTTTGGTTACCAGTATACCAACAATAACAATAGAAACATGATCGTTTGATTAGGGGTCAAGCAAAAGTCGTCCAATAACACACTTTTACAGAGAATCTATGAAAACTGAAAGTAAGTGGAACCCACATCGATCGAGTCGCTGAGATCCAATCGTTACACACGCGTAGCTTTCACCTGGGATCCACCATCGATCAAATCGTTACACACGACATATAAAAGACGACCTAAATTATCTATCAATACCATCCGTTTAGATTTGGCTCGTATAGTTATTGGAACGAAGATCAACTTCAAAACTAAACAACACTAGTCTTAAAAAGAAACTGTTACATGAAGAAGAATAGGAAATTTGGGGTGAGAAGTGCATGTAGATAATAAATATGAGTTAAACTCCGCCGAGGCCTATAGTCGTTAACTAGCATAACTTGTATGATACCACAATTCCGGCGCATCATCGTCCAATAAACGCTGACAACCAAAATATGTGTTTCTCACATTTGTGTACACATGACACTTTAAAGTTTGTTTGATTAACATTTGATTTATTTATGCCCATTTTTTTTTTCCTTCTAATTGTCATGCTTCCAAAAATCAATTGTTAGTATTAGCGGTCCAGCGAAATCCGTCCAATTACAACACTTTTGCAGAGAATCTATTGAAACTGAAAAAGAGTGGGGCCCACTTCGATCGAGATCGATCCAATCCTTGCACACGCGTACCTTCTACCTGGGACCCACCATCAAGTTGTTTGATTTATATGTATCTGAAAGTTTCAACTCTCTAATTAAAAATTTATTCTGCCTAATCGGCTATCTTTAGCTAAATCTGGTAACATATTTACTATTATCTGGAAAATAAATTAATTTCTTTTTGGGGTCAAGGAAAATAATAACTCAAAATTTTATACGAATTTTAGTAGACTTGATAAATTATTCTGCAAAACTGCCCTACCAATTGTACTTTGGATTGGATCATACTCCTATGTATCTTGATAATAAAAACAAAAGCTGAGAAAGAATAGCCAAGACAAAAACAAAAGTAAAATCGCCTTTAAGTGCACTTTGAGGACCAAGAAGACACACACTCCGTCTTGTCAGTCACAACCTTTGAACTTCCTCTTTTAGAGATCTCTCACTTTTTCGTTTTCTCCTTACACTTGCTTATTTCTATTTTTTTTTTAATCTTGTTTCTTTTTTTTAGTTTTTCTGAGATTACGAGGTTAGTACGAATAAACCCTTTTCATTGGCTTTAAAATTAATTTTATCCCTAACTAAGTCCACAATTTAACTAATCCTCTCCCCTAAAAATCCGCATCTCTTATATAAATACGCATCGTTGCTCTCGCCTTATCACAGTTAAACACTAACAAAGCGATTATTAGGAAGAGAGACGGCGATGGCGGCTCCACCATCTGGACAACCTCAATTCATTTCTAGTTCCGGCGGTAACAGAAGCTTATCCAGCTCTCCACTCATCGACAACTCAGATTCCAATCAGATTATTGTCCCTGAGGTTTGCGTTTCTTGCTGATTTTTTATATTCTTTTTTTTTTTGGCTCAAAAATCTTGAAAAATATCTGTTTTCGTTTTTCCTCATGTGTTCGTTTAATTAACCGAATTTATCAAATCCAGTAATAGTTTCCCGGTCAGCAGACTTAGCTTAAAAACACAGAGAATCTTGTTTTTTTTTCTTGTATCTCTTGATTAGAAAATGGCAGAATTTGTTTGATCAATTAACTTTGTTTGATTTCTTTATATACATGCAGAAGAAGAGCTGGAAGAATTTCTTTGCTTACTTAGGACCTGGTTTTCTTGTTTCAATTGCTTATATTGATCCTGGAAACTGTAAGATCACCACTTTAATTTGACATATTTATATAATTTTCTGTAAAATTTTGATGACTAATGCTCTTTCTTCTTCTTTTCTAGTTGAGACTGATTTGCAAGCCGGAGCAACATACAAGTATGAGGTGTGTTCTAACTCTCTGTTACTTGTCTTTAGCTTATTGTTACATATTTTAAAAAATACTGATTTTATTTGTGAAAACAGTTACTTTGGATCATATTGGTTGCTTCCTGTGCGGCTTTGGTGATTCAATCTCTGGCTGCAAATCTTGGTGTTGTCACAGGTTAACCCCTTTAACAACAACAAAAAGTCACTCTTTAATTCCTAGTTTTTTGTTTATACAACAAGTTTGCTGAATTGGTCTAATATGAAAACAGGAAAGCACTTAGCTGAGCATTGTAGAGCTGAATACTCCAAAGTTCCAAACTTTATGTTATGGGTCCTTGCAGAAATAGCAGTAGTGGCTTGTGACATCCCAGAAGGCATTTATCTCTTTTAACTTTGTGTGATTCAAAACTTTTCATTAATCTCTCTGTTAATGCTAATTGCCATAATGTTTTTTTCTTATATAGTAATCGGAACAGCTTTTGCTCTCAACATGCTCTTTAGCATACCGATTTGGATTGGTGTTCTTCTCACAGGCTTAAGTACACTGATGCTTCTTGCACTTCAACAATATGGGGTATTATTTTTTGACAGTTTCATCATCTGTTTATCATTCACATGGCTGTGTATGGTCGATTCTTATGATGTTTTTGTTCTTGTTTGGGGATGATTTACAGGTGAGGAAGTTGGAGTTCTTGATTGCATTTCTTGTGTTCACCATTGCTATATGCTTCTTCATTGAGCTCCATTACTCAAAGCCGGATCCAAAAGAAGTGCTGCATGGTCTCTTTGTTCCTCAGCTTAAAGGAAATGGTGCAACTGGTCTTGCTATCTCTTTGCTCGGTGCCATGGTTATGCCGTAAGCTCTTTCTATCTCTCTCTCTCTTCCATCATAAGATTCTTATGAGACTGTTTCTTTTCCACAGCCACAATCTCTTCCTCCACTCGGCATTGGTTCTATCAAGAAAGATCCCACGTTCAGCTACTGGCATCAAGGAAGCTTGCAGGTTTTACTTGATAGAGAGCGGTTTGGCTCTAATGGTGGCCTTTCTCATAAACGTCTCTGTGATATCAGTAAGTGGAGCTGTTTGTAATGCCCCAGACTTAAGCGCCGGAGATCGAGCTAGTTGTGAAGATTTGGACTTAAACAAGGCTTCGTTTCTTCTACGTGTAAGCTGCTCCACTTGGTTTGCTGCTCTGCTTTTGTTTCTTTCTTATAATGTTTTCAAAACATTAAAGCTTTTGTTTTTTGTTGCTTCCTCTGTTTTCAAACAGAACGTTGTTGGAAAATGGAGCTCAAAGGTATTCGCAATCGCACTTCTTGCTTCCGGTCAAAGCTCAACGATAACCGGAACTTACGCTGGACAATACGTAATGCAAGGGTTTCTTAACCTAACACTCGAGCCATGGCTCAGAAACTTCTTAACAAGGTGCTTAGCTATAATCCCGAGTCTGATCGTTGCTCTCATTGGTGGTTCAGCTGGAGCCGGAAAGTTAATCATCATTGCCTCGGTAACACTATCACTCCCATCTCGAATCATATATATTGACTTACTACACCAAAACCTAATCATCTGTTGAATACTTCTTGAACAGATGATCTTATCCTTTGAGCTCCCATTTGCGCTTGTTCCTCTTCTCAAGTTCACTAGCTGCAAAACCAAGATGGGTTCACACGTCAACCCAATTGCGGTATGAAACAGTCAAACACATTTTCAGTTAACCAAAGAGACAAGACCTCTGACTTCGTATGTTTTTGTTTTTTTTCTTAACAGATTTCAGCTTTGACTTGGGTCATTGGTGGTTTAATCATGGGAATAAACATATACTATATAGTAAGCAGTTTCATTAAATTGCTTATCAATAGTCACATGAAGCTTGGCCTTGTCGTCTTCTGTGGAATTCTTGGGTTCTTGGGGATTGCGATCTACTTGGGTTCTATAGCTTACCTTGTCTTCCGGAAAAACAGAAAAGCCACTCATCTTCTTGCTTCAACAAACTCACAAACTGTGGAGACACTTCCAAGACAAGACATTGTGGACATGCAGTTACATGGTAGAGTGTCTACATCCGATGTTAATTAAAAATAAAAAAGCTTAGGATTCCGATGAAAGAGTTATTAGAATTGGTTTTGTGTTGCTTTTGTTTTTTTTAATCAGATTCTCTTAGGTTTATATAAGGAACAACTTTTACAATAAACATCGGATAGTAAAATGATTGCTTCCATAATCATATCATACATATGAGTGACATCTTCTCGATTACAACAAAAAGAAAGAAAAAAAACAATCAGCTATATATATTAATAATTCAAGATTAAACAAATAACTTAGTCAAATCAAACGTATTACTTTAAAAATAAAGCTTTTTATGTGGGTATGATCAGAATCTATGGTTTTATCGTGTTCTAAGATTCGATTACGACGTTGTTTTGGTTCGAATCTTGAGGAAGAGGAAGATGACCTTTCTCTTGCAAGCTCTTGACGGATTCGTAGAGAGATTGCTTGATTGGTTTAAATTCCAAGCCTAAGTCCTTAATCTTTTTAGTAGTGAACTTGTATGGCTTAGCTCTTGGATTCTTTTCGTCCGAACACCTAAAAACATTAAAACACGAAATATGTTTAATCAAATTAACAAATGTGGATAAGATTTCTTGTATAGCACTTTAACTAACGTACATATCAATTAGTGACGTAACTGAAGGAGACACAAGTCATGAAACTAGTGAACCAACTTTGGAGTAGGTGAAGAAAAAACATTTACACTTTCATTTTTGTCAAAAGGAGTTAGACACGTAACAAGACTACACATTTTTAGAATAAACACAAACACGTGTATGTCATAAGATTTTGTAAGATCTCCACATCATCAGTAGGTGACAGATGACGTGGACTTTGTGATGTGAGAGTTAGTAGTACACACCAATCTCACCACAAGTGCTAAAAGTAGTCACAATACTATAAACCACTCGTGTCCCTTTTATCCTAAGTCATATACATATATCTCTATAATGTATCCTAGTTTGTAAATCTATGGTTGTATTTATTAGACCGACAAAATCGTGTTGACTTTGATAAATTTTTGACCAGAGTGTTGACTTACTTTGTGGGAAGTGGATACTCCGGGAAGAATTTAGCCAGAATCTCAACAACCTCGCCGCGGTGAAGCGCGGTCTCAGCGAGGATGTAACGGCCTGAGGCGGAGGGTGACTCGTAGACCATAACATGGCCTAGTGCCACGTCACGTACGTCCACGTAGACCTGAGTCAAGTTAGCATAGGTCTTGGCTGAGCCGGTGAGGTACTTGAGAATATGGACTAGACTAGCGTTGATCGCTGACTGGAGCGGTGGTCCGAGAACTAGAACCGGATTTAGCACCACCAAGTCCACACCCTTCGCCTTCGCCGTCTCCCACGCTGATTGCTCCGCCACCATCTTCCCGTAGCAATACCAATTCTACAAGGAAAATATATAAAAAGAAATTCAGAATAACGCGTAAACTTATTACATCCACAAACACTTCACATTTATAACAAAAAAGAAAGATACCTTTGTGTTTTTGCAGAAATCGAGATCACTCCAGCAATTTTCATCGACTATTGTTTGAGGGTCACGGTTAGGGTTCATGTAAACAGCACCGATCGATGACGTGAAGACCACGCGTTTGACCTTGGCTTTAGCCGCCGCGTCGATCACGAACTTGGCTCCGTTCACCGCCGGCTCCAACATTGTCTCCTATGTAAATTACATCAAGAAAATTAAAACTAATAAAGCCGAGTATTAATACTTCTCTGTTTTAGGGATTAATAAGGAAAGTTAGGTACTAACGGGATCGTCGGTCATCGGAGAAGCGGTGTGGAAAACGCCATCGCAACCGTCGATTGTGGCACAGAGAGCTTCGTAGTCGAGAAGATCAGCACTGTGAAGAGTGAGTCTTTCTTTAGCTCCTTCAAGCTCTCTGAGATGATCGTTCTTGGGATCAGCTGGGTTTCTTACGGTTCCTCTAACGGTGTAGCCTCTCTCCAAAAGCAACTTAACGATCCAAGAAGCAATGTAGCCGCCGGCTCCGGTGACGCAGACGAGTTTCCCGTCGACAGGCATATTTTTTTGTTGCTAGAGCAAAGAAGCCTCTGGATGGTTTAGAAGGACTTTAAAGTATGTTATAATGTGTGGTTTGAGAGAGACTTTGTGATTTGTATTTATAGAGACTTCGACAGAAGTTACCATGTTTTGTTTTTTTAATTACTTTGCCGTGTTTCACGGTCTAAGTCTTAACCATGGTAAAGAGTTGGTGAGTCTAAATAAGATAACATCTTTTTGAAAAAATAACAACCGAAACATTAGATTAATATTTTTTTGTACTGATTTATGAAAAGAGTGTGGGTTTGGTGAATGAAGAATTTCGGGGTTAATTTATTTTTTATGACACTAGAGAAGTACGATAGGTTTAAAGTTTTAGGTGAGTAAATGTAAATGCATTTCCAACAAAAAAGCCAAACAAAATCGTCAACGAAAGGTGTTGTGAATCTGACTTTTACATATTTTTCTCCATATTTTCCAAGTGGGATACCTTAATTGGTCATTTTAAAAAACTTCGAAAACGAAATTGCTAGATGTAGTTTAATAACAACCAAAAGAAATTGCAACATAATCAATACGTTTATAATTCATATGTATAGAGAGTTCTAGAAGACGTTGATAAAAAGTTTAGTTATCGTACGTACGCTCTTTCAGATCTTCTATACAAATCTATGAGCGCTGCTTTTTGATATTTTATAATTTGTTTCTCCTTAGTATCATTATCTGGTTATGAATCTATAATTTTATATATTCCATCCCTTAAACAAAAACAAATTGGTGAGAAGTTGAGTATATTGACCTTGACTCTATCGTTACAGGACCCTACTGGGAAAGTTCCCCTGAACCTACTAGATTCGTAATTGAATTTGTTAATCAAGATTACCTTTGACATATCTTCATCAACAAGCTTAGTATATATATATATATATATTTTTTAAAGTAAGTACATCATTCTTGACCGTTAGATTTATATGCCTTTGATAACGAATTCAAGAAAATCAAACTAGAGAAAATAGCAAAGTGGGTAAATTATTTTGAAATCGATTTGGAGAAGAAAAATAAGCACTCCCTAGTATACAAATACAAGTATCGATAATCGAATAGATTGTTTAAACTCCTATAGTTGTATTTTCTTTGCAAAATATTTTCAAGCAATCTTTGAACTATGGTTCAAGTTAATAATCAAAGAAGAAGAAGGTTAATTATGTTTCAAGTAGATTATGATTTGAGTAAATTCTTTTCTTTTTGACAACAAAGTATTTACTTATTTATCACTTTTGTTATATCTGAATATTTGGACAAGAAGAGTGTCTCATTCAAGCCGTCCAGTCCAAGATCGTTGAATGTAACCTAAATTATTTAACAAGAGAGACAATTTCCAAGTGTTTTCTCTGTCAGTCCTGAATTCAAAGTCGCACGTGGAAAATATGATCTTATAACCGACAGGAAGAAACGTGGCTCATAACCGCAGTTTTATTACTATCGACGATAATGCTTTTTAAAATACAATGTCACAAACTCTCAAAACACAACACGAACCAGACGACGTCATCTCAAACTAGTTCGATAACAAACAAATCTACTAACAAATAAATAAAACCAAAGAGCCTAAGTAGAAAGAAACTTTCTGAAATGTTTTTGTTCAAATGCCTCTCAAGTATAAACTCCAATTCAAGACTCTCTCTCTTCATCTTCATCTTCATCTTCATCTTCTTCTTTCTCAATCTCAGACGACAACATTGCGCTTGTCTCTTTATCATCAACCTCTTCTTTCTCTTCTGCTTCATCCTCCATGTCCTCTGTTTCTGTTTCTCTCCACTTTGGCTCTTCTTCTGAGCCTGAGTCCTCTCTCTCACTCTCAACCTCTGAACTTGCGGAGTGTTTCTCTTCGTCCTTAGTTTCAGCTTCTGATTTTAGGCTCTCTTCATCACCGTTGTCTCCGGATTGTTCTTGGCTTTCACTACAATCACCATCTTCGTTTTCATGGTCCACATCTCGGCTCACTTCCTGCTCTTCTCTTCTGTCTGTTTCAGCATTCAACTCTTTCAACGATTTCAGATTCTTTCCTTCTTTGCCTCTTCCCCCTTGCTTATTCGACTTTCTGCTGGAGGATCTATCACCATAAATATACACACCACTCCAATCAGAAACATGAAATCCAAATTTCATATAAACAAATAACTTATAACTCTAGTAAATTCCCTCACAAACCTTACACCTGAGGAACTAGTCGGTTCCACAGCCACTGCCACTGCCACGTTTTTGCCTTTCTTGACTCTCTGCATTCTGCAAAAGCATAACAACAGCAAACCATTAAGAGCTAAAGACTTTATGGCAAGCTGACCCATAAAACCATTTTACTTACATGTCAGATAAAGGAACGGACTCTGGCAGATCAATCTCCTCATCCTCCTGATCGATTTTTGGGAAAGCATTAAGCATTGGGATTACACTTTCTTGCCAAAAACAAAAAAAGAGAGAAGAAACTTGTACCTCACTGGCGGAATTGAGATCCTCCAGTAACCTCCACCGTTCTTTTGCGAGATTAAGCTCTTCTGAATCTCCATCGGTATATACTACCTGCAACCAGAACAAACATTCCATATGAACCAAACTAAGCAACAGGCATGGTTCTGATAGGAGGAATAGAACTGAGTAGCAGATGAGAGATGCTTTCTCACCAGATGCATCTTCTTACGACTAGAATAAGACTTTACGAAGCCTTCATAATAACTGCACAGAGAGAAAGCCCATCAACGGAAAAGCATAAGTAAGGTAGCCTTAGAAACAAGAAATGATTAAGGTACACTTACGTCTTGTCGAGTGGCCACCAGATATCGACTCTCTTATCGACCAAATCCTTGCCAGAGCCAATCGTATCAGACTCCTGAAAAGAGGAGATACATATATCATTTGGTAACAATCAAAGGCTAATAATGGGGAAAGAAGGCGTCAGAGCTCATTATACCACTTCTTTTCTTGCTGTCCTTTTCCTCGTCGGATGGCTCTTTGAAGTTTCTTCAGATTCTTCTGCCAATGGTCTAGCGGCACCTTGAGAAACCACCTTCTGCACAGGTCAATCAAAACAAAGTTTTAAGATGCCGTCATTAATTAGACAAGAGAAATCTTTGCTCAACTTGTATTCTACCTTGCCCTTTGATGATTGTGGATGCGGAGATGCACTTTCTAAATTCTTTTTCTTAGCATCTGAGCGAGCTGATGATCTCTTCCCGCTGGAGTTCACAACCTTAGGTTCTACAATTGGCTTCTTCTTCGCTGATCTCTGACTTTTCTCTTCGCCATTCTGGGACCTTGTCTTCTTGCTTGAATTACCAATCTCTTTGTCATCCTCTGGTATTTCATAGCTCTCCTGGTTTGATTCTTTCACAAGAGTCTCTTCATCTCGGAAGCATGATGCCAATTCCTTCAATCTCGGTGAAGAAGGAGAATCTAAATCAAGATCAAGATCACTCTCATCCCTCTTAACCAGCATGATGCTAGCTGAAGATGCTTTCTTGGCAGCCAGCTTTCCACGTGATGATTCTCCTCTGGACCCTCTTTTCTGGAACCTCTTCTTTGAAGATGTCTTGAATGAATCTCTTTTTCCGGCGGAAATCCAAGAAATGTCATAACCTTCCTCAGGATTCATCAACGAATTTGGTCTCCGTCCTCTCTTCCCTGTAACTCCTAAATCTGTTTCTGCATCTCTACTTTCAGACCACTCTCGCTTCAGACTCTGTTTCGCCAAATTCGAATTGTTTCCATTTCTTACTTTGTCATCCTCACTACTGATTCGTATAGTTCCATCTCTCGCAGGTCTTTTGGAACTTCTTTTAGAGTGAGTCTCCTTGCGAGAATGCCTCAAATCCAGTTTTTCCTAGATCAAGTTAATTGGTTAAACAATGCTGTCAAAACAAAATGCTGAAACCCTACAATCAACAAGCTCACCAAATAAAAGTCCTCCATTGTATTACTTGGGGTTACTTGTCTCCCTGATCTCGTTTCAGCTACCTGAATCATTAATAAAGATAGAAGCTCGTAACGTATAGACTCACACACGATTAAGCATCAAGTCATAGAGCTCAAGGAGGTATCAAGAAAACCTTGGTGGTAACAATATTGTTGGCTTTAGGAGGCGTCGTATCATATACAGTCTGGCAAACGGATAAAACTACTGGAGAATACATGTCCAATGTGGTCCCTGTAGACTTCAAAGCTTTGATGATGTATGGTTTAAGCTTACGGCCACATCTACTAAGAACCTTCTCCACAAGACTCCAAGACATTGGTGAAACATTCTAAAAGCATGAAGAGAAGGCAAATCAATTCCCAAGTTCATTGACAGCTAGAGGATTAACTTGAAATAAGAAGAAACCAACCATTACCTTGTTTTCGTTTTTGACACAAGCTAATAGAGTATCAAGCAAATCCGTGGACACTTCTTCGGATTCATCTATTATCGTGATCATTATCATTTCCATTGACGAAAACACCACTCGAGGATGATCAGATCTAATAGATGCAAGCACAAAAAGAACATCTCAATTCAGTATATGATCTAAAGAGCTTCTCAGATACTGTAAAATAGGTTTCTGTATCTCTAATCTACCTTATGATTTTCAAGAAATTCCGAAACATTTGTAGAATGAGGTCATGGCACTCCAAGTCCAACATCACCAAACATGATCTGACCTTTGCAACACTATCAAGAACAGACTCGGCTTTGCTATAACTACGAGAGGACGCATCAGCTAGTTTCTCAAAAGCTTCTACCGTCAACCGGAAGATCTCCTGTTACACCAAAGAATCAGATTTCAGCAGAGCATTACACAGAGAGAGAGAGAGAGAGATGAAGTTGAAGAAACAGTGTTACTGGAGTTTGATTGTTTTTTCACCTTCATTTGATCATCACTGTAAGGAGCTTCTGGGGCAGTTATCCTCAAAATTTCGGTTAAGCAGGACACAACCGAAACCCTAACATTAGAATCAGGATGGCTTAAGAGGCCAGGTGATACCAAAGCGTTCTTCGAGGGAATTAGGGCATTTTGCATTGACAATGGTTGATCTTGCTCCACATTTCTGAGCAGAGACTCAGTTTCCTAGGGCACAGAAATTGAAATTGGATATCCAAATGTTGAGAAAGATTCCGCCTTTAACCAAATTAACAAGTTGGATATCCCAGAAAACGCAACGAATTCATCAAAAAAGCACCCAGATTTCAGCAAACGGATAACTAAAATCAGCAATCAAGTTTTCCTTATCGACAAGAAAGACAAACCCTAATCGCATTTCGTAAATCCAACCTAACAAAGACTAGCAAACGAGCAAAGGCGCGATTCTGTATGAAGAATCAAAGAAGAAGAAGAGAATCCGTACATCGAGAAGAGTAAGGAGCTCGTCAGTTGAAGAGTGAGGGCTAAGAAGACTATTTCCAGCATCGATGAGTGCGTCGGAAAGATCGTTCAGTCCAACAATAGAAGCCATCTCTTCTTCCCCAAAAAAAATCTCAAACTTCAAACCCTAGAAATCCAAAAAACAACATCAAAACTGTGCTCTCACCCCAAAAAAACCTGTAATCGACGCAACGCTTCAAATCGTAAGGTCAGAAGGAATAGAAGGGAGAGAGCTTTCGGGTGGTTATGAGGTTAAGTGGTGTGCTTAACATGCAAAATAGCTTTATATACACACATGGTAATTACAAAATCAGAAATCTCAGCAAGGAACAAAAAGGCAAGAGATATCGATTCATTAAATTTCAATGAACATCTATATTTTGTTGAATTATAAATCTGTTTCCATAATTTCTTCTTTATTTCTTCTGCATTTTGTTCAAAACGGGGAAAGAAAAGATTCAACAAATTTTGAACTTGTGATAAATGGCAAGAGTATTATTCACCAAAACGAAATTAAATTCCACTTTCTTTGTTTTTAACAGATTTTATACACATGTTCCCGCCTTCGTCATCTTTGGTATTTGATAAGATAAGAGTTTCTTAGTTGCTGCCATACAAAGTTAACAAACGATTGTGATTTGATTTCTCACAAGTGTCAAAATGTTGGGCAAGACAACAAATTCTGAGCAATCCCTCTAAACAACAAGGACTAGCAATCTCTATTATTGCATTTGACATTGAAATGGGTTTATCATGCGTTGAGTGAGCAGATGTCTCCTCTCGGTAGTCCTGCAACAAGCAAAAGCATTTACTCAAGCACAAGTTTTGATGACCAGAGACACAGAAGTTGAATCTGTACCAAGTTATGGAGAATTGAGGAATAAGGACTCTTTTTACCTTAATTACAAGACAAGAACATCCAACCACTTTCCTAGCATTGCCTTCAAAATCAATCAATCTTGCACATATGTTAGTCACTGCAAGCATCAAACTTGAGAAGCTATCTGCAAGAGGGAATAGAAGAAGACTTATACAAGCCCATTCACCAAGGGTTTGGGCACTTGGAACAGTAAGCAAATTGATGTTATGGTCAGAACAGAGAGATTTTTAACAAGCTTTTGACAGTCTTCAGCCAAAACACAAAGCTGAGTAACACGCTTCTCAATGAGCTTAGAAATTTCATGGAGACCTCTGGTCACACCACCGTGTACACGTGACTTCCTAAGAGTCAGCTCCAATGCAGTCATCAGATCCATGTCCTCTAGAATCGCAGCAGCAGCTGCCTCTGCAACTGGAGGAATAGCAGGAGCAGCTTCATCGCTTCAAACAGAGAAAAATTATACAGAATCATAAGCAACCAAGAGTGGACTTTTATAGGCCAAAGACACAGTGCAATGAACATTAGTGAATTGTGAAGAATTACAAAGGGACACTTGCATTGTGAAATTTGTGGATCAAGAACATCCATGCAAACACCAAAAGAGCAGTCCACTAAACCAATAGAGAAATGAATTAACAAATGGTCAAATGCATATCTGATGATCGGTTGTATGCATAGTAGATTTCGGAAACAGAAATGTAAGAAATCAAATCTTTGAAGCTTCAAATGCCAACGGACATTAACATTGGATTGAATAAATAGATAGAGAATAGAAAAATACAAACCCCGGAACCAAATCAATGAAAGTAATAATATCTCAGAAGATCAATGTTTTATCAAAAAAAAAAAAACTTAACCAGACATGTTTCGTATATGAATGCGTTTACGACACAGATAAATTTATTTTGTCTGCGAAGAAACGATCCAGATTAGTCTCACTAACCAATACCTAAATGGCTAAATCGAAAAATCACAGAAACGTCGGAGACGAGTCTGAAGACTAGCGATGACGAAGAGCTCGGATTCAATTGACATCTTTTAACTAAAAAAGGGAGAAACCAAACTTATTGGGCCTCGGAAATGGCAATTAATGGGCCTTATATTCATACAGAACCTAAGACGTTTCAAATTCAGATTTGCTCACCGCTATTTATTGAAAGAAAAACTGGATTCGAGTTTCAGTCATCATCTTGTTTTCAGACACAAACAGTTCAAATTCAGAGAATTGGTAGTGAGATCATACAATCGTCTCCATTAGTGATCCTAATTTTCAAAGTTCAAAATCTGGATTAATCCGATTTAGTGATCATTTGCATATCCGTGGTAACTTCCACAAAATTCCTGTAAAAGAACTTATAGAAGAAGAAAAAAAGGGAGAAAGAGATAATTTTAAGGAATTCTTATTTGAAATTTTCTTTCTAGAGAGCAACCTGACCATTTTCAACACCTAAACCATACAAAACACCAGAATATTTCTGCAAGGGGCCAATGAAGAAATTCTCCTTAAGCTTTCTGAAAGTACAAGACGTGAGTAAACTATCCGAACCAGCCTGGTGACAGATCCCAACTCTCTCCACCTCCAGCAGCTCCGCGAGCTTGTTCAGTCCGCCGTGGAGGCTGTTGCAGAACTTCATCAGGTGCTTGATGTCGTACACCGTCGGGAAATAAACGTTGATCAGCTCGAAGAACCTCGTCTGCGTATCCGGCAGGTTCTGACACGTCAGGAGCTTGAGCAAGTACCCGAAGTCGTATCCGCTGTGGAACGTGACCCAGTGCACGTTCTCGTTGAGCACGATTCCCGATGACATGAGGAGCTCCGCGAATTTCTTGGCGTCGATTCCTTGCTGAGTGTTTCTGGCGAAGTCGATGCCGGATTGCTTGAGGAGGTCGATGGAATCGAGAGCGAAGATGTCGGAGTTGACGTCGAATTCTCGGAAGTTGAATTGCCAGATGCAGTATTTGTCGGTCCCACAGGTTGGGAGGTTGCCTTGCTCGTTGGAGAAGGTGAGGCCGAGCTGGATTATCTTGAGGATGTTGACGTTCATCTTCAGGGTTTCGTAGTGGTAGTCGGCGTTGGATTTGAAGGTTCCGACTGGTCTGACGACGATTCCGGGGAACTCAGTGTCCATGGCGACGTAAGGGAAATCGTCGACGACTTCGCGGATCAGATCCATCTCCTCTTGGAGGTTATCGTTCCAGACTTCGCGGATTTGAATCGAATCATCTTTCAGAAACAGAGACATGTCTATGTATAATTACGCATCTGGATTGACGAACGAAGATGATGATAGAGGACGGTGGAAATCCAAAACCTAGAACGGATCTAGAGGTAGACCCGATCCGGTTTCATACAAATCTGCGACAAATCCAACACAGAGAGAGAAAAAAAAGCAACCGGATATTCAATTTCCACAAATCCGAAACAAATCACCCAGAAATCGAAAAATGAACACAGAGATTGGCGGGATATGGATAAGAAGGAGGTTATATCGGTGTATCGAACCTGGTAATCAGAGGCGGAGTAGATGGAAGAGAAGGCGGCGATTGGTCGTGGCTAGGGTTTCAGAGGATGTGGTGGTTTATCGAGAGGCAAAATGGAAGGCGAAGAAGAGATAATATTCAATCGATTTTTATCTTTTCCTTGTTTTTTCTTGTATTTTGTTTTTTTTTTTTTTTAATGTTTTTCTGTCGTTTGAATCCGAATTTTTTTTGTTCTCCACAAGTTTTCTTGTTTTCTGTCTTCTTATTAGGATCGCTCCTCTTTTTGTTTTTGTGTCACAATTTGTTAACTACTTTTCCAAATCGCATTTTTAAACATCATTGCTAAATTAATATCGGCGTACGTACTTTCACTAACTGAGAAAAAAAGGGGGAAAAGATTAGCTAAAAAGTTAATACGAGACTAATAAGTAAAGTTTTAGATAAATACACAAAGTCACCGTGACACTTAAAAACTTTGGCAGAGATATCCACTGTCCAAAGCCCAACACTTAACGAGAAACATCATATTATATATAGATAGGTTCTAGATTAAACGGTTAAGCCTAAACCAACGAGACCACACTTGACTCTTCCCCCACCATATGCTTCCTGCAACACAAGAAGACGTCATTTATATTCTTTACAAGCCAATCCTAAAATAAAAAGTTCAAATATACAACATAAAGAAAGAACATACAGCGAACCAGCTGAGAATCAAGTTATTGAAGCCAAATTAGAGATCCTCATGTATGTCTTAAACCGAGAGTGTATGGCATAAGCAACAAACATATGCCAAGCTTAAGATTCATTGCGTGCCCCCAAACAAAAAGAAAACGGTGTAAACTACGGAACTAAAAGAGTGCGTACCTAGAACACTCGGTTGCGTTTGTTACTTTTGAGAGTTTGGATCTGCTGCAGTATGTACTCAATCACTTCTTTCAGAGTGGCTTTTCTTTGTTTACTGTGATTCCACAGTACCTGGACTGAGTAACCCCCACTTCGATTGTACTCATTCAGCTCCTCCAGTGCTGTCTTCACTGCGTTCATCACATCTTCTCCCCACTCCTCTCTCAGACCCCTAATTTGCTCATCTTCTTCATCCACCACTTCCTGCACCATATCCATTTAACAACACTAAGAATCATAAAATGGGAGAGAGAGAGAGAGTAGTAGTAGTACTGGCAAAAGGATTCTGGATTGAACAAGAGACATAAACAAACCTTCATTTTGTCTTCAGTCCCTATGCGTTTGAATGGATGCCAATTAGAATCCTTGAGGATTTCCTGCCATCTCGACAAGAGTATGGCATGCTGCACACCAGCTTCCTCGCCCCTGAATCTCTGCTTGCATGCTTTCAGGAAGGGTTTTTCATCAAGCTCTCCCATCCTCTTTATTCTGATGTTCGTTTTATCACTCAACAACTCACTCAGTCCCTGAAAAGAACCCAATACGTGCAAACAATTAATCATCAACTTATATATCATGGTGAGTATCTGCTTGATAGAATCCTAAAGCAGTTGGGGAATCACCCTTGACCGCATCCTCATCAAACAGATTTCTCAACCAATTTGTGTTTGACCATGTCGCCCAAGAATATATAAGCACACCCAAGAATTGAAAAATATAAGCACACCCAAGAGTTGAAAAATATTTACCGTAATCAATTCTTTGCGAGCTTCTTGTATCTCATCATTGCTTTGACGTTCTTTTGTCATGAGGTGCGAGTTCATCTCCTCCAAGTCTTCTAACTCAGAACACTTCTCCTCCAGCTTTTCATTCATCTCCTTCATTTTCTTTTCCATGTCCTCGTCAACTTCATCTTCCACTTTCATCACGTTCAGCCTTCCTTTCAGCTCTTGAATCTCCATTTGAAGTTTCTGCTTGCTGTCTAACTCCTTCTCAAGCTGAAGGATCTTGTTCAAAGTCTCTTCCTTTTTCCTCTGGAGTTCAGAAAAATAAAAAGAATAACAATCTTCAAACACATACGAGGAAAGATTTTCTTAATTGAGTTTGAGCCATTTACTTAAAACACACCTTGTGTTCTTCCACAAGTTTCAAGACACTATCATCTGCCCGTTTCTGCTCCACTGAAGCTAACTGAAGGGAGCGGTTCATGGCATCGTTCTGCATGATAAGGGAACACAAAAAGATCATCAGTCACCTGGAAAACATAGATGCGTTGAGTATACTAACAATGGCTAAAATATTACCTTCTTCTTCTCTTCATCAAGCTTTTGTCTCTCCAGTTCAGTTAATGCTTCCTTCTTTGCCAAATTTTCGGAGAAAATCTTGAGGTTCTTCATCTTCAACTCCAGTACATCATTCAGCTTCTTTTTTTCATCTAATATATTTCGGATATGTTGCCGCGAATACTCCTGCATCCTTTTTGTCTCTGGAGAAAATAAAAAGGCACAGAAACAAGACTCACAACACTAAAATCGGATGCAGATGCATAAGCAATCAAATTTTTCAGTGCAAACCTTCTTTATAAGCTTGGTCCAGCTTGTCTTTCTCTCTGAGATGCCTGTTCAGAGAGTTCGCCTTCTGGTTGTACTTGTATTCGGCATTGTTCAGATCCTCATTCGTCATAGCAATTTTATTTGCTAGATCCTGCACAACAGTATTCGTATTCTGCATTTCCTCCTTTGAAATGTCAGAGAAACTTCTCAGAGTTCCTACTGTTGACAGGTACTCCGCTATCGTCCCTTGAGAGTTGTAGTCATCTGCACGAGCGCACCAACCATAAGCCTTGGATCTCCAGTCTCCTGTTTTCTCACTCCAGTCCTTCTTGCCACAGCGCTTTACCTCATATTCCTTCTCAAGCGCTGAGGCATTCGTGAACCCACCATAACCACTGTTAAACTTAGTAATGACTGCAACTAGCGAATCCTGCTCAACCCAAAGGGTCTTCACCTCAAGAGGACTGAATCTGGCGAGCTTCTTCAACCAGTAAGCTGATTCAAGGAGCGAGCTCTTGTCATCGGTTCTTCTCAGTGGGTGGATGACAATCCCCATCCAAGGCCACACATACGGTTCACTCTGCTTGGACGAGGAAGCGGTGACTCTTGGGCGTTGGACTTCAGCATCACCAGCAAGCTCGTTCTCCATGTACTTGGCTAAAGCAAAGTGATTTGCTTTCAGCTTAGCACTTCTACTAGAAGATCCTTTGGCGACACCAGACGCATGAGCAAACAGCTCCTTGTACTTGTAATGCTGCTTCTTCTTCCCTGCGCAGAAAGGGCACCTGAATGTGCCTTCCTTCACCTTAACCTTGAAATCCCCGTTCTGGAGTTGACTGTAAGGCTTATCAGCGTAGACCTCAATCTCAGAATCGCTGATCTCATCTGACTCTTCATCAGAACTGTTGTTATTCATCCTAGTAGATAGGCCTGCAACGCAAAAGCTTACATTGAGTGCACATCGGATTTATATACAGAAGAATCAAACAAACATGAGTGTGTGAGTATCAAACGATTAAAATTTCAGCTCGAACTATCCAAACTAAACAAAGTAACAGGAGGCTCTGCAATGTGTTATCACATGAACAATAGCTAATCTAAGCTTATTCCCAACATTTTAGAGAAAAAACCCCAAAAAAAATAGAGAAGCTGAAGCAGATTTCTTTTACGGGTGTGATTATGAAGCTACCCACATTGTAAAATCAAACCCTAGAGAGTAAAATGCAGTCGCGAGCTATAGTATTAGATAGATTACCTTAAGAAAGCAGTTTTGTGAGTACCGGAAAGAGGAAATCGAGATGAAACCCTAAAACTTCGGAGGATCGCGGCGAGCAGAGAGAGCGAAAGAGTGTGATGAGAGTGACAGAGAGAAAAGGATAAAAAAAGCGAATTATGTGAAAGATTTGTTGGCACACGACACGTTTTTCTTTAATCCCGATAATGTAAAAGCCTGTAGGCCCAACCAAGGCATCATTTTCTTATAATAAACCTGAAAGTGTTGTAGGCCCAACACAGTCAACTCCTTTTTTATTATAACATCAGCTCTGTTTTTTTTTTTTAATGGCATGAGAGATATATATTGTTGTTGGTGTATTGAAAATTACATAAACATGTTTTTTTTTCTTTGGTGCAATTTACATGTGCTTTTTGATTAAAAAAAATGTGTCTTTGTGGACTAAGTATGAACCTTATTAAAGAGCTATGATCATATATGTATTACTAAAAATTAATTAGCAGACCAAATTGAAAATAACAGAGAAAATTCTACTTAAAGATCCAAAGGAGTAGTATTATTGTCAAACAACAGAAAAGAAGAAGGCTCTAAACATAAGCCTAAACCAATCCCAACTGAAAACTAAAGAAGAATCAATTATTATTATTATATATCAGTTGGTAGTTGGTACTATATATGTATATAACCCTTTTGTCTTCCTTGGATCAGTGGTGGTTCTTAATCTTAAGAGTTTGGATCTGCGCTTCAAGTGGAACAAGTAGCTCTGTTAATGTTTGCTCTCTTCCAGCTTCTTTGTGCCAAGGCTTGAGGTGCACACCTGTTCTTCTACTTTCTTGTGCCTCAATCCATGCAATCTTGATAGCGTTGTAGAGCTCCTCACCATATTTCTCTTTGAGTCCCGAAAGATCTGGCCTCTCTTCCGAAAAGCCATCATTGATCTCTGATCTCCATTCCTCGTACAGAGTTTCAGCCTTCTGCTGAATTTCTCTTTCCCACATCATTGCGTCCTCCTCAGGTTTACATGGGCTCGCAATGGTGCAGGCCGTATGAAAAACCATTGGATCTATGTGTCCTGGTGCTGGTATGTCAAGAGATGGATCATTTTCATCTTCTTGAGTGTTTAGTTCTGGCATCGCCTTAAAAAGGGTACAAGGAAAAAGTTAAAACAATAAGTTTTTTCTCAATCAGTTTCTGAATGATTTATCTTATTTCTTATGAAGATATATATAAATGTACCTCAAGTAACGTAAATTTTGCACGTATGATCTCTTGATCCTTGTCAAAAGTATCATTCTCGAGACGACCAATCTTGCTTTCGTAATGTAGCATTTTCTTTTCGTAATCACTGATCTTCGTCTGCAATTCCTGAACAGCATGCATCTTCTTCTTCTTTTCCTTTGTAAGACAAAAAAAAAAAGACAAAAAGAGAAAGATAGATCATAAGCGAGAGGAAGAACAGTGAATTAATCATTGGTAACAAAGAGTTTACAGAAGATTCATCTACACAAAATTAAGAAGCAAATCAACTTAAACAAAACTAAAGCAATCAACAAAACCTAAAAACTTACGTTATTGAAATTAAACTTGATTTTGATCAAGGTTTAATTTTGGGTCCATAAACAAATTATTATTAAACCCAAAATTAGGCCCAAGTTCTAGAACTCTCTAGAAACATCATAAGAGGTCATCACTTCCTCAAATTTTCTAGAGAATTCTACTAGATAACTCTCTAGATATTTATGTAGAACTTTCTAGTTCTTGTAAGACAAGAAATCTAGATATTATGTTAGAGAGTTCTAGAGATTAGGATAAACTTGTAAGATAATTTGTAGAAAGTTGTAGAAGAAGAAGAAGAAATATCTAGGACCTAAGGAGGTTATAGAAGAGTGTAGAAACTTTGTAAGTAGATTTGGGAGGCTATAAATACCTCCTCACCCCCTCATTTGTAAATGCACAAGAAATTGAACAAGTTAATAAAGAGTGTTCTAAAGCTAAGTTCTCTCTTGTTCTTCTTAAAAGTCTTTCAAGTATTCTCTTGTGTTCTTCCATATTTCTCTTCATACTTAGAGGGTTTATTGTTTCTTTCGGGTTTCTCGGGTATTACGGTCTTGGGCTAGTGCTAAGCACTATCGGTGCTGGTTTCTCTACATGGTATCAGAGCCATTCTAATCTTGTGCTCATCAAGATCGGGATTTAGGAGAACTCGGGTTTACTCTAAGTATGGAATCAATGGGTCGTGTTGTTGGATTGGGAATGGAGATCTTAAACCAATCTAACTACCGGTTATGGAAGTCATGTATGGAGTCATACTTGGTGAGTGAGGACTTATGGGATGTCGTCGGCGGCAGTAGCACCACACCACCAATGGGAGCTGCTGCGACAGCGGAAGCGACAAAGGAATGGACACGGAAGAATGCCAAGGCGGAGTTTGCATTGAAGAGGTCAATATCCTCGGGAGTATTTGAGCATGTCTCAAGGTGCACATCCGCTAGTTCCATTTGGCAAGCGTTGGACCAACTGTTCAACAAGAAGAATGAGGCTCGTCTACAACTGTTAGAGAACGAGTTGGCGAATGCGAAGCAGGGGGAGTCTTCAATCTCAGAGTTCTTCATCAAGGTAAAGAACCTTTGCTCTGAGATTAACACTCTTAATCCGGAGGAGTCTATTTCGGAAGCTCGGTTAAAGCGGTCTATTATTCGTGGTTTACGACCCGAATATACACCGTTTGTGACTTCCGTTCAAGGATGGGCTACACAACCTTCCTTGGAGGAGTTTGAAAATCTGCTAGCTTCGCAAGAATCCTTAGCCACGCAAATGGCGGGAGTCAAAATCCATGATGACTCGGGGAGCGCTTTTGTAGCTCGGAGGCAACAGAGCTACAAAGGAAAAACCAAGAATGATGGTGTAAAGAATAATGATGGACGGGAAAGATCTTCTACGGGAGACAAGAAGCAGTTCAAGTGTTACCGGTGTGGAAAGCTTGGGCATTTCAAAAAGGACTGTCGGGTCAAGCTGAAGGAAACCAATATGGCGGAATCAAAAAGTCATACTGAAGACGAAGATTGGGGGAAATGTTTCACGGTGGAGGCTGCATCTTCAGGTACATCCACAACTAAAAATCTTGGAAATGATTGGATTGTGGATTCGGGTTGTAGCCATCATATTACCGGAAACGAGAAGTTATTTTCTAGTCTTCAACGTCATGACGGGAAAGAAGCTATTATCACTGCGGATAATTCAATCCACCGGGTTGAGAAGGAAGGGACTATTGTTATTGAAGGAGAAGAAGGAGGCCCAATCACTCTCAAGAACGTATACCATGTCCCTGGAGTTAAGAAGAATCTTCTTTCCGTGGTGAATGCGGTGGACTCAGGTAACTACGTTTTATTTGGACCAAAAGACGTTAAATTCTTGAAGAATATTCAAGAGTTAAAGGCGGACGTAGTTCACACCGGAGCACGGGTTAAAGATCTTTATGTCTTATCGGCCTCAAATTCGTACATTGAGAAGATGAGTACGAATGATAATGCTTTTATTTGGCATGCTAGGCTTGGCCATATAAATATGACTAAGCTGAAGGCTATGGTGAATAAAGATCTGGTTAATGGGCTCCCAAAGTTGAAGATTCAAGATGAAGGAAAGCTTTGTGAAGGTTGTCAATATGGAAAATCACATAGACTTCCATTTGACAATTCTACTTCACGATGCAATGCTCCGTTGGAGAGGATCCATAGTGATTTGATGGGTCCGACGAGAACATCCTCCTATTCCGGGTTCCGCTACATGCTGTTGTTCGTTGATGATTACTCACGGTACACCTGGGTATACTTTGTGAAGGAAAAGTCAGAAGTATTCTCCAAGTTTCAAGAATTCAAGGTTACCGTGGAAGGAGAGTTGGGTCGGAAAATCAAGACCTTAAGGACGGATAATGGAGGGGAGTTTATGTCAAACGAGTTTCTCTCTTTCTGCCGAAAGCATGGTATCAAGAGAGAATTTTCATGTCCATACACACCTCAACAAAATGGAGTAGCAGAAAGGAAGATAAGGCATCTAAGTGAGACGTGTAGAAGCTGGCTACATGCGAAGAATTTGCCTAAGGCTCTATGGGCAGAAGGGATGAGATGTGCAGCCTATGTCATCAATCGGATGCCGCTTAGTCCAAATAATATGAAGTCTCCTTATGAGATGGTTCATGGGAAGAAGCCAACAGTGAAACATCTCAGGATATTTGGATCTATCTGCTATGTCCATGTGTTCGACTCTCAAAGAACCAAGCTGGAGGCAAAGGCGAAAAAGTGCATCTTTGTCGGCTATGATGAACAAAGGAAGGGGTGGAGGTGTATGGATCCAGAGACACACAGATACACTGTATCTCGTGATGTTGTCTTTGATGAAGTGTCTTCATATTACGGATCTCCTCAAGTCTTGGTTGAGCAAGATGGTGCGGGCTCACTTAAAGACGATGAACCAGCTGCTCAGATACCAAGTGATGGTGGAATTTCTGAACCAGAGATGCAAGGTGAAAGGGGGAGCACTAACCAAGAGGAAGAGGAGGAGGAAGATCATGGTTCCTTGGCTAATCAACGACCAAAACGGGACATCGTTAAACCTGCTCGGTACAGAGATGAAAGGTTTGTTACTACTTACTCATGCTACTTTGCATCTCCTTTTGATGAAGAAGAACCATCATCTTATGATGAAGCAAAAGGAGTTAAAGAGTGGGAGACCGCAATGAAGGAGGAGATGGATGCTCTAAAGAAAAATGAAACTTGGGATTTGGTTCCAAAACCCAAGGATGTCCAACCCGTCTCATGCAAATGGGTGTACCGGATCAAGCGTAAGAGGGATGGAAACATTGATAGACACAAAGCAAGATTGGTTGCTCGGGGATTTTCTCAGAAGTATGGAGAAGACTATGATGAGACTTTCAGTCCAGTGGCGAAGATGACTACGGTACGTACACTCTTATCTTTAGCTGCAAGCTTTGGCTGGAAGTTATGGCAGTTAGATGTGAAGAACGCTTTTCTATACGGAGAACTTGATAAAGAAATCTATATGGAGCAACCACTTGGTTACATATCACAAGAGCATCCCGATTATGTTTGCAAGCTAAAGAAGGCTTTGTATGGGTTAAAACAAGCTCCAAGGGCCTGGTATGGAAAGCTTGCTCAGTTTCTTCAGTTTTGCGGTTACTCTCCGTCGAACTCTGATCCGAGTCTGTTCTTCAAGAAGAATGGAGGAGTCCACGTGGTAGTCCTTCTTTATGTGGATGACTTGATAATTACCGGGAATGATGAAGCGGAAATTGCTCGTCTGCAAGAGGATATGTCGATAAGGTTTGAGATGAAGATGTTGGGTGAGCTGAACAACTTTCTTGGTTTGGAGGTTGAAAGGATGAAGGATGGAATATTCATCGGCCAACATAGCTACGCAAGAAGGATTGTAGAGAAGTTCGGGGTACACGAAGGAAAGACACGTACTACTCCGATGGATGCGAACATCAAGCTGAAGCGCGATGAAGGATCCTTGCTACCCGATCCTCGGCCTTATCGTTCTCTTGTGGGAAGTCTTCTATACTTAACCATTACAAGACCTGACATTTCCTTCGCGGTTGGTCTTGTAAGTCGGTTTATGCAGTCACCAAGGAAGCCACATCTAGAAGCGGCAAAGAAGATCTTGAAGTATGTGAAGACAACTCTTGGCATGGGTCTAATGTACAAGTACAATGCCAAGGTCTCTCTCTATGGCTTCACGGATGCTGACTTTGGTGGAGATCTAGATGGTCGAAAATCAACTTCGGGCTTTGTGTTCTTGTGTGGAGACACAAGCGTTTCATGGTGCAGCAAGAAACAAGCAACGGTGTCGCTGTCTACCACTGAAGCGGAGTATAAAGCTTCGACGCTCGCAGCCCAAGAGTGTATTTGGCTTCGAAGGCTTCTTGAAGATTTGTTTGAGCCAATCAACAAGCCGGTTGCCATATATGGAGATAACCAAAGTGCTATCAAGCTGGCTAACAATCCGGTGTTCCATGCAAGGACGAAGCATATTGAGTTGGAACATCACTTCATACGGGAGAAGGTGCTTGATGGAACAATTGAAGCTTTGGAGGTTCGAAGTGAGGATAATGTTGCAGATATCTTCACCAAGTCACTACCAAAAGGTCAGTTCGAGTTACTTCGCTCGAAACTCGGGATGGTTGATAAAATCAAGTTTAAGGGGGAGTATTGAAATTAAACTTGATTTTGATCAAGGTTTAATTTTGGGTCCATAAACAAATTATTATTAAACCCAAAATTAGGCCCAAGTTCTAGAACTCTCTAGAAACATCATAAGAGGTCATCACTTCCTCAAATTTTCTAGAGAATTCTACTAGATAACTCTCTAGATATTTATGTAGAACTTTCTAGTTCTTGTAAGACAAGAAATCTAGATATTATGTTAGAGAGTTCTAGAGATTAGGATAAACTTGTAAGATAATTTGTAGAAAGTTGTAGAAGAAGAAGAAGAAATATCTAGGACCTAAGGAGGTTATAGAAGAGTGTAGAAACTTTGTAAGTAGATTTGGGAGGCTATAAATACCTCCTCACCCCCTCATTTGTAAATGCACAAGAAATTGAACAAGTTAATAAAGAGTGTTCTAAAGCTAAGTTCTCTCTTGTTCTTCTTAAAAGTCTTTCAAGTATTCTCTTGTGTTCTTCCATATTTCTCTTCATACTTAGAGGGTTTATTGTTTCTTTCGGGTTTCTCGGGTATTACGGTCTTGGGCTAGTGCTAAGCACTATCGGTGCTGGTTTCTCTACATACGTGACACGAGAAAGAGAGAATCTTGGCTTTCGAAAGAGAGAAGATGCAATGCAAGGATGGTGAGATTGTAATATATATACACAACAGAAAAGTGCCATTAGGTGAAGTCTATAGGTGAAACGTAAACATCATGCTTCCAAACTGACTTGTATAATCAGACTAAGCGTAACACTATATACTTTCTAAATGCAGTGAACAAGAAGAAAAAAACTTTCTAAATTTGATTTATTTCTACACCTAAAGCATTCGGCATTTGACTTTCACCACCACTCAGTTGATGCCTTTATTTCCTGTATTCCAAATGTATGCAGAGATGGACCAATGAGATTAAAACGATTTTGAACCATCAAGAAAATGAATTTCATTTCAACAAATAAAACCAAAGTAAGCAAAGAAGTTTACGTAATTAAAGTTAACTCAAAATGGCAATGCGGTGAATTGTTCATTAGTCACATGAGTAGTTATGACTCGGTAAAACTACTTTTATGTAAGATGATGAGCCAAAACGAATCTCATCTGCTTAATTTAGTAAATAACTCGAACCAGACGCAACTGATCACTTTTGAGTTTTGACTAATGCATATCATCAAAATGCTCTAGACGCTCTCGAATAACCAACTTTAATTAGTTTCAAATACGATACATTATAATATAAATTAATAATCATAAAACATTCTTGAATTACTAATTTAAGGTAGCTGAAAACTCATGTTGAGAACGATAAAGCTTTTCTCTTGCATCTACAAATGATGCGTATTCATCTATACTCTAATGGTAACCAGAATGCAATTTTTTTATTGTTTCGTCACACTGCTTGTAGGTTAGCATAATAGATGAAGTCTTCTGTTTATTGAGTTAATTAAAAGAAACGTTTAACTCCTTTTACAAAAAAAATATACAATATATCAAGGCTTTATAATGACATGAGATCTATCATATATCATATGTTGTTATTGGTGTATTGAAAATTACATAAACATGTTAAGGGAAACAAGTAATAACCAATCTCAATTGGAAACTAAACAAGTATCAATTATTATAATATATATTATTTTCCATAGTAGTTTTTAACTTTTTATATAACCCCTTTGTTTTCCTTGGATCAGTGGTGGTTCTTAAGAATTTGGATCTGCGCTTGAACTAGAACGAGTAGCTCAGCTAATGTTTGCTCTCTTCCAGCTTCGTAGTTCCAAGGCTTGAGCTTCACACCTGTTCTTCTACTTTCTTGTGCCTCAATCCATGCAATCTTGACAGCATTGTAGAGCTCCTCACCATATTTGTCTTTCAGTTCCGAAAAATTTGGCCTCTTGGTTCGCGTGATCTTCAATGCCCATTCACTTGACAGCTTTCCAGACTCAAGCATTCCTCTTTCATTCGTCAATGGTTCCTCCTCACCAGGATTACATGCTTTATAGTAAATCATTGGATCTATGCGTCCCGGGATTCTTTCTATGTCAGCTAATGTATTATTTTCTGGAGTGTTTATCTCTGGCAGAGCCTGAAAAGGGAAAAGGAAAACTTGAAACAATGATGTAGCCGTAGTAAGAAAAATCACAGTAATTAGTTACTAAAAATGATTATCTTTTATATAAATATATATATAAATGTACCTGGAGTAGCGTGAATTTTGCACCTATGATCTCTTGATCCTTGTCAAAAATATCATTCTCGAGACGAAAAATCTTAGTTTTGTAGTGGAGCATTTTCCTTTCGTAATCACTGATCTTCTTCTGCAATTCACGAACATCATCCATCTTCTTCTTTTCCTTTTCTTCCTGAATAAAAGTAAAAACAAAAAAAAAAAAAAAAGACAAGGAGAAAGATCATAATTAAGCGACTGGAAAATCAGAAATGAGTTATATATATGCCGGAAACAGAGAATCAATCATATTGTATCAAAGGGTTTACAGCAGATTCATGTACAAAATTAACAAGCAAGCCAACATGAGTGTTTCCTATATATCAAATTAACTACAACTGAAACTAATCAAAAATTTAAAGAAGTCCATGAATTTTTTTCCTGAAAAAGCAATAACCCTAAACCCAAAGGAAAAATCAAAGCTTGAAGAAAATGAACGAATCAAGATGATAAGCAAGTCGAAAATAAGAAAATAGAAGTTTTGTGATGAAGTTCTATGGCCGAAACACAGAATCAACAAAACCTAAAAACTTACGAGACACGAGAAAGAGAGAACCTTGGCTTTCGAAAGAGAGAAGATGCAATGCAGTTATGGTGAAATTGTAATATATATACACAACAGAGAAGTGCCCTTGGCTGAAGTTTATAGGTGAAACGTAAACATCACCCTTCCAAACCGACTTGTCTAATCAGACTAAACGTAACACTATATACTTTCTAAATACAGTAAACAAAGAAAAAAAACTTTCTAAATTTGAATTATTTCTACACCTTGAGCTTTCGGCATTTGACTTTCACCACCACTCAGTTAATCAATATGGTACATGTAATTGATGCCTCTTTATTTCTTGTATATTCCAAAGGTAAGCAGAGCTGGACCAATGAGAATGTAATATAACTAAAACGATTTTTAATCATCAAGAAAATGAAACTCATTTCAACAAATGCTTACGTCACCCACTACTACTCGAGCATAACAAATTTAATGGCAACTAATACAACATTTTGGTGCTTGCTACGAAGCTCTAAACGACTAAACTTCTGCACCTTTTGTTTCTTATTTTTAGAAATAAAGATGGTAGCGAATATTTATCGTGCGTCTCAATTGAATCATCGTGCTTATTGTATCAAATATCAAATAAAACCAAAGTAAGCAAATTAGTTTACGTAATTAAAGTTAACTCAAAATGGCAATGCGGTGAATTGTTCATGACTCATGAGAAGTCGTCATGACTCGGTAAAACTATTTTTAGGTAAGATGGTGAGTCATCTAGTACTCAATATTAACCAGAATGCAATTTGTAATTTCTTGTTTCATCACACTACTTGTAGGTTAATTAGCATAGATGAAGAGTCTTTAGTTTTTTTTAAATTGTGATTAAAAAAAATCGTTAATCTTAAACTTTAGGAAAGGAAAAATATCGTTTATCTTTAACTAATAATTGGGATTTGGAATGATTCGAACCAAAGTCTCCATCATCAGAAACACTCGATGGTAAGCTTCGATTGATCTTTCGTTTGAAGTGCTTGTAGTTTGGCCACTGCCATTTCAATCTCCAACTTGTTCCATGCAGGAAAGGACGTCGTCTTGATCATCATCTGCTTTACCACTGTCCCTTGCCTAATCAAACGTGATGCTAAAGCAAATTCTTCATATGAACCGCTGAAGTTATGCATCCACACAGTATCCACACGAAACTCAGCATTGGGGAACGGATCTTCGTTATTATTATCCTCCCACAACTTCTTCTGTGATGAGTACTCATCTTCTTCTTCTCTATGAGCATTGTTATTCTGCACATACACCAACATTTAATGTTATGTTTAGGTAAAAAGATTAAGACGTGGTAGTCATGAGTTATGTTTTTGTACACATACCTTAAATAAGATCTCAAGCTCTTTTATTTTACGTGTCCATAGAAGTAAGACTTGTCTTAATCTCTCAACTTGTCTTGGATTCACTAAATCAACACTCACTGACAAGGATGCAGCCAAGGATGCTCTCAACAACCCACCACATGTGTTAACCACAAATTCTTCATGCACAGAGCAGTTTTCCTCCTTGATCATACCATCAATTAACACCATTAGTTGGTTATATATAACATAAATACATTTTTGAGAACACATGTAACAACATATGTACCTGTGATATGTCGTAGCTGATGTGAGGATGGAATGTGTTTGTAAGCCAAAAGTTTCTATTAAACTGGAGTCGAGGTGACGTGAGGACAAAGCCATCTCTCTGACAGGACATGATTTTATCCATAGCGAGAAATTGCAAACTAGGAGATGACACTACAATGCCATTAACCTCAAAGCAAAATGACATGTTCAAGAGCTTTAATCTTTTGTTTTCAATCCTCAAAGGACCACCTTCTCTGAGGCAATTGATGTTTAGTACAAGCACCTCCAAGGAAGGGCAAGATGCGATGACTTTGTTAAAGACTCCGACATCGATTGAGAGCATATCTGTGAATTTGAGGGTCTTGAGATTTTGGCATCTGTCGAAGGAACGCGGGGTTGTGAGAAAGTATGAAGACAGCGAGAGTGATGTGAGGCCTGGATATGAGAATGAGTTTGTGAGAAAGTCCATGAAGTTTTGTTTGATCCGTAGATCATTATGGTGTCTAAGGGTGAGATGCTTGGTCTGCTTTACACTGGTGAGTGATTGAGTCCAAGTATTCAGCATCCCCTTTGTGTAATGGTCGATCACGCAGCTCTCTAGATGTCCACGGTGGTTGTTGATAACCTTGGTCATCAATGTAGCAACCCGATTCGAGAAATCGAGCTCATTGTTGGATTCCATAATCTTCTTCTTTCGCATGTCCAAGACTAGATGAGTCATGTGCTTCCACACATGTTCCCATCGTCTCGACACAACACTTGTCCTTATGGCTTCTTCTGTGGACAGCCTCGATAAGAACATCAGCAAAACATCATCTGGGAGTTTGCTGATCCAATCAACACTTTCGACCATATCAGATGATGATGATGATCTCTCCATATTTTTATTGGTATCGGTCCCTGTAAAAACAGAGCTTTATTTACAAAAGAAGCAAACAAACATGAGCATAAGCTATCAAATCCTTCAACTTAAACTAACTGAAGAAAGCAGAGTTTTGGCGAAGAAACCGAGAATTACGATCAAAGACTGGAAAATTTCAAACTAAGCCTTAAAACTTACGTGCTGCGTACGGAAGGGCTAAGAATGACATTGGATTGATCTCGAGACCGCTTTTGTTACGCAGAGATGGAGAAAGAGGAGGGACTTGAAATTATCTTCAAATGAATTAATTAAAAAAAAAATAAGCTACATATATATAAACAATGCATTAACGTTTAGGATTTAAGAGCAAATAATAAAAACAAAAGAGACGCAATGAGAAGAAGAAAAACTAAAAAAGGGTTTTTATTCAAAACAGAAATATCATTTATCTAAGTAGCAACAGTTTGATCAACTGTCACTCCAATTTTGATCTTCTCCATCTCATTACTCAGTATCTCCTTCACTCTGCTCTTTAGCTGCAAAAAGCCAAAGCAGAGAGAAACAGAGCATTCAAAACACACTCTCTGCTACTTCTTTTTTCATCGGATAAATTTAAAAAGATATTTCTTGCTGAATAAGTTTATTCGTACCTGATTGAGACCTTGTTCTGTTTTAACCGAGACATGAATTGATTCATCAGGTCCTGTTTCCCGGTACTTTATGATCTCCGCTTCGTCGCTGCTTCTATCTTCTTTGGCATAGATCACCGGAGAGCCTCCAAGCAGATCGCATTTGGACACAACATCAATCCACAAGTAATCCTTGAACCTCTCTTTGATCTCTTTATAAATCCCAAACTGCAATGCCCTCAAAACAAATACATAACTGAATCAGCAAGTTATTTGGCTCACACACATGCTCTGTTCTGTTTTCTTCTTAAAGCTAAATACCTGATCAGAAGGAGAAGTCCCACATTCTCCAGAGAGATCATGAACGTATAGAACAGCGGTTGGAAGATGAGTGAGTACAGCAAGAGTTAGCTTCTCTAGATTATTCCTATCCTCTGTAATGAACAACAATAGAAACTTAATCAAATATCATAAAACTATGCATTTACAAGAGAGTTTGTTAAGCAACTAATTAGATTTTTACCATCACATCTCCTGAGAAGACCAGGAGTGTCTGTCACCTGCAATGTCGTTTCTTGATAAATTTAACAATCCAAATCAAGAGTAGTGTGATATAGACGAAACAAAGTAAGTAACGTTACCTGAAATCGTTGGTAGTTCAAAACGATATGTCCCATCAGAATTCCTCTGGTGGTGAAAGGATAATTGCAAATCTGACAATCCAAAATAAAAATCTCATAAGCAACAGACACTGAAAGAGATTGTTGTCATAAATGAGAAGATCGGCACAAAAGGCAAACCTCAGGCTTCCCTGTTGAAAGAATGCGGACCAACGATGATTTCCCGACGTTTGGTGCTCCGACAAGGCAAAGTGTTGGCATTTCCAAGTCAACAACCGGCATAGCTCTCAAAACCTGCAAATGTTCTTAACTGTTAATTAAGTCATAAGGTTCAAAACCACTAGAAGAGAAAAGCAATCAATGAACCTTTGCTATGGTTAACAAATCATCAACAGCTTTTCCTTGTTGTTGGAAAACCAATTCAAGCTTCTCCACACCTTCGTTCAAGCGCTCCTCTGCTTCTCGCTTTGACAATGCCTACAAAAAGCAAAAAGCAAAATATATTTCCAACTTTTTCTTAACTGATTGTTGAGAAGCTTGTGACGCCCTTAGTGTTGCAGTACCATTTATGAGTATCAACTAACATGAAAAAATCTGACCTTAGCACAGAGAGAAGCATGTTCCTTTCCAACAGATAACACCTTCTTCCTCAGAACATCAACTTTTCCTAACACCTAAGAAAAAACTTAAACTTTATAAGCTCAATGCTAAAACTCAGTTGCAGGGGAATAAGCTGGATGACTTAGAGGGGGATGCATAATAGATGATACCTCCTCGTACTTTCCATCGCCAAGTGTCAACTCAATAAGAGACCGCTCATATGGATGCAAGAGTCTCTTCCTCGGAAAACTCTCCATGTATCCTTTCAAAGGCAGAGCCAGTTCCTTGAAACAAAGAGAAATTCCTGAATTTGGTAAGACAACAACAATCATTTCAGAATTTCAAAATCGAAGGATGCAATGTAACTTACTTTCATGAGCGCATCAAGCTGTTTAGCTCCTCTATTTCTTTCTCGCTTTGCAATATTAGCTATGCCTGAGTGAGACCAAAATGGACATAAGAGTCTGAAGGATTGTGTGAATGTGTGAACAAAACAGTAAAAGATTGAAAGAATCAATTCAACCTTTAGTTGGTTGGATTCGTTTAGACTTCTTGAGAGCAGAAGCATATAAATCAATTGATGGCATCACCATGGGAAGCTTTTGAAAAGCTCCCAAACCTTCTTGAACCGGCGGCTGTTTCTCCTGAAAACCAAATCCGAATCCGTTTTTTTGACTAAGTCAACACAAAGCTGGACACTTTTGTATTCAATTCAAAGAAGATATGAGGAAATAGTACCGAGGAGGAGGTAGGGAATTCAATCTGCTTCTGAGTGATGTAGGAAGTGGGAAGGTAGCTTGAGCTGACGACCGGAGAAACAGCCGTTTGAAGATTCCGGCATTGACGCGAGGTTGGAGACCAGAAAGTGGGAGACTTTGTGATGGAGGCTGATGAAGAGTGAGAGAGTGAGAGAGAAAGGTGAGAAGAGGAGGAGGAAAAAACGAAACCAGGGGAAGACAATTTCAAGGGATAAGAGGAAGGAGATTAAAGTTACCTGTCGAGGAAAGGAAAGCTTGTAGACGCCATTGATTGGGAATCAAGCTCGACGCCAGTTTCATAGTTTTTCTGAGACCCAAAATGAAGAAGCTTTTGATTCAGAGACAGTAAAAAGAAAACGATTGAGAACTGACCCACGAGCCTCCGGCGGCAATTCGACGGCGTTTCCGAACGGAGGTCAGAGAGATGAGTAGATTCGATAGCTGAGAACCGGACCGGACCGGCCCGGATTCTCGGATTTTTGACTCGATTAGTTCAACCAACCGGTCGTAAGTCGTAACCGAGTGACGCAAACGCATAGCGTAACCGGTAATGTATCGGGCCTAGTCAATATGTAAATGAATGGGCCTTGAAAGCCCACGAGCTGGTTCGCCAATCCTATTTTCCAGATTTTGCTTTTTCCTCAATTAATTAAACCCTAAATTCGTTTCAAATCCAATCTCCTTGTTCCTCTCCAGGAGCAAGATCACAATCACATTACTGGGTTTCACTCTCCGTTTGCTGCGGATAAGGGTTCGTGTTCTTCCATAAGTCTAAATTTGAATCAGAATCTCAACTCAGGTATGTGTCTCTCCCTTAAATCCCTAAGTAAAAATGCAAAATTGTCATTTGTCAATGTAGTTGGTGAGCACAAAATTCCGAGTCTTTATTTGTCTCTACTGAATCACATTTAGGGTTCTTCTTCTTCTTCTGCTTTTACTTAGAGGTTACTGAATTGGAAAAAAGGAAACTAGGAGATCTTAGGTCGAGAACGATAGGACTTATTCTGACCAACAAACCTTTTTTTTTTGTCAGGCAAGGTGGAGATGATAGAAACGAGAAGCCTAAGTAAGATGTGTAAAGAGCAGAAGAAAATCATTGAAGAGCAGAAGGAAATTATTGAAGAGCAGAGGAAGAAAGTAGAGCTGGTGGAGAAAGCGGTGGAGAAAGCAATGAAGACAATTGAGATGAGGATTGGAAATGTTGAGAAAGTGATGAATGGGGAGATGGAAGAGCTGAAGAAAGTAGTAAAGGAGAATGAAGAAAAGCTGAAAGACAAGTGTTCTGAGTTAGAAGGATTAGAGGATATGAACACGGCCCTCATGATAAAAGAACGTCAAAGCAATGATGAGATACAAGAAGCTCGCAAAGAATTGATTATGGTATGTGTGTATATGTTCATTCACCTTCTTGAGTGGCTGACATTAGTTTTGTGGGTTTCAATTTCACATAAAAGTCTTGTTCTTGCATAGGGATTGAGAGATTTGGCGGCTCATGGATCCAAGGTGGGAGTAAAGAGGATGGGACTAGTTGATGCAAAGGTCCTGATGAAAGCATGCGAGGAGAGATTCACTGGCCAAAACGTTGAGCTGGAACACGACAGGCTTTGCTCCAAATTGCAGGACACCATCAACGATCCGGCATGGTACCCATTCAAACGCGTGGGGACTGGAGAGAAAATGAAGGTTCTTTTTTGTTATTTTTTTGTCAATTTCTTTCAACACTAGCTAGTGTGTGTGTGTGTGTGTCTTTTTCTTGTCTCAGTTCTTGTTTTGTGGTGGTGAATGAATGGTGTAGGAAGTGGTGGATGAAGAGGATGAGCAACTTAAGAATCTGAGACAAGAGTGGGGAGAAGATGTGGTGAAGGCAGTCAAGACAGCACTGGAGGAGATGAACGAGTATAATCCAAGTGGTCGGTACCCAGGTCCTGTACTGTGGAATGTTGAACAAGAGAGACAAGCAACACTCAAAGAAGGGATTGCTCACTTGACCCAGCTACTCAAACGCAAACGAACCTCAAGCACCTAAATTAGTGATTTGTAAAAACAGACTTTAGTAGCTTCTGGAATCTACTAATCCTCTTTTGTCACTAGTCTATGTTGTATCTCGAAAATTAAGCCATGTAAACCCGTAGACGCTTCTTTTGTAAGTTTGGTGTTTGACTGTTTCAATATTTCTTAACGACTCATTGTCAAAGAAAAAGTAAGTCTTGCTGCAGTGAGTAGCAATGGAAATGTTTCCGAGTAACACGAGATTCAAATATTCCAGAGTTTGTTCCCGCCATTCTCAAACTGTAATGACAAAAGTGTTTCCCAAAATGAGCAATCCAGGGAAGAGTTTAATTGGAACAAAACTAATCATTTTTTTTTTTTTTGTAATCCAACAATCGGAACAATAATGGGCAACACATTTTTGCTTCTACACCACTTTTATCACGCTTGCTTTAATTGTGTGGTTCAAATGACAATGTTGGGACGAGTTTCAAATTCCTGATAAGTTGTAAATAGATGAATTCCATCATAAACGCTGATTTAAATCATCATTTCAATTTTGCTAACCAAACAAATTGAAATCTTTGGAAAATGAAAAAGGAAAAGAAGACAAAATAAGACTCAACGACTACAGTGAAGTGAGCCAGCTATCTCATTTTCAAAAATGTATAATCTATTAAGAAAATATGGAATAAAGTTGACCAATTCATGGTAGCCACGATTAGTGAGGGACAAAATTATTTTGGACCGGACTTTTGACAAAATAAAATTTCGACCCTACAACAACATTTCTATTTAGACTCCTCTCCTTTACTCTTTGATACATCCCCTTCAAAATCATACCAACTTATTTCCCATTTCTTTATTTTAGATGTTTCACAATCATGTATTCGTTTATACGCAAACAATTATATTCACTAAGTATATGCTATTGTCGAAGATATTGTAAGTGGGAAGAGTTTTACCAATACCACATATAGGAAACGATAACAATGATGGTATTTGTGAAAGACTAGCCATTCGGTGGTTTTTTTTGTATCCCATGTGTTATTTTTCAAAATTTTCCCTTGTAACTAAAGGCTGTGTTCATAAAAGTAACTTAATCAGAACTACCAAAAAAATCTTAATTAATCAAGACCTAAGTAGTTAAAAACATGGATCAAAGTAAATCCAAAACACACGTCGCTCAATTATTCAATCAACAAAACCTGCGACGTGACGTCGGGCTTTAGAACAAACAGTCGATTAAACATATTTGAATGGTCATGATTTGTTCCTGCACTCCCAACAATCCAATAGCACCCACACACACACACACACAATTTTTTATACTATACATATCTGCTTATTATTCGACCTTACCACATATATTCGACTACGTAATGTGATTTAACTTTTAAGGGAATGGACGAGATTGAAATGGTTATCTTAATTAGTCCTATGAGGTATAGATTCTCGGGTTATATAGACCTGTAGTTGTACACATATAGTATACTTAGGCATAAGTTTTAAATGCGAATAAGGTTCCTAGAAACTGATTCCTTAAGAGAAATAAGTTAATCAGTTAAAGTACTTCATAGTTCATACTTTGGTGAGTCTCGTGCCGAGGAGTGAGGACAAACCTTATGATTAGTATTAATTTTAACTTTCTAAAGGGCAGTTGATGCTCATTAAGGGGTTTTTAAAGTATTTAGACGAATAACTTTTAGTAACATACAGATTGAAACGTATTATACAATGTGATAAAACTTTAGAAATGGCTCATTTATAAACTAAAAAAGTGAATATTAGAATATGTTTAAGATATAGTCTCATCTAAATCGCATATTTTATTATTATTGTTTGAACGGCATAACTTGAATCCGAGTAATTATGGTACAACAATAACCTTAGTACAAGGCACTATTTTATATATATATATATATATATATATATATATATATATATGTCATATCGTAGACATAATTGACCATATGTTCATGAGTTAAACTACGTACACAACATTTTACATCATAGGTTTTGACTCTAGACTCATTATAGAACCAATCAAAACAAATCGTTGTTAATACATATGTATGACTATTATATTATTCAATGTTTTTTTTTTCTTTTAGCAATAAGATATTCCTCTTTTTGTTTTTTCTTTGCATGTATCAGGAGAGATTAACCAAGAAGATTACAGAAACAAAAAAAGAGTCGACTGTGACAAGGAGAGGTCAAGCTGAACCATCGCTTTTATCATCATTCTCTTTGCTAACAGCTCACAACCACACACACCCAAGTATTCGTTTCTAATGGAGAAGAGCAAATTAAGCAAATAATGCATATTCTGATAGAGAAAGAGATCCACAATGATTTCTTCATTCTAAAAGCTTCTTTAGCACACTACGATACATGTATCATCTAAGTAGAAATATAAAAACATGACATACACGACCCATTCTCGTAAAAGTTAGCATTTAGCAACATTTCATGTTACGTAGAGGATATCAGACACATGGTTTAAAATTGATAATTACCAACCCACTCACTCCTCACTCCAAACCAATATATCAATCATCTTTAATAAAATTTTAGTCCCTCACTCATAAGTCAACTCTCATATGTTCTCCTATAAATACCCTACACATCCTCTTTTCTCTCTACTACAAACACAACAATCACAAAAACATACATCCTCAAAGATCCCATCTCTCTTTTGAAATGGAGCACGAGGAAATTCCATCAATGCCCTCAACTCCGGCGACAACACCCGGGACTCCAGGAGCACCGCTCTTTGGAGGCTTCGAAGGGAAGAGGAAAGAGCATAATGGTAAATACACACCAAAGTCACTTTTGAAAAGCTGCAAATGTTTCAGTGTTGACAATGAATGGGCGCTTGAAGATGGAAGACTCCCTCCAGTCTCTTGCTCTCTCCCTCCTCCTAACGTCTCCCTCTACCGTAAGGTACACTTACAAGTTAGAATCTCATCGTAATTACACTTTTCTCATATTCATGTTTCAGTTATCTGATCATTGACCAATACATGTGTGTGTGTGTAAAGTTGGGTGCAGAGTTTGTTGGGACACTGATACTGATCTTCGCCGGAACAGCCACGGCGATTGTGAATCAGAAGACAGATGGAGCCGTGACACTTATAGGTTGCGCCGCCGCGGCTGGTCTGGCGGTTATGATCGTTATTCTGTCGACGGGACACATCTCCGGGGCACATCTTAATCCGGCTGTCACTATTGCCTTTGCTGCTCTTAAACATTTCCCTTGGAAGCACGTTAGTCCTTTATTACACAATATCCATTTTTTTGTTTTTTGGTTACTGTAGACCCACATGAATTTATAGACATGCACGCACATGCACCTTCTAAACAGTATTGATGTTTCTTTTTTGTTGGTGTATTAAAGTAATTAATTGTTTAAAATTAATGTGTAAAAAATTTAGGTGCCGGTGTATATCGGAACACAGATTCTGGCGTCGGTGTGTGCGGCGTTTGCGCTGAAAGCAGTGTTCGAACCGACTATGAGCGGTGGCGTGACGGTGCCGACGGTGGGACTTAGTCAAGCTTTCGCCTTGGAGTTCATTATCAGTTTCAACCTTATGTTCGTTGTCACTGCCGTCGCCACCGACACTAGAGCCGTAATTTACTGACTTTTTCAAACATTTGGAGGAGTTTTGAAACACTTGTTCGTGTCTGAAAATGAATCAACAAAATTACAGGTGGGAGAGTTGGCGGGAATCGCGGTCGGAGCAACGGTCATGCTTAACATACTCATAGCTGGGTAAAAAAATAATAAACAAGATTATTGGTTTCTCTTGTATCTTTTATATTGTCTTAATGATTGATCATGATGTTTGTTGTGTTGTGTACAACACAGACCTGCAACATCTGCTTCGATGAATCCAGTAAGAACATTGGGTCCAGCTATTGCCGCAAACAACTACAGAGGTATTTGGGTTTACCTCACAGCCCCAATTCTTGGAGCGTTAATCGGAGCAGGAACATACACGATTGTGAAACTACCGGAGGAAGACGAAGCACCGAAAGAGAGGAGGAGCTTCAGAAGATAATCAAAAGACAAAACTTGAAAATCAAATTCCCTATGTTATACTCTGTTTGCATCGTATATCTGTATAATCATATAATCTCTTAAGCCAACGAACGTTATAAAATTGGGTTATCAAAATTGCAATATCGTTTCGTTTCATCAAGTGGCTGGTTTTTGAGCCTCAAAATACAGATTTTTTAAAAAGGGAAATATAGTAAGTAGAGAGCGGATTCCATGGCTTGCTCCTGGCTGCATCTAATTCATCTTGTTGATGAGATCATTGATCTTGTCTTGGCGGTCTCCGGTATCTCCTCCATCGCTGAAAACATTCTTCTTGCCGTGCAAAACACCGGCCTCGGGCTTGTTGAGTTTCAAGGGTCCCAAGAACTTCATAACATCTGTGAAATGATCACCAACCCTTGCAATCTCATTCACAATGTCTTCGAGACAATAGATCTCGTGTTCTCCTAGAGCCTAGAGCAACACAAGTTGATGTTGAATAAGAATCAGCATTTATCATCTTGAATAAGATCTCTTACGAATCAACAACATAAAACAAACTTGTACCTGCTCGATAATATTGTTGTCGGTAAGAGGAACAGGCTTTTCTTCTATAATTGTGTATCCCTTTTTGAATATGAGGTCCTTAACGCTCTTCTCATTCGGGTATCTTCAAGCATGTTTAGCATAAATCAGCTTCTAAGACAATTTTGCTCAGATAAAAACCAAGGAAAGATTGAGAAAGGATGTTAATTTCCATACCCGTAAGTAACGTAAGGCTGCACTTTCAGAAGCTTTTGGAATAAACCAGCATTTGCTTTGGCAAATACTCCAGTAAAGGTGCTCCTTAATCGCAAGCTGTTAAGAACCTTCTTGGTCTTTGAGCACATATCATTCCCTCTGGTCACCAGAAAGGAAAGTAAAATGAATGAGGAAGCTGGCAGAGATGAAGATTAAGTTCCAATGGGGAAAATCAAAACCAGTGGAGAGTATGAATTTACCCTTGAATGCGTATGATGAAAACCAGGTTTGATTGTATCGGTGGAGGAGTTGCCTTTGGCCTCTTTACCCTTTGCTTCATCCGAATAAGATCTAGTTCCTTCAGGAAGAACAAAACGAAAAGTGTCAAAACTACAAATAACAATCCACTCTTAACGAAACTAACAAGTCATAAGCTAAACATTGTAAAACTAGGGAGAAATCACAGAGAGAAACACATGGCATGAAGCAAAGAAAGACGTTTAAGGTGCAACCATAAGTTAAATGAACAAAATGAGACCATTCTGTTTCCATGGAGTACAGAACATGTTCTAAGACGTAGACAAGTCTAAAGCAAAATCAGAACTTGACAAATGACAGAGCAAGAAGTTGTATGAGAAAGCAAAATGTTTATGAATTCCACCAAATTAAACTGGAGATCAAGACGAACCTTATTCCTGTACTCAAGCACGAAATCTTCTGGGCGTTTGATATCAGCGACTTTCTTTTGCTGCTTCTTCTTGATGTATTTTCCCAACTCTAGTTGCTGCTTCCTGATAAAGGCAAGCTCATCTCTCTTCTTCCTCTTCTTCAGAATCACCTCCGGTATGTAATCCAAACCTTTAGGTTCTTCTGCAGCCACTATCTCTACACTCTTGGCTTCTCCTTCGGCCATTATTTCTACACTCTTGGCTTCTTCTTCAGCCATTAACTCTACTCTTTCTTCCTACCAAAACAAACACATATCAGATTTTGATGCACAAGCTAATCGAAACTTGATCATATATGACTGAAGCGTAATAACAATCATGAAATGAGAACAATTAAAACTCCAACTTATACAAATTTAGCAAACACCGACAGACAAGTCCTATTTCTGATCAATTCCCAGAAACTGATTTCGACTCTGGAAGTGAGCCTAGAGAGACGGAACAGAAGTATGACGAAGAACAAAGGAAGTTTAACAAGAGCAAAAAGGAGACGGAAACGCCAAGTTTACCGGTGGAGACGAAGCAATTGAACGGCGGCTGAAGGATTCCGTAGTCGCAGTGGCGGTTCTCGTAAAAAGAAACCGAGAGAGAGAATTCGTTAAGAATTAGGGTTTATCAGCTTAAAATCTCTTTGTTCGGTGGAGACGAAGCAACTGAAAGGCCTAATTTCGGTCCGGGTCAGACCTATTTAATTTAGGCTTTCAAGCCCACTAAATATAGGCTTAAAGGGCCTAACTGTCATTATATTAGTTTCAGACTGATGTGGTTAAATAAAAAGGAATCTGATAGAGAAAGAGATTTAGCAACAACCAACACATGAAAAATTTGTATACGGCAAATTTTTGTTACTCGAGTATTAGCTTTAGAAAAACTTGGACGTTCTTTTGCCTTTATATTTTTTTTGGTTACTGAAAGAATGAGAGGGTGGTCCATATAATTTTGGTGTGGAGGTTGGACCGACAAGGTAATCTAGGAGGAGATATATTGTCGAAATTGATTAGACAAAGCAAAATAAAAACAAAAATGTATCACCTCACAAGTCACTACGATGAAAGCAGAAAAAAATGTACTTTTGAAACTAAAGCTGGATATATGGTTTTCGTAATTTTTATTACGAAAATAAATCAATAATAAATGTTGGGGAATCATATGTTGTTGATAAGATCATGTTTCTATGTATTAAAAATTGAACCGGTGTGACTACTTGGTTATTTGATTGTTTTACGTTAAGATCGCAATTATATGCTGTTACTGCTAACAAGATCAGCTAAATGTTTGTAAAATGTATCACCTAATAAGATCGTAATCTCTATCGGCCAATAAGGAGGAAAACAAAACATTTGATTATCGATTCAACTTTTCTTTTGGATAAACCACAAGTACAACGTAAAAAAGAACTGATTTAACAGTTTAGTTGACTTGTATCAATGGTGTAGGAATTTGTAAGTTAACAAGAACGAATATCTAATCATAATCAATGCATGATTAATGACGTTTCCTGTGAGATGGATGTCTATGATTTTTCAGTTTTGGACAAACAACCGAAAACGGGAGAGAATGGATTAAACAATCAACCGAAAGAGATTGTCGGGGAGATCTGATTGGCTTCATAATCCTTGTCCAAAGTTCTAACTTACCTAACACTTAAACAAATAAAAGACAGCTTCTTCGTTTAGGGTTTTGAATCAAACGTCTCACCTAAACCCTACACAAAGGGAGCTACATACATACGGTTTATGCATAAGTATAATAAATAAATAAAACGTTTATAATGAAAAAATGATAATAAACTTACAAAAAAGGAGGTGACAACTGACAACAAAGACAAACTCATTTGATCAAGATAGAGCTACTTATTGCATTTTTTACGATAGGTATAACATGAAATCATAAACACTCATTATTAATGTTTCCAAATAAAATCAGATAATCACAACATTAATTTTTTTTTTTTTTTCCTTTTTCAAGTGTCCACTACTATACACATGTGTGGGCTCTGTAGCTCTAGGTCAGATTGCACACATCAAAAGTGTCATTTTTTTCTTTAGACATCATTCAATTTTTTTTCTTTCTTTCAAAAAGGTCACATGTCCGTCCAATTCCATAAATAGAACTCACACTTCACTTCCCACGACCACATCACTTCACATCTATATCCAAAATTTACTTTCCTTCTCTTTATATATTCTCTCTAGGCTGTATACACAGATAAAAATATATACATGGATGCTTCAATCAAAGGAGATGAAGAAATGTTAAAAATCAAGAAACGAGGACATCAAGATCTTGAGTTGGGATTGACCCTTTTGCCACGTGGTACGTCTTCACCAGAGCTTAATCTCATCGATTCTTTCAAAACCAGCTCATCATCGACTTCTCATCATCGTAATCATCAAGAACATTTGGAAGATCCGAGAGTGTTCTCGTGCAACTATTGTCAAAGAAAGTTCTATAGCTCACAAGCACTAGGCGGCCACCAAAACGCACATAAACGCGAACGCACTTTAGCCAAACGCGGACAGTACTACAAGATGAGTCTCTCCACCTCCTCACCTTCTTCAGCATTTGTGTTTGGCCACGGTCCAGTCAGCAGATTCGCAAGCATGGCATCGTTACCATTACATGGCTCGCCGATTAGTAACAGATCGACGCTAGGGATTCAAGCTCATTCAACAATCCATAATCCCTTTTTAGTAAGACAAACACCGAGTTTAAGTCATGTTTTCAGACAGGGCATTCATCAGAAACCGGCCATCGGAAAAATCTTGCCGGAGAAATTTCACCTTGAAGTCGTCGGTAGTAACAACAACAACATTATTGCTGCTAAGTTGGAGAGGAATGGACATTTCAAGAGCAATCAAGAAGATCATAATCAGTTTAAGAAGATTGACTTGACTCTTAAGCTATGATCTCTTAATTGTCATCTTCTTTTTAGTCTTTTTCTTATATTTTTTGTTTCTTAAAACTATATTTTGATTTTTATATTTGTTTAATATAAAATGATTGACGGCAGGAGGTGTTTAATACTTTTCGTTTCTTTTATATGTTGGTGTATAATTTTTCAGGTCTATTTTAAGTATGCGTAGTACAATACTCAAAACTACTAAACTGGATTATAGGAGAAAATGTTAGGTATTCCAGATATATCATTAGACTGGTGTCGTTTCAAATTATTGAGGAATATAGTCATTAGAACAACAACTTATGTCCTACGTTATACGCATTATTGCCCACTAGATTGTCACGGATTTATTTGGCGTGAACTGAATTTCGTCAATCGATATAAACAGATTTCTTATTATTCGTTGACAAAAAAATAATCATGTAAAGTCTAGTTGACGAATTTATATAGTATCATATGACAAAATAAATCAGCATAAACAAGATTTTACGTTTCTTAAGAGTGGATACAATGTGATTATCAAAGAGAGGTCCTACATGTAGTTAAAAGAAACGGACATTAATATACAAGTGAAGAGTTCTTCGTCAGATGTTGTTGCTTTCATCGCCATGTGACTATTAAAGTAAATTTTAGATGGTCCTTTTTAACCTAATCTTGTCATGTCGCTTTTATAAGCTCACGAATTTTCACCATTATGTAATATTAAATGTACCATTATTAGATCTAAATCGATTAGTACTGAGTAAAAAACTAAACATTGCATGATTACAAATATTTTATAATAATTACATTTGTTACTTCACATTTCACGATTTTTTTTCTAGCTTTTGTAATGATACGTGACCATGTGGGTGAGAGGGATCTACTACTAGTGAAGCTTAATTATTAGTATCTTGGATTTAGTGAATTATAACCCAAAGATTCTGTGAAGTTTACTTTGAGTGGGTCCGCATCAAGTTGATGTTTACATTAAAGTTATATAATTAAAAGTTTAATGCTAATCATTGCAATTAACAATCAATATTCTCCACAAATCAAGATGTTAACGATGCGGAAATCATGTTGTTATTCACCATAATTACCTCACTAATCCCTCTCACACTATCCTAATCCGTCACATCGATCAAGATTTTAGTGTAGATACCAAAATCATATTTCACAGTGGAAAAAGATCCAATTTTCTTTCGATAATGACGTTTTAATTCTAGCTACACTGAGGGTCATTAGATGCTAAACACCCTTTTTTACATATAATCTCTCCAAAGAGAGAGAATTCGACCAAAAACAGAGTGAAATAAAAAAAGTAAAAAATCTCCAAACGCAGGAAAAACACATTTGAGATAAATAACACAAAACAGTAAAAAATCGATCCAAACTGAATTTAAAAACTAATCTTTACAAAACCAATTATAGTAGTCCACATTGAAGCGCAGAACTGGTTTAAAATTTAAATGGATTCAGCTAGCTTGTCCCTTTAACTTCTGGTGTTTCACAGTAAATCACACTAGTGAATTAAAAACTAAAAAAAGGTAAAAAAATTATTCAAAGACACAACAAATCTATGGAGTTGCTACTCTGTCAAGGAACACTAAGAATTGATCTGGAAGTCACCAATTCAGACACAAGTGTTAGATAGCAAGTTCCTATAAGAAACATGTGACATGTATTTGCTGAAATGATGTTATTGTACATGTAACTGTCCATGCTCGTAAATATGCATCTAGGGATAGTTTTTACACAATCTGCAAGCTAAAGAACCCATCCAGCAAAACAAAATTTGCAATTGAAATTATTAAGCATATCCAAATCAAAGAGTCATACTCAAATGCACACTGCATTTCTGAAGAACCAAACTGTGGAAAGCCTTAGACTTTGTTTCTGACTAAAGGCTAATATGTCTATTTCTGCTCGACATAAGATTTAACACTCTCCATCCATCTAACGTACTCGCCTTTACCTTTGTTCTTCATATACTTATGCAAGAAAACAGCAAGGTCGTCGCTTATACCTCTTTTCTCTAAATACTGATACAGAGCCTCCTGAAGCTCATCATCTAACTCCCTGTAATAACCAAATGCAAACACAATTCAACACTCACATTTTTCACAGTAATCCTATATCTCAAGCCAAGAAAAGAATCAAGTCACGTACTCAAACTCTGGTCCATTGTAGGAAGAAGGTGAGCTCTTGACGCCTTTACGAATGCAGAGCTTTGATATCTCTATGTTATCTGGCCAAGCAGAACACATTATCTCCAAAGTTTCACCAGCAGTTCCCTTAGTGATGTTGACAATGAAAGTGATGTGAAGAATAAATTCAGGTTCAGTCTTGGTGGATTTTGACGTCGGAACTGATTTGTCAAACATGGTTGCTTCGATTTTGATGTCCTCTTCTTCCCCAAATTTCCCTTTCAAGCTAATCCACTGCTCTCCAGGCCGTTCTTCCACACTGAATGGACCATAACTTCTAGGAGGCTGCGTATGTTTATAATCGAAGTGCTCAAAATTAGCCAATGCAGACAGCATAAATATCAGAAATTGGGAGCCAAATTTCATGTAAATGCATTCAATAAGACAAACCAGAAAATTTCTCTTTTTTTTTATTAGCTAACATTTGAGTTTATGAGACAAAATGTATCAACCTATGATTCACAAGCCAAAATAATCAATTCATCTGTATGGCTATTCCAAAATCAGATTCCGAGAAGGCTTAAAGTTTCTAGCTTTTTGCCATTACCAGATAAAAATTCGCGATTTTGATTTCGTAGAGTACCTGAAGAGGAGGCAAGTGATCGAGTTCGTATTCGATTTCGTTACGGATTAGTCTGCAAATGTTTCGCTCGAAAGCTGATTTCTGCATTTCTGACACGTAGCTCCCCGAGCTTAGACATCTGCGGCTGATTAAAAATTTAGGATTTTGATTCGATGGGAAACCGATTGTAGGGTTCCGGTACGCAATCGAAGGGGACGACGACGAATTAGAGAAAACTGTTCTTCGCAGACATCTGACGAATCGAGCCATCGACAGAGACGAAAGCGCAGAGCAGAGCAAGTAGTGGAACAGAGATGAATGGCGAAGATTTTAGGGTTTAAGAAGTTTCCATCGTACGGCTAATCGGTCTTTCTGGGTTTTGGTGTAAGCTAATCCAGACCGTCCATTCAAATCAAAACGATACTATTTCCTTTTTCCGATTAAAAACGGAAAGGAAAGGACTTTTTTTCTGGCGGCAAATGTGAATCTCCCGCCTCCATCATCGACCATTCCAGGGAGATGTTGTTACAGTTTTAGTGCGAAGTGTGAAATATCTCTCTGTTAATCAGACATTCTTTGAGGCTTCAATGGCGACGGAGTACGAGCGCAAAAGACTAGAGAACATCAAACGGAACGATGAGATGTTGGCGGCTCTCAATGTTCAAGCCAAAGCTTCTCTTCTCTCCGCCGCAACCAAACGCCCTCGAGCTTACTCTAAGAAGAAGAAGAAGAAACCTGAAACGCCCATTGTTATACGGAAGTCTCTACGCAGCAGAGGATTGGATCCAGATGGGTCTTCAGATAAACCCAAACGTGTGGCTCCTCCACTGAACGCATCGCCTCCGGTATTGGATCCTCTAGTCTTCGATGAAGCTTATAGTGGAAACGGTTCGTATACGCAATTCGCTGAGACTTTTTTGTCTATTGCCGTTAAACAATCTTGTAGAGTAAAATTGGTTAAGGATGAGGATGAGTCTCCTATGGTGAGGAGAAGAACTAGAAGCTCTGCTCTCAAATCTAATGTTGCTGTCAAAAAGGAAAGGTCAGATTTTGATTCTGATTTTCCGGTTAAGCCTGAGATAATCGAGTCCGAGAGTGGTTTTGATATCGGATCGTTGAGTCTAGAGCCGCATAACGTAGCAAGTGTTGTCCCTGGGAGGATTTTGGTTGTAAAGTTCTTACCTTGCGAAGATGTTAAGATGGTTGCTGCTGGGGACAAACTTGGGAATGTTGGATTTTGGAGTTTGGATTCCGAAAATGAGGATCAGATACATCTGTTCCAGCCTCACACTGCCCCAGTTACATCTCTAGTGTTTCAACAAAACTCTTTCTCAAAGGTAAAGTTTTTATTTAAAGGAGCCGTCTTTAAAACTTTGGTATGAGAAAAAGTAACTCTTTTTATAGTTGTTAGTTTCGTTAAGCTCTTTCTCGTTGGTTCACTTTATTGGCAGGTTATTAGCAGCAGCTACGATGGTCTAGTCCGGTTGATGGATGTTGAGAAGTTGGTTTTTGATGTGGTTTGTTCGAGCGATGATCCTATAATATCTCTCTCGCAGAGACCAAATGATGAGCAAAGCTTATACATTGGTGACGGATATGGAATGTTGAATGTATGGGACCTCCGAGCAGGAAAATCTGTTTCCCATTGGAGATTACATGGAGCTTGGATAAACTCTATAGACTTCAACCCGCAAAATCCCAGTGTCATGGCTACAAGCTCCACAGATAGGACTGCTTGCCTTTGGGATTTGAGAAGCATGGGAGCAACAAAACCAACAACATTGAGGACTGTAAGTCATCGCAAGGCTGTGCACTCTGCTTACTTCTCTCCTTCTGGCCTTTCTCTTGCAACTACGTTGTACATTTTAATTATGAGCTACAAAAACCGGTTTTGCTAATCTCTTTGGTTTAAGAACTCTCTGCATCGTTTTCCTTGTAGCCTTGACAACTATGTTGGTATTCTAAGCGGGGCCAATTATGAGGATAGTTCCATGATATATCATGACAATAGCACCAACTTGTGGATCTCCAGTTTCAGGTATGCTCTCAGTTTCGATACATTCTTCTTTCACTTGTAATGAGAAAAGTGAAGAGGAAGGTAGTTACTTTCCATCTGGATTTTGATTGCAGGGGAGTGTGGGGATGGGATGATTCATACATCTTTGTGGGGAATCAGTCAAAAAGAATGGATGTGATCTCTCCAAAACTAAAGTATGAAATCTGTTCCATGCAGAATCCATTGCCATCCTCTTAATGTTGGCATGCTTGCAGTCTCTAGTGCTGGAGGACAAGTCTATGTTTGGGCTACAAAGTAGCATACTTTCACCATTTTCAATCAGAAATGTAACCGTTTGAGTGTTTGTTGTAGTTTTTATGTGTATCTAATAGCTTAAAGTTGAATCCTTTTGATCTGTATTGAATTTAAACAGCATAAATACAGTTTTGAGATATGATATGACTCAAAATCTCTTAATACAGTCATTAGATGTTGTTTTTATGGAAAGTCAATATTTTTATGGCGGGAAATGTGATTCTGCCGCTCTAGGTCTTCTTCTTCAAGAGACGCCTTTTCTCTCGATCTCTCTCTCTCTTTCACACACACTCTTTGAGGCTTGAAATGGCGACGGAGTACGAGCGGAAAAGATTGGAGAACATTAGACGGAACGATGAGATGTTGGCGGCTCTCAATGTCCGCGCCAAAGCTTCTAATCTCGCCGCCGCAATCAAACGCCCTCGAGAAGAGTCTAAATCATTTAAGAAGAAGAAGACGACGAGTAAACCCGAGACGCCCGTCGTTATCCGGCAATCTCTACGCACCAGAGGCTTGAATCCGGATTCCGGTGGCTTACCCGACCCGATTTTAGAGAATCTCAGACGTAGGGCGGCTCCTCCTCGAGAGAAGCTTCCTCGGAAGAAATCGCGTCGCCAATTGGCTCCTCCTAAACAGTACGCATCGCCTATCCCGAAGCAATCGGATCGTCAATTGGCTCCTCTGCCCTTCGATGCGGCTTATGGTGGTGACGGTTCTCATGAAGATTTCGTTCAGACTATGTTAGGTATTGCGAGAAAGCCGAATGAAAATGGAGAAATTGGAGCGGTTAAGGTTTGTAAGGATGATAATGATAATGATGATACTCCTCTGTCTCATAGACGTTGTAACACTAGGAGCTCTTCTCGCTTGTCTGTGAAAAAGGAAAAGCCAATTTCATCTAGTGATGGTTATGTGAAGAAGGAAGCTTTTGATTCTGATTCGCGGGTTAAGCCTGAGAAAATCGAGTTTGAGAGTGGTTTTGATGCGGGACCGTTGAGTTTGAAACCGGAGAACGTAGCACGTGTTGTCCCTGGGAGGATTTTCGTTGTAAAGTTCTTACCTTGCGAGAATGTTAACATGGTTGCTGCAGGGGACAAACTTGGGAATGTTGGTTTTTGGAATTTAGATTATTGCGAGGATGGGAATAAAGATGAGAATGGGATATATCTATTCCAGCCTCACACTGCCCCAGTTTCATCTCTTGTGTTTCAGCAACACAATATCTCAAAGGTAAGTTTCATTTGAATGAGTTTGAATTGCAACTTTGGTAGGTTAATAGTTTCTTTAAGCTCTTTTTTTTTGCGTTGGTGCGTTCATGGCAGGTCTTTAGCAGCAGCTATGATGGTCTTATACGGTTGATGGATGTTGAAAACTCAGTTTTTGACTTGGTGTATACGAGCGATGAACCTATATTTTCCCTCTCGCAGAGGCCAAACGATGAGCAGAGTTTGTACTTTTGTGAGGGATATGGAATGTTGAATGCGTGGGACCTTCGAGCAGGGAAGTCGATGTTTCAGTGGGATTTTAACAAACACAGGATAAACTCTATAGACTTCAACCCGAGAGATCCTCATGTCATGGCTACAAGCTCCACAGATGGGACTGCTTGCATTTGGGATTTGAGAAGCATGGGAGCAGAAAAACCAAATACATTGAGGACTGTTAGTCATCGCAGGGCTGTGCACTCTGCTTATTTCTCACCTTCTGGCCTTTCTCTTGCAACCACAAGGTATCTTCTTCTTGTCTTTCTCCTCAGCCCTTTGTGGAATGCTAGTGGCTGTTTTATGTTTCAACTCTGTGTGTTTGTTAAACTCTCGCTTTGTTTTCCTTGTAGCAATGACAACTATGTTGGTGTTACAAGCGGGCCCAATTTTGAGGAAACTTCAATGATATATCACGATAATTCAACCAACAGATGGATCTCCAGTTTCAGGTATGTTCCAGCATTTTTGTACCATAACAAGCTCTCAGTTCCAGTAACCTTTCTGTGTTATCTTCTACTTGGATTGAAGATTATGCATTGTTTTTTTTTATTGCAGGGGGGTATGGGGATGGGATGATTCATATATCTTTGTCGGCAATTGGTCAAAAGGAATTGATGTCATCTCTCCGAAGCTAAAGCGAACAGTGAAGGAACTGCGTGACCCTCTTCAGAGAGCTATTCCATGCAGACTACATTGCCATCCTCTCAATGTTGGAATGCTTGCAGGATCCACGGCTGGAGGACAGGTCTATGTTTGGACTACAAAGTAGCATACTTTGAGCATTTTCAATCAGCATTTGAGCTCTTGTTTTGTTTTGTTCTATCGTACAGACAAATATATAAAGATTGGAAGTTATGTTACTGAAGTTCTAATAGCTTAAAGTTAAACCATTTTGATAATCCTTAGTGAGTTCCCAGGTGAAAGCAAACATGAGAGAGTTACATCTGCATTAGTTCCAAGAGAAGATTACATCCTTCTTCATCTGCCAACTAAATTTCATTTCTAATCATCTTAGTGAGGTCCAGGCGAATCCACATTGGATTGACTCTCACCCGGTTTTCTGTACATTTCCCTTCTGTTGGAATCTTCTTTTGGAGCGAGTTTAGTAGATTGGTCTTCTTTGGTTGGAGCATTCCCTGAAGGTTTCTTTGTCTCCAAAACAATCTCTTTTATTGCCTCTTCCATTTTTCCCAATCTCTCTTTCATCTCCATCAACTCTTTTTGAGACTTGGTTGCTGCCTCTTCTACTAACGCCTTTTGTTCAGCTTCTTCTTTCTCTTTCTTTTCGTCTTCTTTCCTTTTCTTCTCTGCAAGTTCCTGAGAATATGTCCCAATTTCATGAAGCCAGAATGAACAATGGAGGACAAGCAATAAGACATGACTCATATCTCATCAGAAACTCAATCAGTTTGACAATGAACAAGAAGGATATAACTCACTGCGTCCATGATCCTCATTCTACGGCGAGCATATTGAGCAACCAGATACACAGCTGTTACAAGAAACGCAATACCCATTCAAACAAGTAACAATTGAGATCGTTGAACAGAACACTTAAGAGGGAAATTTGAAAGGAGTGTAGTGTAATACCGAAAGACGGCAAGCAGACGATAATGAATTGCACCACATGCCAGTCAAATCTAACACAAAGCAAAACCATATCAGCAAGACATACTACCAAAAGAATCAGCACAAAAACTCAAGCTTGCTTAAGAGATCAATTCAGAAAGTAAACTAGATAACAGCAACAACAATTTGAAAACGAAGCTCAGTGATCTTCTCACTTGTTTCAGCCTAAAGAAGCTAACCATTCTACAGTTCTAAATGAATTTCTGTTTTCCTGCATCAGAAGACCCCAACGCTATCTGGTAACTGGAAAAAAAACAGGGCCTTTACATGATTTAGGGTTTATTGAAGCATGAAAAAAACCAACGACATATCGATTTCAAAAAAGTCGCCACCACTAACTCAAGAGCAAAAACCTTTAAAACCAAAATCTCAAGGCAGAAATTACCCAAATTTATTCTTCTTCGGTGGTTCAGAGAACAAGATCTTCGCAGCGGTAACGAAATCGAGCTTATCGAGCTTCTTGTACGTCTCATTGTATCGAGAAACACTAGATTCAGCCTCGCTGCTGTGCTGAGCAACACTAGAATCCGTCTTCTCGAGTTTGTTCCCACCATTCTCTCCTTTAGAGCAGAGACGTCGGATCCCGTAAAGTTTCAACCGGGTCGAGAATCCGACCCACGAGCCTCTGCCGCGAAGCATCCTGATTTCTCCCGGCGACAGCTCCACTACGGCGCATTTTCCAGACAAATGAGCGTTTCAAAACGCAGAGTTGAGGCTGATGGGTTTCCGGGTGAACCGGATCGTACTGTCTCGGGTTGTGGTTTGGTTACTTATACCCACCGGTCCGATACGATTTAAAAATTAGAAACCGGGTTTCTTTATTAGACTTTTAATCAAACGAAAACATTGCTTAATTTAGGAAGTAAATTACAGATTTGAATCAAATTGGTACATTTCGTCAACAATTAGTAATTTTCATTAGTCTCTTTCGCTTTGCCTTTCTCCAGCTTTGGAGAGTATTTGTGAGCTAATATGTGGACCTCTTTTTCCATTTTTAATTAGTTTTTATATTATGCTAGAGAAACATTCTTTTTTGAACTTTAACCAAGGAAAATTAGTGGCAGGCCTCTAATAATTCATATTTTCATGATAGAAAGTTGAACTTTTCATACAACTCATGACTTTAAGTTTATATTCTTTACGGCATCTTACACGTTATTATACATACAATTTCAATAAGTTTGTTTTAAAATTTAATTGCCTAAAGAATATTCGTTAAATTATTAATCAAAATATTTTCTGTGGCACCTACATTCAATAAACGCACACATAGATTCATGATTAGTGTCATTTTTCCAAACAGAAAACGCTTATTGAACACTATCCCACTTTATAGCATATAATTAGTCACACCACTATATTATTACATATCAAGTCAAATTAAAAAAGAAAAAGAGTGGTCTCGAGACAAAAAGTTGAGCTAAAGATAAGGAATATTAAGCTTTATAATGGACCCCATAATAAACTGTATAAATTGTTTAAAGCATACCGCCAATACTAGTTTAAGTTTCTAGGCATTTTTATAAACCACTGAATAATAACAACGATTCTTGTAACTGAGCCATTTAGGAATTTAATTCGTTCAAGGAATCGTGATGGTCGTTTATGAAAACAAATCATAAATTTAGTTATATTAGGCATTGTTTAATACTACAAGATTCAAAAACAAAAATAGATTAGCTAAGCAAAGTCTTTTATTCTTCTTCTCCTTCTGACTTTTTAATCCCACAATTGACATCGGAAATCTCAAAAGACAAGTCGTTGGCATTTTGTGTAATTATGCTAAACTGAAAAGGGTGAATTGTCATCAACTCCGACAATTTATATTGAACGACTCATCTTCTATCGGGAATAATTTCGGTCCGGCTGCTTCTCTGCCGCCGGTGACACACTCTCTCTCTCTCTCCCGTCTCCTTCTCTTTCTCTCTCTTCTCTGTCATTCACTCTCCGAGCGGTAATGGTGAAGTCTCTAGGATTCTCCGACTGATAAAATCTTTACTTGTAAAAGAATTGAGCCTTGAAAAGAGGAAGAAGAATTCGAAAGAAAGGAAAATGCTTTGCCGGAAAAACTCAAGCTTTGTGGATAGAGGAAATGTGCCGGTTTATCTCAATGTCTACGATCTAACTCCCATCAATGGCTACGCTTACTGGCTTGGTCTTGGCGTTTACCATTCTGGTGTTGAAGGTTAGTCTTTTTAGTTTCTTTGGTTTAGATCTAAATAGTGATTTCAGTTTTTACACAATTTATAATTTCAGATCAGATTTTCTTGGGATTTGAAAATATAAAAAGTCATAGAACAAGAAAATGTTTTGAAGATAACATTTTTTTTGGTTCTCTTGAAGAATTTAACTTCAAATTCTCTTTTTTTCTTTGTTCGATTATAGTTCATGGTATAGAGTATGCGTTTGGAGCTCATGAGTATCCAAGTACCGGGATTTTCGAAGGTGAACCGAAGCAATGCGAAGGATTCACGTTTAGGAAATCGATTCTGATTGGTAAAACGGATCTTGGTCCACTTGAAGTGAGAGCTACAATGGAGCAACTTTCAGAGAACTACAAGGGAAGCTCTTACAATCTCATCACCAAGAACTGCAACCACTTCTGCGACGAAACCTGTATCAAGCTAACCGGGAATCCAATTCCTAGTTGGGTTAACCGGCTTGCAAGAATCGGTAAAATCTCTGGTAACTCCGTCACCAATCTTTAGCATTTGTGGTCCTCTTTATGTTTGCAAGCAGCTTTAAAGTCTCAGCTTTTGGTTACATATGACTTGGGTTTGGTTTAAAGTTTGCATCTTTAGGCATTTTTGAACATTTTAGAGAAAGGCTCTGTTTTTTTTTGTGCCCTGAAGTTGAATTGGTGTGTTAATTCAGGATTCATGTGCAATTGTGTGCTTCCTGCGACGATAAACGCGACCAGGCTTGGAAACAACAGAGTCAATCACCAAGACAAATCATGTGAAGGAGAAGAGACTGAGAAGAAGAAATTGACGAGTGAATCAAGCAGAGAGGGGTCTACGATGGCTACTACTACTTCGTCGTCGTCTTCATCTCCTTCAGTTCAAGTTCGTGGTCGAAGCAGGAAAAGGCGTCCTCGTAATACGCAGCCTTCATCACCATTGATTATCTGATCTTCCTCCGTTTGTGAAATTTGGCTTTCATGTTGTTTAAAATCATTTTTGATCTCTCAACTAGAGAGTGACCACTCTTATCTGTTTTTGTTTTTTTGTTTACTTAATTGTGATTGTGCTTTGTAATCTTGTTAATATCCATCTTATTTACAGTTTTTCATTTTCGTTTCCGGTTGTGGTCAAATCCAGTCTCAGTCAATGTTAATCAGAGACATGAAAAAGAAAAAGTAAAGAAGAAAGAATCAACAGACTTGCCTTTTCTGAGACTAAAAGGAGAATATATTCCAAAGCTTTTTAGATTGCTATCTCACTTTCGGCAATATATTTATTCAAGAAATTTCAACTAACAGAAAACTTAATAATGAAAAGCAAAGGCCTGACAATAGATCATGAGCCTAAACCAAAGCTTAAGACAATAGCAGAGTATTTGAATATATAGACTCATCTTTTTATCGATCTGTTCATGAAGGGTAACAATAATCAAATATGAAGTTGTGATTGTGAAAAGTGGAGGCTTTGAAGCTGAGACTTTGGACAGTTTGATAAATAAGGAGACTTTTCAGGCTTGTTTTTCGCGCATCCACTCGTAAAAGTTGTCGAGAACCAATGGCCACGCAAGATCTAGATTGAAGTTGTTCATGTCCGGGAAACTTATCTGTAATTTTGTAAGAAAACTTATCTGTCACATACAGAGACGATGCAAAGAACGTTTGGCCATAGAGGAGGAAGGAACTATACTTACCTCATTGCAGAACCGGTAAAATCCCATCCATTGATCAATGTTGATGACTTTGTAATCATTTTGGATCTGTTCGTAGTGGGATGATATAAAAGATTATACGAGTGGGTAAACACTTTGAGAGATATTTGAAGACAGAAGAGGTGGATCCAAACCTTAAGATAGTCGACAAAGTGGTCAACTTGGGCGCGGAATGTTGGTCCTAAGACGATTTCTAGGAGTTGACAAATGGTCTCAATGTCTATGCACTTTTGTTTTTCCTCTGCATGGATAGAAGAATAGTTACAGCAAGGTCACACGAAGCGAAAACACACCTCTCATGTTCATGACTATACCTGTCAAACAATAGTTGAAGGCATAGGCATAGAAATCTGCAAACTTTGATGGTTTTCTGACCTGAGAAGACAGAAGAACGAAGAAAGGTTATAACACGATTCACTCTGTAGAAGAGGATGCTATAATCAATCAATGTGAAAAGTGTGGAACCTCTTTCTCAAGCTCTGGAAGGGCTTCCTTCAGTTTCTTGGTTCTCTCAGCCTTTAACGCCTTGAGTCCTCTTCTCCATTCCACCTTTAGTTGTAAAGCAACGTTAAGATCACAAAAAGAAAGAGCAAAACCCATTAACCAATACTTTGAAATATCAAAAGGAAAAAGTTATCTATCTATTTTGTTTGATGGAACAATTCTATTACCAGAGTGAAGTAACCCTGTCTTTCAGCCTTCATTTTCCTGAAACGAGCGAATTATTAAGGAAGTGCAAGGCTTACATAAACAGAAAAGAAAATTCAATTTTGTTGTTACCAAGCAAGCATCAAGATCCTGATATCGGTATGAGAAACTTCCAGTTTTGAGCAAAGTTTTTCAATTCCTTCTGGACTGTTCGTGTAATAATAGTGAGTGTTAGAACAATATGTAATGTGGTTGGTAAATCAGAAAGCAGAGTAACAGAGTAAGGAAATACAAACTTACTCAATCAGACGGGAAGATGAATTGGCATACTTGTCAAACAATTTATCTATTTTCTCCATCCCCTTACTCGAAGCTGCACCAACAACCACAAATTATTTTCTTTGTTACTTTCAAAAGTGAAAACTTCTTACACAACACACAAGGTACACAACTGCAACTTTGACCATAATAACTAGATAAACCCTAGGAGGTGCTGGTTCTATATTAGAATAATCTTGCCTGAGGGATTGAGTTCCGTAGCTGAAGAGGTAACAGCTTTAGGTTGAGTCGGTTTCTTTTTTTTGAAACTAGGTTGAGTGACTTGAGTCGACTTCTTCGATGTAGAACGACGCATCTTAACCGCGACCAAAGTGCACACAACTTCGAGACTTCAATTTTCCAGATACACAAAGTAAGATATCCGGTTACAGAATTTCAATAACTAATCCGAGAAAAGGCGATATGTGTACCAGGGAACGAGCGAGGCAGGAAGCTTTTAGCTCAAGCTAAGGAGAGAGACGAACGTCGGTTTCTCTTCTTATCTTTCCTTTTTATACGCACTTTTTTTTTAAATACACTTTTAGAGATATTTTAATAACCATTTTTTTAATCCTCTTTTTCGTTTTGTCAACTTACCATTTATGAACATCAACATCTTTTTTCATCAGCTGATACTATTTCTGAAAAATGCGTATTCTGATCTCAAACATTTTGTTTGCAAGTAATAAAAATATATAAACTTAGATACAAAATAAAATAAGTTTGACCTGATCAGTTTTTAGTTTTTTACCAACTTTTATCAGTTTTTCCAAGAAAATAAAACCCATCTTACGTTTTTTTTTTTTGACCTGATCGTTTGCACAAAATATATATAGGGAATTTTTTAACAAAAATATATATAGGGAAATTTCTAAAACAACAAGCACCAAATCAACAACAATCATTCACGCTTCTGAATTTGTCTCAATGACGAGTAAAAGACCCTCAACTCTATTATTATGGGCCACACACAGTCACACTAAGCTGAGGTTTGGGCTGCCTCTGAGAGATATAGAGAGAAAAGAGCGACCGCATCTTGCAGATGTGCTGATCTCAGATCTTCTGGTAATGGAGCATTGAAGGCTGTCTCGAAACAGCTTAGCTGTGACTCTCGACCAGGATACGCACTAAGATCCGACAGCAGCAAATCGCATATTTCCTCTGCCATCTTTGAGTATGTGACTCTGCAGCATACAAAGAGAGCTTATGCGTTTAGTGTTGTGTCTACTTGTATAACTTATGATGATGATAAAAATGCTAACAAGGTTTTTCTATGATGATAATGTGTGAAATGTTTGACCCGTATCTGTCCACACAGCAAACTTGGGCTGTGTAGTCATCAGAAGCCACTGCCTTAGTTTAGGAGCAATTACTATGTATGCCACCAATTTTAGAAGGATCCATCCAAAATCGCTCCATCATTTATTATATTCTAGGAATGATTTAAGTGAGAAGACATGAACAAAGAAGGATCAAACAAGTCCTATGCAAGTAATGACTAGTTCTTGATGACTCAATGCTACATACGAAAGAACTTACCTAGCTTCAACTGGTAATCTATCACCCCACACAGCCAATGACTCGTTTAAACGACCGACAAAATTTCTGCATGACTCGTTTCTGCTCTCAAGGGATTCCTGTGGAAGCAAAGGTTATGTTGTTTGTATTACTATGATACATGTATTTAACACATCAAGCATATTGAGTTTAAAGCAAGTTTGATAAAAGAATCAGTACAAGAAATTATATATTTTACAGTCAGTTTGGTCAACAACAGGCTGATTAAAGTTTAGGCAGCTTGAGAGCTAGAGACGTACCAGCTCTACCATCGTATCCGCATCTTCTTCCAGTGAACTCTTTAGTAAATAGAATGACATGTAAATCCCAGCACCCAAGTCCCAGTTTTCAATCTCAGACTTGCGATCATCCATTGAAGTAGCAATTCTCCATATTTCTGAATGGTTAGCTGCATTTATTTAAGATAAAAACAGATCACTACAAATAGATCCTTCCCACTCTACACCGGAATCATGTACCAGTTCAGCAGTTGGATCTGCACATAAGAGAACGAAAGAGCTTACCTGATAAAAACAATGAATGCGCAACTGACGTCATAAAAATGGAATGAGCTTTTTGCCAGTTTGCACATTCAATAAAGTGATCAAGAGCCTTGACGAAATCTCCATGGTAATTGTGATAAACTGCCTGCAACACAGGGAGCAAAATCAGCAATCAGCAAATGTATAAGATGAAAAAAGGTTTCCATCTATGACCAACAAGTACCTTAAGCAGAAGTAGAAATGAAGTGTTTTTCTATAGTAAACTTACCAGAGCTTCATGCATCCATTCAGAAGGGATACCCAAGTCCTTGATAAATTCCCGCTGTGATTCCATAGAACTCCAAGTTTCACAGAACTTAAACAGAATTTCCCGAATGACAATGGCGTGTAGATATGGATGATCTTTGCGGTAAGGTATGTGTAGAACAACGTAGATAGCCCAATGACAAAGGCCCTGAGAGAGAAGCTGTGCAACAAATCCCATATCGAGAGCGTGAAGGTCATCTGAAGTGAAAGCTCCAACTGCTTCTAGGATTCCTCGGTGGTGCCAGATCATATGATAGTCAAGTGGATCGTCAGTTGAAGAGAAGGCACTGAACATAGTCTTCAGAAAACCAACTTCTTCGTCTTCTCTGCTATGCAGAAGCATAAGATAGTACAAAAGGTCAGAATGCTTCGTGTTGCTTACAAAACCATCTGCAGGTCCTTCGTCAATATATATTGGGACGGGCCACGGAGCTTTGGCCTGATCTAGTAGGAGTTGGTAATTTCTGAAGATGTCAGGTAGTGAACTGTCTGGAGGCATATGATGCCACATTAACAACCCTAGGAATCTCTTCCAGTCAATTGTAAAACCTTGTAACGCATCGTGGATATTACCAGCAAGCAAATCGTAGAGCTTGATTCTTTCCTTTTCAATGTAATTAAAATCCAATCCATTCCTTCCCCAAAGGTGAAGCTGCTGGAATATATCATTGCGGTTTCCAGTTGATCCACCAGCCTGGCTCAACAAACAAGCAAGTCTAACATCTCCCTTAGATATGGCAAGTTCCACAGCTGAATCAAGCTCTCGTCCAGTTAGAAGAAGGAACAAGTGCTCAAGGTAGCTAGAACCGTTTAGATCACTCACATCTTCTTGTACACGGTGACTGACACATTCTTGGAGCCAACGACTGAATTCTGCTCTTCGGATAAGAGGAAGAGCTTCCGTGTCAACTTCTGCAGACTCTTCCTTCACATCCTGCATCATATCTTCCTCATTATCAGAAGCTGGATAATTCAAACGTTCAGTACTCTGTCTCTCAGAAAAGAGAACTTTTATGAGTTCCCACACCATGACTTGGTGATTCAAAAACAGCCTGGCGGAGGTGGACAACCCAGCAACCTCTAAATGCTTCTCGATTATAGCGATATAACTTCGGCAGATATCTGAAAGAACCAAACGATCAGTGACAACTCTCTGAAGTTTAAGACTGAAAGACCCAAACCTAAATTCTTCTTCTTCATGTTCCAATTCCTTGTGAAGACTTAAAGGAGCCTCAAACGCAGAGCCAATAAGTTCTTTCTGAACTTTTTCCTTTTCATGATGAACCACTTTGTCAATTGCCAGCTTTTCTACATTGATCACCGAAGACAGTACCCTCTGGGAACTAGAACTACATATTGGATTGCCAGTGTGTAGAAGGACGCCATTTGGCCCCCAACCAACTCGGAACGACCTTCCCATGAATAAGGCTGCATCAACAACATTCCGGGAATAGTTATCAGTCAATGGCGTGGCATGGCTGATGTCCAGCTCGAAACCTCCCATTTTCGACTTTCTCACTGCCAGATTCTTATTTTGCTGGACCATCAATATACTGCCTGGGGAGCTTTTATCATTACCAGGATTATACTCCAGCAGAGCAAGCGGAGTTTTCCGCACCACTGGTGGAGTATCTTGATGGCCATTTCTTTGAGAAATTTTCTGTGAAGGTCTTACATTTCGTTTAGTCAAGGACGTCATATGAAGGGAATTTTGCTCTCCAAAGTCCTCACTTTCTTCTAGATCTTCATTAGGAAACATAAGCATTCTCATTTCTTTCATCTTTCCAGGATCAAGTCTCAGATGAGCTGGAAGAGAATGAGAAAGCTCTGGCTCAGAAGTTTCCATTTGATGTTCTTTATCAGTGACCGCTACCATGTGACCATTCTGCCCTACATGATCTTCCACACCTGGGGCATCATCCATAGCAATATCTTCTGCCTCATCATCACTCAACCCAAATCTGCTGAAATGAGGAACCAAAAACTTCCATAAACCATTGTCAGGATCAAATGAGATGAAAGTTGCCCCTTGTCTTTCACCACTCTGTTTCAACTTATAAGATATATAGTCAACTTGCTCTTTCCCCAAAGTTCGATTTGGTAAGTTTACAATAAGAGTAACCTCAGCAGCCTTGTTAAGCTTCTCGCCAACAACTGGCTTGGAGTCCTCATCCTCATAAACAATCACCTCGTGCCTTTGAAACTTCACTATCTGGTCTAGCTCTAGTCTTCTAATATCTGTATTTCCAAGAAACTTGATGTAACCGTAACCAATCTTGCCAATAGTGAAATCAGGAACACGGCTGCAATAATCAGGGTCTTCAAGTTCTCGCTTGACCAGCTCGTTCATGCATGGCTTCAAGAAGTAGTCGGGTGAGTTCAACGTAGGCAATGAATCTCTGAGATCTTTGTAATGTTCACACAAGATAGAATTTCCATCTAAAGAGATCCTTCTTTTCTTTCGTGAGTCCAAATTTGTAGCCATCCTTGAAATATCTGTCAACAAGGAAATGAAGATACGAGAGCTTAGGATATGAGCATGAATGTACAAATTTCAGCAACAGATGATAAGAGTCTATGAACACAACGTGCTTAAACTTGAGTTGATAACTTCAGAGAAAAACCGCTATCGTATGAGCTAATTCGTTTTTTTCAAACAACAACACTGAATACAAGCTCAAGATCTAGAAGGAAATCAAGCGATGAATGAAGATAAACAGATCTAGAATGAAGATGATAAAGCACAGAAGAGAGAGAGAGAAATGAAGCAGAAACAACAGCGGCCAGCAGCTACTAATAGGTAGGATTTTCCAATCAATAGCCCACACAAACTCGACTATCACAAAGAAGATTGAAATACATACCTGGAACTGGTCGAATAGCAAGCGACGTCATGACAGACGAAACAGAAGCAGCACCGAGGTAAAGCGACAGTCTAAGGAATCCTAAATTATAATTTCTGAGCCTGACACGAGACTTCCGAATCCATTAATGGAGGCGACGGTGACAAAAATGATCGGTGAGAAATCTAAAACCCTTCTTCTACACACTGAAGTGGTCGGAGTTTTAGAACGCCGCAGGGAAAAGGGACCCGTTTCACGACTCGAACCCGTCCCGACCCGACTTTGTAATACAAAATAAGTGACATAATGGGCCGTAAAAGGCCCAACAAGCAGGCCTATGTTATTTTTGATTTTTGATTTTCCTTTTTCCTTTTTAACTTCCTTTCGAGTTCCGCGTCTGATAAACGCTTCGCCGGACGTCAATCTGACGCAGGGAGGGACTTTTATAAAATCGTCTCGCATTCTTCTCCGTCTCTACTTCGTTTTCCCTCGCTCTTCTACTTACCGGCAAAAGACTATCTCCGACGGACCTTCCTCTCTAGGTTTTACATCTTTTCTTCTCCTTCAATTTCGTCTTCTGTTGAGCTCGTAAAGGACTATTACTAATTTGATTTTGTCTTCTAAATTGAAGATTTAGCAGTTCTTCGACCTCGCTCGTGATAATGTCTGCCTTCGGTGCTAATGCGAACACCAACCCTAACAAATCCTACGAGGTATTTCTTCTACTCATCTTCTAATTTCCATGGCGGTGGCTTATTCTGTGTGATATTCTTGCCGAGGATTTTGTAGATAGTTATCATCCATGAGATCACTTAGGGTGTGTTTCTGCGTCGGGATGTTGTCTTCGTATTTTGAAGATCCGTCGATTTCATCTGAACTGAATTTTGCCGATAGTGTGCTAGGGTTTTACGGCTGAGATTGTAGGGAGCGATTTCTAATTGAACTGGCATCTTTCTTACTTAGCTCACTCGTTGTGAGATTCGTTTGTAGCGTACCTAGTGACTGATCCAGATAGCCAAATTAGAGTCTAACCTTGGCCTATTTCTGGCAAAATCCTTGATAGTCTCTTGTTTTGTATCTTGTGATGGTCTCAGTTTTTCTTATAAAGCTCGTTTATGTTTATGCAGTATCAATAATCACAAATATTGCTTTATCCTGCAGGTTACTCCACCACCTTCAGATTCTATTTCGAGCTTGAGTTTTAGTCCAAGAGCAGATATACTTGTGGCCACCTCATGGGACAATCAGGTTTTCTATTAATTCTTTAGCTCCTTTTGTTTTCATGGCTTCAAATCTACATTGTTTGTTCTGATAAAGTTGAGTTTGCTTCTTGTGTTACAGGTGAGGTGTTGGGAAATATCTCGTAGTGGAAACTCTATGGCCAGTGCTGCAAAAGCATCAATATCGCATGATCAGCCGGTAATATGCTGTTTCTTTTTATCTTTTTTTCATCTTGCTTTTGGTTTTGCTTAGAATCTGATGAGTATATATCTTTTCTTTTCTTGGGAGGAAGGTCTTGTGCTCTGCTTGGAAAGATGATGGAACCACTGTCTTCAGTGGAGGATGTGATAAGCAAGCAAAGATGTGGCCCTTGTTGTCAGGTGGTCAACCTGTAACTGTAGCTATGCACGATGCTCCTATTTCAGCCATGGCCTGGATCCCGGGAATGAATCTCCTCGCCACTGGAAGCTGGGATAAAACATTGAAGTAAGAGTGATTGTTATGTCGAAATCAAGCATATGATTGAACTGATAAAACTATATACTGTGTAAGGTAGTTAATTAACAACGTATACTGGTGTATTCTTGCAGATATTGGGACACAAGACAGCAAACTCCTGTGCATACCCAGCAGCTTCCAGATAAATGCTATGCGTTGTCTGTCAAACATCCTCTGATGGTTGTGGGAACTGCAGATAGAAATCTGATAGTCTTCAACTTGCAAAATCCTCAGGTGAGATTTTGTTGTCCTTGCTTTTCCATTTTACTATAACTTGTGCTGTTGTGCATGAGTTCTGAGTACTCACATGGTTTAGAGAAGATATTATCAGTTTAGCACGGATAAGTTAGATAAGCCCGTATTCTATCAGAGAAAGAACTAGTCTCCTGACTCTTTTAACGCTTTTCGACATCAGATTATCTGCTTCTCTTGTGTATTAAACTTGTCATTAATTTTGTAAACTGTAGACTGAGTTCAAGAGAATCCCATCCCCACTAAAGTACCAGACGAGGTGTGTTACTGCCTTCCCTGATCAGCAAGGATTTCTGGTATGTCTTCTGTTCTATCGTAAGAGTTACAAGAATCTAGCTTGTTTGCTGATGCTAACATTTAGGTTAGGCATTGCAATGCTCTCACACGCTTTAATCTATACCAATTTTGGAAGTTGTTATATGAGTCACATCTTGAGAACCTATATAGGTCACACAAAATGTTCAATACGTAACCGGATCTGATGCTCTCTGCAGGTTGGTTCAATTGAGGGGCGCGTTGGTGTCCATCATCTGGATGATGCTCAACAGAGCAAGAACTTCACATTCAAATGCCACAGAGATGGCAATGAGATATATTCCGTTAACGCTCTGAACTTCCACCCGGTAAGGCTCTCTAGTCTTAAGCGTCAACACCATGAAACTAGTAGAGTGAACAAATTGGTTGATTGTTTGAGTTGTATGTTTGTATAAGGTACATGGCACTTTTGCCACCGCTGGCTCCGATGGTGCTTTCAATTTCTGGGACAAGGATAGTAAACAGCGACTCAAGGCCATGTCAAGGTGCAATCAGCCAATTCCTTGCAGTTCATTCAACCACGATGGGTCGATATATGCATATGCGGTATGATATATTATTACACTCATGTTTATATCTTGTAAATTTTGAAAGAGATTTTCTTGATTGTAATTGTATTTTTTTATGATAATGTGACAGTCGTGCTATGACTGGAGCAAAGGTGCAGAGAATCACAACCCGGCAACGGCGAAAAGCAGCATCTTCTTGCACCTTACACAGGTGTGTGCCTCCTCCTCCTCCTCACTCGTAACCAAAGTTTTGTTATTATTGGTCAGTCTGTATCATCAATTAACATTTGGACTTGAATGGATTTGCAGGAAAGTGAGGTTAAGGCGAAGCCAAGAGCACAAGCCGGCAGAAAATGAGATTTGGCGATATTGCTGCTTCACCTGATTCCTTCCCCTTCCCTTAGTGATTTTTTTAGTTTGTTTAATATCGTTGAACGCAGTCTCTTTTGGCCATGTCGTTACTTAAGAAAATAGATAACTCTTTCTCAAAGTAAATCCTCTCAGATGTTACTTCACTTTTGTCATAATTTGGAATCATTTTGTCTCAGTGACAGTGTTAATCTCTTTTCTAGAGCTATGCATACATATTAAAATCTGTAGTTCTGTAATCGAATACTTTTGACTTTGAACATATTGCAACTCTAATTAACAGGAATTGGTATACCACATTTTGCACAGAAAATAGTGAAAAGACTTTTATCTCATTATGTTGAGTGAGTATTAAACTATTAACCAACGATTTAAGTATCAAAATGATATTATGATGTTCTCTCTCTTAGTGTACTGTAAGCAAACATTCTCAAAAATGGCTAGAATTAGTAAGTGAAGAAAGAGAGAGAGACAGGTGGGAATTGATTAGTGGAAGCAGGAGATAGAAACGGGTGTGAGCGAAGGACCTGGGCTTTCCCGAAAGCAAAAACTCCCGCTCCTTCACTCTCTTTCTCTCCCTGTCTCCTATATAAACACTTCAGCACCAGTTTCCTTCATTTTATATAAATAATTTCTTCAAAAAAAATATATTATATTTTTCTGTTTCTGTTTTTCTCCCCTTTTTGTTTCTTCTGTTTCGTTAAATAACAACAGAAAAAAAGATCGAGAAAATTTCAGTTTGAAAACACACAAAAAACTGCAATAGAAACTTTGAAAAATCTGTCAAAACAAAGAGTGAAAAAGAAAAGTGTTAAATCCACACGACGAAAAAAAACCACCCTGTTTCTGAAAAACAAAAGATGGCAGGGAAAGATTCTAGCTGGGACGACATCAAGAACGAGGGTGTCGATCTCGTAAGTCTTACCCTTTTTCTCTCTTCCTGTTGTTTCTTGAGTCAGCTCAAAGTTGACATTTGCTTATGCTTTCGGTTATCTTCTTTACTTAAAAACAGGAGAAAATACCGATCGAGGAGGTGCTAACGCAGCTGAGATGTACAAGGGAAGGACTGACCAGCGAAGAAGGCCATACCCGGCTCGAGATCTTCGGTCCTAACAAGCTCGAAGAGAAAAAGGAAAGCAAGGTTTTGAAGTTCTTAGGCTTTATGTGGAACCCTCTCTCATGGGTCATGGAGTTGGCTGCTATTATGGCTATCGCTTTGGCCAATGGAGGAGTAAGTAGTCAATCACCTTCACTAACTAACTAACTCACTTCCTCTCTTTTCTCACATTTTGACACATCTTTTAATATCTGCAGGGAAGGCCACCGGATTGGCAAGATTTCGTGGGTATCACGGTTCTTCTTATCATAAACTCTACCATAAGCTTCATCGAAGAAAACAACGCCGGAAATGCAGCCGCCGCTTTGATGGCCGGTCTTGCTCCCAAAACCAAAGTAAGTCATACCCAAAATAAGCTCAATCAAGAACATGCAAAGAATAACTAACTAATGATTACTATTCACTTAAAGCTTCTGAGAGATGGGAAATGGAGCGAGCAAGAAGCAGCTATATTGGTTCCCGGAGATATTATCAGCATCAAATTAGGTGACATCATTCCAGCAGATGGTCGTCTCTTGGACGGTGATCCTCTCAAGGTTGACCAATCTGCTCTCACCGGTGAATCTTTACCAGTCACCAAGAACCCTGGACAAGAAGTTTACTCTGGCTCCACGTGCAAGCAAGGAGAGCTTGAAGCTGTTGTCATCGCCACTGGTGTTCACACTTTCTTCGGCAAAGCTGCTCATCTTGTAGACAGCACAAACCAAGAAGGCCATTTCCAGAAAGTCTTGACTGCGATCGGTAACTTCTGCATCTGCTCCATCGGTATAGGTATGATCATTGAGATCGTTGTCATGTATCCTATTCAGCACCGTGCCTACAGAGATGGTATCGACAACCTTCTCGTGCTTCTCATTGGTGGAATCCCTATCGCAATGCCTACTGTTTTGTCTGTCACAATGGCCATTGGATCTCACCGTCTCTCCCAACAAGGAGCTATCACAAAGAGAATGACAGCGATTGAAGAAATGGCTGGGATGGATGTTCTGTGCAGTGACAAGACCGGAACGCTTACACTCAACAAGCTTACCGTTGACAAGAGCATGGTTGAGGTTTTTGTCAAAGACTTGGATAAAGATCAGCTTCTTGTGAATGCAGCAAGAGCCTCTAGAGTTGAGAACCAGGATGCTATTGATGCTTGCATTGTAGGAATGCTTGGAGATCCAAGAGAAGCAAGAGAAGGCATCACTGAAGTCCATTTCTTTCCTTTTAACCCTGTGGACAAGCGTACTGCTATCACTTACATTGATTCTAGTGGAAACTGGCACCGTGTCAGCAAAGGCGCGCCAGAGCAAGTAAAACAAATTGCATATCCTTTATTTTCAAGAGCTTATAAGTTCTTCTTTTCCCACTTATTGATTTTGTCTCTGTGAATTTGTAGATCATTGAGCTCTGTGACCTTAGGGAGGATACAAAGAAGAGAGCTCATGACATCATTGACAAGTTTGCAGACAGAGGACTTCGTTCTCTTGCTGTTGGCAGACAGGTAAGAAGCTTTAGTAGTGCCGCCAATATGTGTTTCTTTTGGAGTGACGATATGTGTTTTCTTTCTCTTACAATTCTCTTTTTTCCTCTTTTGGCCTTTAGACTGTCCATGCAAAAGACAGAAACAGCCCTGGAGAGCCATGGGAGTTTCTTGGTCTGTTACCTCTCTTTGACCCTCCAAGACATGACAGTGCAGAGACAATCAGGCGTGCTCTTGACCTTGGTGTCAATGTGAAGATGATCACTGGTGACCAGCTCGCCATTGGTAAAGAAACAGGTCGTAGGCTCGGAATGGGCACAAACATGTATCCTTCTTCTGCTCTACTTGGACAGGACAAGGATGAGTCTCTATCTAGCCTTCCTGTTGATGAACTCATTGAGATGGCTGATGGTTTCGCCGGTGTCTTCCCTGGTAAAAACAAATCAAACCTAATGATAAACATTTTCTCTTCACAAGTGGATTCATGTGTTTCATCTGTATATTGACTAGAACACAAGTATGAGATTGTGAAGAGGCTTCAGGAGATGAAGCACATTTGTGGCATGACTGGTGATGGTGTGAACGATGCTCCTGCTCTCAAGAGAGCTGACATTGGAATAGCTGTTGCTGATGCGACTGATGCAGCGAGAAGCGCATCTGACATTGTGCTAACCGAGCCAGGGCTAAGTGTCATAGTCAGTGCTGTCTTAACTAGCAGAGCCATCTTCCAGAGAATGAAGAACTACACAATCTATGCAGTTTCCATAACAATCCGTGTTGTCCTGGGATTTTTGCTTCTTGCACTCATATGGAAGTTCGACTTCTCACCGTTCATGGTCTTGGTTATAGCGATCCTGAATGATGGTACCATCATGACGATATCAAAGGACAGAGTAAAGCCATCTCCACTGCCTGATTCGTGGAAACTCAAAGAGATATTTGCCACAGGAGTTGTTCTTGGCACTTACTTAGCAGTCATGACTGTTGTTTTCTTCTGGGCTGCAGAGAGCACTGACTTCTTCTCTGTACGATAACTCTTTACCTTACTCACCATATCAAGTAGAAATGTCTTCTGATCTCTCAGTTTGTTTCTGGTTGGTGCAGGCAAAGTTTGGGGTGAGATCTCTTAGTGGCAATTCATACGAGCTTACAGGAGCTGTTTACCTCCAAGTTAGTATCGTTAGCCAAGCGCTTATCTTTGTCACAAGATCACGTAGCTGGTCATATCTTGAACGTCCTGGCTTCTGGTTGGTCGCTGCCTTTTTCATAGCTCAGCTGGTGAGTTAGTTAAAGAAGCTTCACTCTTCTTGTTAAGCCTCAGTGTACTGACACTGTTCTTGTTTCTTGGCTCTAAGATTGCTACTGTCATTGCTGTGTACGCAAACTGGGGTTTTGCAAGGATCAGAGGAATTGGGTGGGGATGGGCAGGAGTGATCTGGCTCTACAGTATAGTTACTTACATCCCATTGGATATCCTCAAGTTCATCATCCGATATTCACTGAGTGGTAGAGCTTGGGATAATGTCATTGAGAACAAGGTAAGCTTTTGAGACTGATAATGAGAAACAAGAACAAGAACACTTTGCTCTTTTTTGTGTTTCTAAGTCTTGTTTCCTTTTGTTTCAGACCGCTTTCACGTCAAAGAAAGACTTTGGAAAAGGAGACAGGGAAGCACAATGGGCACAAGCACAACGTACACTTCACGGATTACAACCACCTCAAAGCTCAGAGATGTTCAACGACAAGAGCACTTACAGAGAACTTTCAGAGATAGCAGATCAGGCCAAGAGACGAGCAGAAGTCGCAAGGCAACGCTCCTCAAGTAACTCTGTTTTGATCCATAGTATTGTGTTCCTCAGAATATGGCCTTACAACGTTTCTTGTCTTTGTAAATTTTCAGGTTAAGAGAGCGACATACCTTGAAAGGTCACGTGGAATCAGTAGTGAAGCAGAAGGGACTTGACATAGAAGCTATCCAGCAACACTACACCCTGTGATCTTCAGAAACTAAGTGTTTCTCAGTTTAGTTTAGAAACTTACAAGAGTATTCCAATAATTTAATAAACCACCTTCATTTATTAGAAATTACTGCAAAAAGGGGAAAAAAAAAATTTGTTTCTTTCATTAGCAGTGCCTGTGGCTGTGGCTGCTTTATTTGTTTTGAGATATTCTTGTTTTTTGCCTTTATAAAAGTAATAAGATTTTACAGTTTCTTAGAATTCTTAATTCCACTTTAAATAAACTCTCAAGTTACTTCATCTGGCTAGATTATATGATCATTTTGACTGGTTTCGCTTTACATGCTCAAGATACCAAAGGGCTCCTTCTGCTGCATGCTCAGCCGCAGCTTTCTTCTTGCCTTTGGGATCCCCAAAACACTCCAAAACAGTTTTCCCTGAAGACTCTATATTCTCAGTCTCAACCACAACTTTGTATGTAAATCTGAACCAGAAAAACACCAAACATTCATTCAAAAAAGGTTGTGATTAATCTGAAATTGTAAGTTATATGTTGACTTACAATCTCATATGGGAAGGACCCTCAGCTTTGCAGCACTCATAAACCGGAGCTTTCCATCGCTTAGAAGCACAGATTTCGTGTAGCACAGATTTTGCTGATCCTTTCATACACTTATCTGGACCACAATGGAACAAATTTCAGTATGCATTTACCAAAAGTTGAGAGATTCTTGAGGTTAAGACAAGAAGATGACTCTGAACTGATCAAGAGATGAGGAAAAAGGGGCACCTTTAGATAATTGTTTGGTGTCTTCTTCTTGTGGTTTAGGAGGAAGATTGTTCTCTTGTGTGATGATGCTTACGCTTTTTGTGCTGTAAGGATCAATCAGAATGTTAGAGGAGAAGGAAGATTTGACATTGTCTTCTTCAACCCCATTCCCCTTTCTAAGCTTTGCAACATTAGCTGGGACCGTCACTGTTTTTGGTTTCTAGTAAACGGACAAAACTTTTGTAAGAAACAAAGATTTATCACATTTTTGTTGCATGTATTAATTCACTTTTTGTTAACGCAAATCAGTAAAGGAAGATGATGCGTTTTTAGTCCGTAAATTTAATGAATTCAAACGCACAAATCTTAATTAATCTCATGGCTTTTGATCCGACACAGACATTTCCGTTATTAAGACAGTTTTTTTGCATGTAATTATGAAGAAAAACCACAGGGATTGATCAAAAGCCCCAAAAGCATCAATTGAAGTACAATTTTTTCAATCATTTCCATCGTCACGCCATGTAATGTTAATATGAAAGAAGAGGACATGCGAGAGATTGGAGTAATTGGATTGAAGATATTACCAGAGAGGAATTTTCGGGGATAGTCGATGGAACCAGAGGAGGAATATCCCTGAGACTGATGACTGTAGATCTTGTTGGGTTTTTGCTTATCCGCTTCTTCGTTTCCTGACCATCCATCTTTCTTCATATTCCGGTTTCGTCCTTGCTCGGGATTCGATAAATTGCATCGAAAATCGCGTCGAATTTGGAAACAAAATGAAACCTGACAACTGTTTTATCAGATAAGGTAACTTATTCAGACATGCTTAACTCACAAAGTTTTGTCCTTTTTTTTTAGTTGGTTCAAAAAGTCAAAGTTTGATCTTTTTTTCTCGCCTAAGCATTTATGAGCTAACCCATTTATTTGAACCTTCTGATCAAATAGAGAAAAACAGTTGAAATTGCCGAAGAACAAACAAAAGAAAGATGGGTTCATTCAAAAGCACATTGATATGAAAACATACAATAGGAAACAAACAAAAAAGGAAGCTTTTTTTTTGTTTGTTTTATAGAATTCGCAATGAACCGCCGAGATCAACCGGTAAAAGAGGGATGAGTGAGTGCAAGACATCGGTTATAAGTGGTCTGTAACTTGGCTCTGGCTGCACACACAACACTGCAACCGCCGCAACCTGTTTTTTTGGGATCCAATCCATAAAGTTCAGTAAAAAGATTGAATCTTTTTCGATATTTGGCTAATGTGTGTGTGTGAACCTTACCTGATAGAGATGCTTCAAATCCATGGTTCCTTTGATTGCAGGATCCAAAATGTTGGGGAGATTTGCTCTGTCACTGAGCTTAGGTACAGCCTGATCAAGCAAGATAACAAAAGATCATTAACCAAATGATTAATTTCCTGCTGAACCAAACGACTTTCTCTTTATAGTTTCTAATTTTTCTATGTAAGTACCCAAGTGACGACTGATTCTGGCTCAGACGATGGTTTCTCAACTGATTTCTTCCCGAGGAGAAGTTCGAGAAGAATCACCCCAAAAGAGTAGACATCATTCTTGTCTGTAACTTTCCCTGAAGACAAGAGAATAATCTGAGCAATGCATAACAATGTGAGACTACTAGTCCCATGATTAGATATACTTATTAGTTATTACCATCAAGAATAAACTCGGAAGCTCTGTCAGGAATCTTCAGGTTTTTGTTCTGAGTCATCAAAACTGTTGCAAACCCAAAATCTGATATCTGAAGATAGAAGCAAATATGTCAGATTGTGTTACTGTTACAAACTCACATGTCTATAAGAAGAATTTCAATAGTATCAATCTTCTTGACTTCTCTTACCTTTGCGTTGAAATCGGAGTCAAGAAGGATGTTAGACGATTTCAAATCTCTGTGGACTACCGGAGGATGGCAATGCTCATGAAGATACTCTAATCCTCTGCATAAAAGAGACTAACAACTTTGTAAGCATACAGTTGTTTCTTAGAGAAACTGCTAAATGTTTGAAACTTTGTCGATGAATAGACTGGACTTTACCGTGCTATATCAACCGCGATTTTCATCCTAAGCTGCCATGTTAATCCTGCACCTTGACTAGGTCCTTAATGTATCCAAAACAAGAAGAAAAATTAATCAAAATCACATGTCAAACTATTACATATTAGTTCTCTAAACTTGGATCATCTCACTTACCATGCAACTGACTCTCTAAAGATCCATTTTGCATCATCTCATACACAATACAACTGGTTTGGCGATATACACAAAACCCCAATAGGGAAATTATGTTCTGGTGTCTGATCTTAGCCAACCAATCTACCTCATTCTGCATTGAAAAATTCAACAAAGAAACAACGAGTTATGGTTTATCAAATGAGATGGTTTGAAATCTTTATGGGTCAAGCTGTTCAATACCTCAAACTGTTTATCAATGTCTGTCTCCCCACAACCATCAAGTTTCTTCACAGTGACAGAAGACTTTTCATCAAGACAAGCTCTGTAAAGACATCCACGACCACCTCGGCTCAACACATTACTATCGCTAAACTTGTTCGTTGCAGATTCCAGCAGTTGGTAATCATACACAGGGATCGTTCCTTTCCTCACAGAATCAATCTTGTGTACAATAGGCTTCGTAGCTACACTCTTCACAGAATCTTCAGATAAACCACAAAGTACAACAACATAAGTCTTAACTAGCAACAAAAACCCAAGAAGTTACTACTGTGAAGAAGATAGTAAGAGATAAACTAGAATTACCAGGTTTTTGCTGGATCCCAGAGAAGCTGTTCTTCAGATTTCTGTACCTCCATAGCAAGAGGTACAGAAGTAACAGAACTGTGACACAGAGGAGAGTTGATGAGACTATCAGAGCAATCAGAATCTTCTTGTTCAAGTCCTCCCGAAACACCACTTTAACAATTGGAGGTCCTGAGGAAAGAAAAAATCAAAAAGGTGAAACTTTTTTTGTAATCTGATTCAGTAATTGCATCGATACATAAAACTAAATTCGATTCCTTTCGGCTTATCATTTGCCTAATTATCGGAAAGTTTGAATTTTCTTAACAATTCAACTAAATTCGATTCTTTTTTGGCTTCCTTTAGCAAACCCATTTCGGAAACTTCACTAACTAGTAAGACCCAATCACTCAAATTAGTAGCCAGGTTTCGATACTGTCTTCTTCTTCTAGGGCGACACTGAAAAAGGGGGCAAACTTGTAATTAAAATTACCTGGGGATTGAGCTCCCATTTGCGGAGAAGCCTGAGAAAGAGGGATTTCTTGGGAACTACCAGAAGCGAAGACGATGGAAGATTCTTCGGATTTAATCACAGAAGCAACGGAGAAGAAGGAGAGACAAAGAACCCAAATGGGAAGTGAAAAAAGGAAATGACGAAGGAGACACATTTGATTTTTGTCTGGTTTCTCGAAAAAAAACATGCAGAGAAAAGACAAAAAAAGAGAGATAGGAAATGAAACTGTGGGATGGAGCTTTCTTCTTCTTCCTCTTTTTTGTTCGTTTAGCTGTTCTTGGTCTGTCTTGTTTATTATCGAGATGGAGGAAATGTCGAGATAATATTGTCTGGAGATGGAGACAAGAGAGGAGGACACTGTTGGGGTTGGGAAACAGAGAGAAGGACAATGTTTTGTTAATTGTTGGTTTGGTCTTCATGTGGCAGTTATGAAAAGGTGGAAAAGTTGAAACCCAAAAAGCAGAGAGAGTAGAGAGAGAGAGAGAGAGAGATAGAGTAGTGCCCTCTCTCAAGAGAGAGAAACTCGCCGGACGTGGGGTGATAAGACGTGCGAATATGGATACATATCTCATCAGCTCGACTTTCTATTAATTACTTCATTTTCTGTACAAATTTTCATTTGACATCCCAAGGTTGATGCTTCCGCTAAACAACAATATTGTTACACAAATTAAATACTAACCTTTCTATACGTAAAGCTAAAAGAAAGACTTTCTAATGACAAATCTTTAGCAAACAAATTCATGTTTTGTTTAGATTAATGTTATTTTTATTGTTTTAGTATGAATGATGGGAATCATGGGATGTGGAGAAAATAAATAAAAAACAAAAGAATGGATTATGTAATCTCTATAGATTTGTTTGCATCGAGGTGCATTAATCCAAATGATTCGATTGGGTCATCAGTGTATAAATTCAATCCATGCGGATTTAGTGAACAAGACGACAAAGAGTGATAGGAATCCTATAAAATCATTATTTTATTGAAAAAAAATTGGACAAAGCTCCAAAGTTTTGAGCATTATTCATGTGAACTTTCTATGTCTGTCCTCTTCAACTTTAATTACCGACACAAGTGGTCACTGACTCACGCAACTGTACAGTTAAGTTGACAACCAAAAATATTCAAAAATGTATATATTCCACTCATTGGGCCCCTTCAAATAATAACGAGCCTTGAATAAAATTGGGCCATAACAGGCCCAACGTAAGCTTTTGGAAATTTCGAAAAGGGGATGTGGGGCCCATTCATATACGAGTGAAAACAAGCTTAAGGCTTAAGAAAAATCTTTGTTTTCTATGTACACTCTGTGTTTCTGCTATCTTCTTCTTCAATCAAATCTGAAAGAATCAATGAATTTACCTGAAGAGTGTTGGGAATCGATCTTCAAACTCATCGATGAAGATGATTATCGTTTCCTGGAATCTGTTTCACTCGTATCGACCTCGTTCCTCTCCATCACCAACTGCGTTCGCTCAACTCTCATCATCACCGATCGCACTGTTCCATTTCTCCATCGGTATCTCCTTCGCTTCCCGAATCTGAAGCGAATCAGGTTCTATGATATGCACAAGGACATCGATTCGGTTCTTCTCCAGCTCTCACTTTCCGGTTTGGCTTTGGAATCGCTCGATCTGTCGGGAATGCCGTATTTTCCAGATTTTGGGAGATTTGGGATGGAGAAGATGATGAGTAATGTGAAGGAATTGAACTGCTCTAGAGCTTCGGATTTGCAGGAAAGCGATCTGGAATCGATCGGAGTTTGTTTCCCATCTCTCCAGAAGCTGGATATAAGCTATCCCGACTCTCTCGAGAGCTCCGTCTTTGATTCTGCGATTATCAGTCTTTCCTCAAATCTCAAGGGACTGTTGAAGATCGACGTCTCCGGTAACAACCTCATCACTGATAAATCTCTGATTTCTCTATCGAAGAACTGTGTCCTCCTGAGAGAAATCATCTTCCGTGACTGCGATTTCATTTCGTCCCATTGCATCGAATCCGTTCTCCGCAATTCTCGGAATCTGGTTTCTATTGTGATCACCGGATTCGGATGGAAGCCGAGGGAGTCATTCTCCGACGATGCCTTCGTATTCGCTCGTTGTTTGTCTCAGCTTGATCTCACCGGCTCGTTTCTCTCCGATGAGCTGATCCGTTCGATTGTCGATGCCAAGTTTCCACTAAAGAAGCTTGTTCTCGCCGATTGCGTCAGTCTCACTTTTGATGGGCTCTTGAATTTGCTGTCGAAATACCAAACACTGGTTCATTTGAATCTTGCAGGATCAAGCTTCCTCTCTGATGAGATGATAGTGAAATCGCTGACGTTCCTTAGGCACTTAACCTCTGTGAACCTCAGTTTCTGTGCCAAGTTAACTGGTCTAACGTTCTTCAACATCATCGAAGCATGTGTTTCCATTAAGAGCATGAGAATGGAAGGAACCAACTTCGGAGTGGAAGAAGATTCCAAGGAACTGGATATCAAGTCAGGGATCAAGACTCTGTACATATCTGGAAACCACAACTTGAGCGATAAGTGTCTCGAGAAGGTATCACGCCATTGCCCTTTCGTAGAGACTCTGATAATGGATCATTGTCCAGGCGTCACGGGAGATGGGATTCTTGAAGTTTTGAGGAACTGTGGCGAGCTAACATCTTTGGATATAAGCGGATGCAGTGGCGTAAGCAGTCTTGGTGTAGTAGACTTCGAGCTTCCAAAGTTGGAGTCTTTACGAGCATGTGGGACTTCAATCGACGACGAAACCTTACATATGATGAGCAAAAGATGTCGAGGGTTGTTGCGTCTTGATCTGGATGGATGTTTGAATGTGAGGTCAAGAGGTGTGAAGGAAGTTGTGAAGAGCTGCATACGTTTAAGGGAGATAAACCTTAATTGTTGTGAAGTTGATGGTGGAACTTTCACTTGGATGGTTTGTGCAAGTCCCTCCCTTAGGAAAATCGTTCCTCCATGTGGGTTTTCTCCGACTAGAAAACTCAAGAACTTCTTGCTGCGTCATGGATGTGTACTCTACCGAGATACATATGGCATGCGTTCGATAGCATACAATCCCAATAGAAGTGGTGGTGACAACTTTGAGTAAATGAACTTATGATTGATTTGTGAAGAAAGAAGAAGAATCTGCAAAGTGGGGGTTTATATTTCTCACTTTCAAATGTAATAAGATTTGTCCAGCCAAAAGCATTTTTACAAATTAAACTGTTTATTGGTTCACATTTCATGTTTAAGATGCTTAAAGACGAAAGAGGACAAGTAGGAAATGAAAGATAAAAGCTTAGAGATGAGACACATCATTATCCAGAACTAACTTTTATTATCACATTTCAGGTACAATGAAGGGTAATGTCAACGAAAGAAACACACAATTTTGATCTCTTTTTAGCCTAACCAGCCTGCAATCATAAACTGTAGTAGAACAACTTTCCTCCCCGAAATGAGAGATGAGAGACGTATATAATCTCTTTTGCTAAAGCTAAAAAAACAAAAAGAGAGACTGAGATTCAGGCTTCATTATATCATCAACTTGAACAAAAAAGTTTAAAACTTGTAATCTGGGTTGTCACGAAGGCCAAGTTTTGATAAGGAAAGGCAGTAAGAGTCCCAGTCCGTTCGTCTCATATACTTCAACAGTTTTTTCCGTCTCTGCACCATTGCTATAAGCCCCTTACGCGAATGCTTGTCCTATGGTTACAATATAAGAGATTAGATCACTGTACAACGAATGGTTTATCTATGGTTCGCACACAGAGTCTTATCTGAGCCATTTTTGATGGTTTCTTCAGAAAAAAAATAAAAAGAATGGTTGAAAGTTTACCTTTTTATGTAGAACAGAGGACAAATGCTTGATCTTTGTGGTCAGCTGTGCCACTACAAGAAAAGACCATAGTAGAGAGATCACAATACGAACACTTGTGACATTGTTCACAAGAACAACAAAGGCAATGTAGATTTGATCAGAAATCAGTTTACCTTGAACGCGTGCAGAGCCACAATCAGATTCCGACATCTTGAACTCTTCCCTGACCTCTGCAAGCTTGATTTTCATCTTCTCCCCAGAAGACATGTTATCGGGGTGGAAATACTGCATTTGATATTTATACATGCACGAACACAATCAAACTCTTAAGATGGTTACAAGCTAAAGGATGGATGCAAGAGCTAAAAAGGAACAAAGACTTACAGTTTCAACTAGCTCCTCTTTCGGAGGCTCGAGCAAATACTTAGGTGTACCATTTAAAAGCTCAAAAAAATCCCTTTGTTGAACTGCAAATCACAACAAGTGAAAACCAATAATTTAACCACTCAAGCTCCAAGCATAAAAATCAACACTTTAGAGAGGAAATGGTCGTGACTGGGAACATACAGGCATTATTTTTTCTGGATTCCTTGTTCTTGCTCAATTCAATAGCATTCCTTAAATCTCTGAATTGATCACTTTTGCTCGTTCTCTTGGCTGCTTCCTCTTCCGCCTCTCTCAGCTTAACAAGCCTCTGATTCAGCTCCTCCAATGAGAACCATCCTTCTTTCTTGTTCCCTTGTGGTCTATACGATCTTAGTATCTCCCCCAATTCCTCTGTGTCGTAACTCCTGATAAGCATCGATTTCATCTCCTCTTCCGTCTTCTCTCTGTCTCCTAATTCCTCCCCAAATATCGAACTTGGCAATTCCTCTGTTCCTCCGAAACGCACGTTATCATTGCGTTTCGGCTGGATAATGTTCTGAAAGCTTTCTAAACCGGCGAATCTGTTACCGGCGGCGTTACCTTGCATTTGCCTCAAGTGCTCCTTTATGTTTTCAAAAGGCTTACCCTCGACTTTACGATTCCCGGAATTTGATAACACTTTCTGCTTGTATAGATCCTGTAAATCCCTCGGCGGCGGAGCTTCTGATCTCCTTCGGAACTCTTTCAGAGGAAAATCTGGAATGCCGCCGATTTTGTTACCGGAGAACGACGGCGCTGGGTTCTGAGCTCTGGCATCGAATCTGGCGAACTGTCTCCTTCCGTCCTGAGGCTGATGCTGTGGTGTCTGTTTCAGGGTGTTCCTGATACCGCTTAAGTACGATGTGACTTTAGAATCCGACGACGATGAAGAAGATGGAGACGGTGATTGAGAAGGTTGTTCGCCAGATTCGTTCCCGTCTTGACGAGATGATGATGATGAGGAGGAGGTTGAGAACAGATGAATCAGAGATGGGTTAGAATGTAACCTTTGCTTGGGTCTGGCGAGATGAAGCGCCATGGAAATGGATTTGGCGGCTTCCCAAACCTTTAGGGTTTTGGTGTGAGTGCGGAAGAACGTGATGGTGATGATGATGGAGCCGCTCAAGTGAAATGAAAATGATGGTCTCACCCCGGTTCTCTACAAACCGGAATTAATCACGCGATTAATGAAAAACCGGGTCAGAAGGAACGGTTTTATCCGCTTGGTCCGGTTCTTCCGCACTTTAATTTTTAACTATGCTAAATTATATGAATCATAGATTCATAGACATAACAAAACAATAAGCGTAGCCAATACATTTTGATTATGGACTAACAACATCTCCTTCATATTCAAATCTAGTTACAGAAATGATTTTGATGAAATGGCTGAGTAAGTGAGTAAATGATACACTAATCCTTAAATAAATGTTGCTTTTTTTTTCATCTTCTACCATGGCATTTCCCATACAATAAATAACTCACGGGATTTCCAAAAACAACACAAAAACAAAACAATAATATCCAGAAAGAATCCAGGAAGTCTCATAAGTCGATTCGTGCGTGTGTCAAGACGTTACCCTACTTCTCCTACTATTCCAACACACGATAGAAAGAAAAAAAGCTTGCCACAAATGGTCTATGCCACGTATGTATTATAGAGGGTCCCACACTTATCAAGTAAAGAAACAAAGAAAAATAAAAAATATTTAGTTCCAATCTAACTGTACAATAAAACTCAATATATATACAATTCCACCCATTAATTTGCCACAGAGATTTCTTCCTCTCTACTTTTTCAATTTTTCGCCACCATCTCTCTCTCTTAGACGCTCGAAGATTCCGACCATGTCCGGCGAGAACTGGATACAAGTGGCCATGTCTGACGATTCTCTGGTGGTCGAGGTGCTGCTTCGGCTCCGCCACTCGGAACCGCCGACGAAGAGCGACGCGTCTCCTCTCAAGCTCAAATGGAGCGTTCGTCAGCGGAGATCGAAGAAAGGAGACCAGACGCGAGCCAGCCCCACCACGCCGCTTTCCTGGAGCGGTGCCACGTCTCTCAGCGGTGGAGCCGGCTGCGGCGGAGGTGCTTCCACTGTCGAAGGCCTTGAGGAGTCCAGCGCCGCCGTCAAACACTCTGAGACCTTTAGATCTAAGGTATATCCGATCATTTCACTCGAGTTTTTGCTATATCCGATTTGAAAACTTTGCGATGGTCGTAGACTCTCGTAGGTATTATTATGTGTGTGTGTGTGTGACGAACATACCCCTCGTGATGCGGCGGTTTACACTGTCTTAGTTTTTTTGTTTGTTCATTTTCATTTCTCTGTGATTTTTGAGTGTTCTTGTTGCTTGCGCTAATCTACAAGACATTTTAGTTGTTTGCTTGTGGGTATTTTAGTCATTTAGGATCCACGATCGTCTTGCTTGCTGATCAATATAGGTACACCGACTTTTGGTTGACCGAAATACCCTCCCACCGTGGACTCGTACTAGGCCATTTGATGAATTTTTTTTTCTTTTCCAAGAGACTTAATCTATCTTTCTCGATAGATTTTGTTGTCTTGTTGGAAACACTTCTCGATTTGAGTTTAAAACAGAAAAATTCGGTGATCTCTGCTTTTTAGCTCTTTTTGCTCTTTTACAAACAAAGAGTCACGTTTCCCACTTTTGTGCATCCCAGTCATCTTTCTCTCTGCTTTTACGCAATGACCAAAAAGCCCTGAGGGAGGTCTTATTGGTCAAAATCACCGTTGCAGACTTCAATGCTAAAAAGCGGAGCAATGAGAAACACATTCATTACTATCCTAATGACGAGACTACCCCTTGTCATCAGATGAGCTTCTTTTCATGGTCAAGGGTATCTAGGTCAATGCGAGAGGTGTTGTTAATAATTTGGGAGGCGTTTTCGTGTAATTGAATTTAGGTTATAGAGTATGAGTGGATTAGGTACGTGTGTGGTATGGTTTAGTGGGGAGGGCAGTTATCAGATGTGGCGCAGTGGACATTAAGTAGTATGGACTTACTTGCCACTGGTCAAAGTCAGTTTTTGTTAGGGATTGGATTCTTGTGATTTGTCTGTGAGTTTATATTGGTGACAGTCTGTTTAGTTCTTTTTAAACAGAAATTTGTTAAGATTGTTTTCTGATTTTTAAGTTGACTTTGATTGGTGGTTATAATTAACTTTTATTTTTTGTGAAAAAGAAACAAAGTAAAGTGTCAACTAAAGAAGAGAAAAGTTTTGGGTTTAATAAATTTTGTTTTTATAAAAACGATAATAAGGACAAGTGGTGGTGTGGAGAATACGTGTGACACTAGTTTGGGGTTGGAGGAGAAGCATGACGTGTGAATGTGACGACCAAACACACGCGTTAAAGTCTTAGAACTCACGCTCCACTCACGTGATTCTATTTTTTCAAAAAATATCTCATGTTTCTTTTCCTTTGAAGGGATAAGTAGTTGACCAATAAGATTCTTCTGAATTTACACGGTTTGGAACAATTCTTTTGAGAATTGTTAATGGCTTAATGCTATCCTAATTCTAATGAGGTGATTCTTTCGTTTCATTGGCCTTATCGTGCATCTAAAGTCTCTCTAAAATGGTAGGTGTCTGGTTTTTAAAAGAAAATCATATACAAAGCAAAACAAAATTGTTTTTATGGCATTTGTTTGGTGTGATTGGTTGAATATTGATTATTGACCTGGCTTTATCTGTTGGTGTCGTATTTCTCAAGCCATAACCTGAATATTGTCTTGTGGTGTCCAGATTTCTCAAACGAGTGCAATAACAACAACAACTCTTTTCAAGAGGTCAAGAAAGAAAAAGGTAAAAACCAAAAAGACTTGCTTCTTTATTTACTCACACTGTTAAACAAGTAGTATATTACTAGTTTTAGCTCAGTTATTCGAGCAAATTATGACCAGGCTCGTTCATGGCTTGTTTGAATATGCTAGACATCTAGTCTTAAGCTCTGATATTACTACATATTGGCCGAGTTTTGACCTATTTTTCTCTTGTCAATGCGTTGTTGTGGACAGACTTTGGCAGAGCTTAAAGAGGAGGAAGTCATGCTCTTGAAGGAAAGAAAATGCCTTAAAAATGTATATAACCTACTTTTGTCTTCCTTCTTCTATGTATATATCTATATCTATATATTTAAGTCCTTGTCCTAATCTTATATTTGGTTATTCCTTTTCTTGAATCAGGATTTGGCAAGTATGCGCGATCTGGTCGAGCAACAAAGAACGAGAAACAATGCTCTAAAAAAGATGAAGGTGACGCCATCACTCTCTCTCTCTCTCTCTTTCTTTAGACATTCACTCGTAAACATGTAACTCAAGTAGATCATTCTCATATGTATATGCAGGCTGAGTCACAATCTGCCTTATCCTGCAAACGCGCTTTCGAACAAGGTTCCTCCTTCTTGCTCCCTGACCTAAACATGCCGCTAGATACCGACCCGAGCCCTGAAGTTATTTGCTGAAAGGCGAGCCATGCATGAGCATATGATTCTTTTCTTCTTCTCATCACACACCCAACAACTACAATACCTACCTCCTTCCACGTACGAACATGTTTTTAACTGTAACTATATGAATATGATCAAGAAGATAGATTAGTCCTATATCGTCTCCTCACCCATTTGGCCATTTCCCGTGGCCGCTGAAGAAGATTCGCCTCAAGGTGAGGTGATTCCATTTCACGGTTGTGTTTTCTGACCTTTATTCTTCTTTAGCTGGTAGTATAATTTTTGCTCTGAAGTGATTCTTATCTTTCTCCCATTTTCTTAGGATGAGATGTAATTATCTACATAGATAATAGATAAAACACTTTTCTTTTAAATTTTTTGTTATCTTTGGTAACATGTATTGCAACTTGCAAGATTACATCGACTTCTTTTTATCAATGTAACACGTTCCAAATCTTTTGTCGGACTACGTGTTACGGACTTATGGCACATGCCACATGATGTCTCTCTCCAAGTGTCCTCTTCGGTATAAATAAATTGCTAATCTTTGTTTACAGTGTTTAATTAAGATCATCAGTCCTAAATTGTAATTACGAAAAAGAGAATATATTACGATTTAAATGCTAAAACCCTAGAATTAAGTCCAGCTTCATCGGAAATGGCGTCTCTAAGTCAAATTACCCTCCCAGGCGCGCCGTCATCGGAGTTTGGCCTTCTACGCCGTCGATTTGATCGGCAAATCAAAACCCGTATCGGATTCAACGGCCGGGTAGCGAGCGTATTGACAAACGCAGGCGAAAAAGCGGTGGTGTCGGTGAAGTCGAGCGTGAGCCAGAATGTGATTGAAGAGGAGGCGAAAGTTCTCGTGGGTACCTACGCTCGAGCTCCGGTGGTGATCTCATATGGAAAAGGTTGTAAATTGTTCGACGCAGAAGGGAAAGAGTATCTGGATTGTGCTTCTGGAATCGCTGTGAATGCTCTTGGCCATGGAGATCCTGATTGGCTTCAAGCTGTCAACGAGCAAGCTGCTGCTCTTGCTCATGTCAGCAATCTCTATTACACGATTCCTCAGGTACAATAAACTCACAAGTGCATGCGGAAATGCTTCTGATGATTGAAAAATTCGAATTTTTAGTCTATCTCAAATTACCGAATTATCATTTCTGGCCAAAGCTCGAAACTTTTGCTGATTTTATCCCCTGTAGCCAATGGAAAGACGATATGAGATGTGGGATTAGTTTTCTACTCAGAACCACATTTGTGAGATGTCATCAAATTGGATTGTTTCTATGCCATTTCTTGAGATATAGCTATGAGAAACTTCATTTATGTGTGTTAGTTTTTTTATTAACTTAAATCTTTGGACTTGGAAGATACACATTCACATATAAACATTCCATGTATCAGTGACTATCAGTCTGTTTCAAATTCAATGGACTGGAGATTTCGTTGCGGTGATGGTTTCATGTGCTTTGAATCTTGTTTCCAGCCGTTGAGAGTATTTTAGTATAGGGTTGAATATTGTATGTTGATCTTACGTGGCATTCTTAATCGTTGTATATACGTTGAGCAAGCTCATATATACTTCATTTACAGTTGTTGAAATCTTCTAAAATGTTTTTTTTTTTTTTTAACTTCTCTGCAGATAGAACTTGCGAAACGCCTGGTGGCGAGTTCGTTCGCGGACCGTGTATTCTTTTGTAACTCCGGAACGGAAGCCAACGAAGCAGCCATCAAGTTCTCAAGAAAGTTCCAGAGATTCACTCACCCTGAAGACAAAGACGTCGCAACAAGCTTCATCGCATTTACAAACAGCTTCCATGGAAGAACCATGGGAGCTCTTGCCTTGACAAGCAAAGAACAATACAGAACTCCTTTTGAACCAATCATGCCCGGTGTAACATTCGTGGAATACGGTAACATCCAAGCCGCTACAGAGCTTATCAGCTCAGGTAAAGTAGCTGCTGTGTTTGTGGAACCTATTCAAGGAGAAGGAGGGATTTACTCTGCTACGAAAGAGTTTCTCCAGTCTCTTCGCTCTGCGTGTGATGCTTCTGGATCGCTTCTCGTCTTCGATGAGGTAACATCTTGATTGTTCTTTATTTCATTCCTGGTGAAGTTATCTCATTTGTGAGCTGAATTTTCATTCCTTGCGAAGTTATCTCATTTGTGAGCTGAATCTTCTTATCTCCAGATTCAATGTGGTTTGGGTCGAAGTGGTAAGCTTTGGGCATACGAAGCATTCGGTGTGACTCCTGATATACTGACGGTTGCGAAGCCGTTAGCCGGTGGTTTACCGATCGGAGCAGTGCTTGTGACTGAGAAAGTTGCAGGGGCCATAAGTTACGGAGATCACGGAAGCACGTTTGCAGGGAGCCCACTTGTGTGCAGTGCAGCGATCGCTGTTCTCGATAAAGTATCGAAACCTTCTTTCTTGTCCAGTGTTGCAAGCAAAGGTCGATACTTTAAGGAGATGTTGGTGAAGAAGCTTGGAGGGAACACGCACGTGAAGGAAGTGAGAGGAGAAGGGCTTATCATAGGTGTGGAGCTCGATGTTCCGGCGAGTTCGTTGGTGGACGCTTGCCGTGAGTCGGGTCTTCTGATATTGACGGCGGGGAAAGGGAATGTCGTTAGGATTGTTCCGCCGTTGATTATATCGGAGGAGGAAATCGAACGTGCGGTTGAGATTATATCCCACAATTTAACTGCGCTTGATTGAGGATTGAGCACAGAGCATGTTTATGGACTTTGGTGTGTGTTTTTCATTCAAATCTTACACTCCTCTTAATTAGCTCTATCGTCTACCAGTAATTGCCTCACTTGTTCACAAGAAACTTTACAAAATATCAAATTGTAAGGTACTTCCTCTGTTTTTTTAAGATGGATTTTCTAGACATTAGTTGTTGTTTCAGATAAATTTTCTACTTTTTTATACACTTTTTCAGTTTTCAAGAAACAATGATTGTATTTGTTAGATTTTTATTGGTTGAAAATTATAAAAAGTTGTTTTATTGCAGAAATCAATACACTAATGATTGAAAATCTGTTTTTCCTTAATATGTGTGAAAATCGAGGGAGTATATTTATGTTCAAAATGTTTCATTTAAATAAAAGTATTTATTTACTTTTACATATTCTATTTACTGTGTAAATGAAACATTTTGTCTTACAAAACAAAGTGAAAACTCTGCTTTTGTCTGAAGTGGCGATTGAATTGATGTGCGATGTTTACAGGTCTTACTTTCGGTGTGCCTATGCGAAAGAACAAAATTGCAAAGCTGCAAAGCGGGTGCAGAAGATCAAAGACGATCCTCCAGTGTACCGAACCACTTATTCAGGAAAACATACGTGTGCTTTTGCAGTCGATATGAATAACGATGATGATACATACGATTCCAAAATTATCCACTTCGATAGATGCGACCATGTTATGTCTGGATCGGTCACGTCAGTTAATCACCAAGTAATTACCATGGAGTACAAAGCCACGGACCAAAACCAAATCACGAACCAAGAATGTGATGATAACGAGTTCTTGGTGGATGATGACAAGTTTTGGGCGTATGATTTTCCCCCATTGTCATCAGGAGACCTCATGTTCTTTGATGAATTATCTGCTTTTGATTAGAACCCTTTCCAGGCTAGAGCAAGACAATTGTCAAGCTTTTTAAGTTTATTCATGTTATGTAACTTGGATTCATATGCGTCAGCTTTCTGCTTCAAATTTAATTGTCTTTTTGTGTAAGAGTTGCTTTTATCAGTGGTGTATTTTGGCGTTTATTCAATAATGAAGATGTTATATGTATACAACTTGACTGCACTTCATTGATAAGGTCCATAAAAACGAGTGAGGCTTAGGATCAGCAAAGGCTTAGTGATTTTTGTTTTACTTGGTTTTAATTTTTGTGTTTATTCAAAAAAAAATATTAATAGTTGGACAGGGTTGGTTTTGGTTTAGTTGCTTCCCATAGTTCACTAGATATTATTTGAGCAGAAAAAACGTGAATAATGCTAGTTTTTGGCTTTTTGCAACACATGAGAGCAATTATTTTTGTTTTAACTAACTACGTCATAGAACGACGTTAGAAGATGACGTCGCATAGCTGAACTGTAGTTGCCTTGTACGATTTATTGAAGGATCTATTGATTGCCTTATCTGGCTCTATTTCACTGAAGAAACTCAGCATCACAAACTGTAATAAGCTTTCTAAACTTCCGGAATCTATTGGCAACCAGCCAACCACTCACTGAGGCTGAGTTCTTGCATCAGTCTCCCCGAGCTGCCTGGTTAGGATTGAAAAAGTTACCTCTAGAGATTGGCAAGCTGCAGAAGCTGAAGAAGATCTCGATGAGCAAGTGTGGGAAATGCGAATTGCCGGATTCAGTGAGGAATCTAGACAATCTGGCGGTGAAATGTGATGAAGAAACTGGATTATTCTGGGAAAGGTTGAAGCCCAAAATGAGAAACTTGAAAGTTAATGAGGTGGAAACAGAGCATAAATTGGAACATATTGCGTTAAGATGTAAATGAAAGAACATTTTCATAGTTTTGTGTGGATTCTGTAATGTTGCTATGCTCTTCTCATCCAATGTAAATGGAAATAAGGATACATATGTTTTTTAATTAACAAACGATATAGTAATACTCCCTCCGTTTTGAAATACTTGTCGTTTTAGACTTATTTTTTTGTTTGAAAATAGTTGTCGTTCTCATTTTCCAATGTAAATGTTAGTTTTAAATACCTAATTTTACCTTCATCTAATGAAGAATACTAATAGTCAATTTGCCTTTTAAGAATATAGTAAAAAATTTAGTTTGTTTTATTAATATCCTAGAACGTCAAGTAAAAGGAAACAAAGAGATTATTGAACACTGCATATAATTTTAATAACTTATATTTCGTAGAAAATCTTGATTAATTCTTTGAAATCCTAAAATGATGTATCATCTCAACCTTTTGCCAACAATAAATCAAAAATCAAAACAGATATCATTGATTTTGTTTTTGTTCTACTGCAAAATCATTATTAAATATCAAATTGTAGTGTTTTTTTCAAAATCTAACGAATTTTTTATATATTTACGTAAAAATGTATATATATTAGTGAAAAATGTATTATAATTTTGATGCGTTTTCAGATTTTCAAATTTTCAAAATTATATCTATAATGTTTTAAAATAAGATTATGTTTTTGTTCTACTCCAAAATCATTATTAAATCTCAAATTGTATTGTTTTTTTCAAAATCTAACGTAAAAATGTATATATATATATGCGTTTGAAAATTTTCAAAATTTCAAAATTATATGTTTTAAAATAAGATTGTGGGAAAATATTATGACTAGGACAAATATGACTAAGGCTAGGACATGAGAGGTTTAGGGAAAATCAGGGTTTATGGAGATTAGGGTTTAGGGCAAATCAGGTTTAGGGTAAATTAGGTTTTAGGGCAAATCAGGTTTAGGGCAAAACCCTGATTTAGGGCAAATCAGGTTTAGGGCAAATTAGGTTTTAGGGCAAACCCCTGATTTAGTGCAAATCAGGTTTAGGGCAAAAAACCCTTATTTATGGCAAAACCCTGATATAGGGCAAAGAAAGGGTTTTGGGTTTCATTGTTTTAGAAAAAACATAATTAGTAGGGGTGTAATATTACTGGATGTTAATTTTAAAGATTTTGATTGATTTTTTTTTTGTTCTCCTGCAAAATCTTCACTTATTTCAATGAACAAATCCTTCTGACTATATATTTTTGTCTGTTTGTTGAATGAGTTTATGTCCTTTGCGGAGTGTTGATGGACAGATCTTTTTCTGTCAGACTGCTTATCCTTTGGAATCAGTTGGATATATCATTAGTCGGCTATGCTTAAGCCAAATTCTAGTCCTGGATCCCGGAATAATGTTTACTTGTTTAGTCCAATCTCAATTGGAGTTGAGAGTATTTTAGTATAGAGAGCAGCACTCACATTGGTATCGTTAGTCATCATATAGGGTTGAATATTGTATCTTAATCTTATGTAGCATTCTTAATTGTTGTATCGTTGTATATACCTTGATGCTCTTGTATATACTTCGTTACATATGCTAAAATCTAAAATGTTTCTTTTTAATTTTTTTTTGCATATAGAAGTCATAAATCTGTCATGTTAAATAAAAATGTCACACAATAATAAATCTATTGTGTCATTGAAAGATTTGTGAAAACAAATTTGTCATCCAAATAAGTATGTACGAAAAATCTGTTATCCTAAACAAATATGTCAAAAACTGAAAAATCAGTTGTCAATAAACTCGTTAGATTTATCAAAATATACTTTCAAAATCGCACGTAACATTTTTCTTGACATGTAACATTTTTTATTATATAGATGCTGCTGGCTTGCTGCATCAGGTCTCCCTTCCCCTTTGCACATAACATTTTTTTTTATCATAGTCATATAGATGTTGCTGCATCAGGTCTCCCTTCACCTTTGCACATAACCTTTTTTTTACATGTAACATTTTCTATTATATATAAGAAGGTTCACACATAACAGTAACAGTTAACCATAGTTCACTAAGGAAATGCTCTGTTCGTCGAATTGCTTACCATATTTCACTAGATATTATTTGAGCAGAAAAAAACATGAATAATGCTAGTTTTTGCAACACATGAGAGCAATTATTTTTGTTTGAACTACGTCATAGATGACGTCGCATAGCTGAACTGTAGTTGCCTTATACGAAATTTTTGTTTGTTTGTTGAATGATTTTATGTCCTATGGAGAGGGTTGATGGACAGATCTTTTTCTGTCAGACTGCTTATCCTTTGGAATTAATGGGATAGTATTGGTCGGCTATGCTCACGCCAAATTTTAGTCTTGGATAATAGTGTTTACTCCAATCTCAACTGGAGTTGAAATGTAGGTGGTTGTGAACCTTATAGAAATTAAGCAAATTGAAATGGTATGTTTGGTGAAAAAGACGGACTCTAATTTTTGGTAGAAATGTTTTACCGTGTTTTTGTTAAAATCTGGTACTCCTCTTTATTAGCTCTAGCGTTTACCAGTAATTGCCTCTCACACTATTAACAAGAAACATGGCAAAATATCAAACTGCAAGGTTACAGTTTATGTTCAAAATGTTTCATTTCAATCAAATGGGACGAAAAGCATTCATGTACCTTAAATGTTAACTCTTGGACCAGTTTCAGCTCACTGCCTCACGGTCTAAGAAAACAAAGTTGCATGCATTTTATTTTCATTTCTTTTTCTAACTATGAGTTGAGATCATTTTTACAAAATCCAGTCAGGCTTTTTCGGAATCTTGAGAATCAAATATCTTGAGGATATTGAAGTTCGAGGAAGAGGAATGATGTGAAATAATTTAGAAAAAAAAAAAAAGTTTTATCCACTTGTCTTGCCTCAAGTGTAGTGGGTAAATGTTCATCAAAAACACAACCAAAGTGTACCGGTAAAGGCTCGGAAAATTCAAAAGAAAATTGGGTTTGAGTCGGTTTGACGGAAACTTGGGATTGTTTGTTTATTTAATATTCTAAAACATATTCTGTTCATATAATAAAAAGTTTTAGTAAAAAGTTTGACAAAGAACCACACGGCTCCTAGTCTCCGTTACAGGTCCATCAGAATAATAAGTCAGTCGGGGATATATGTGAAGACTAAAAGGTAGTGTTTGACATATTGTCACATTTATACGACCAACACGTGCGCTATCGAAATAGTTTGTCGACGTAATTAGTAATTGCCGTAAATACTATTACCAATACGATGTCGCACGACACTTCACTGTATGTTTTCAAGTCAAGCCTGGAGAGCTTCCGAGGAAGCTGCCTTTTCTTTTGGGCCCTATATATATTTTCTTATCTTATTTGTTATGTGTAGATTTGTGCCTTTTCTTCTGGGCCCTATATATATATTTTCTTATCTTATTTGTTATGTGTAGATTTGTTGTTTATTACAAATTAAAAGTTGGCAACTTAACCGTCTTCTCTATAATCAGTATATATTGACTGACTCATCAATAACCAAATGTTTTCATCTGTCAAAAGAAAATATACAAAGCACAAACCTAAGTCTAACCAAATCCCTTAAACACACACACAAAAAGCAAAAAAAATGTATTCCGAGAGAGATCATAAAACTCTGGTGGCGCTCCTCCGCGGCCAAGTATCCGCTAACACTCTCAAGGCTCTTATCGCAAACCGCGAAATAAGTTCAGCTTCAACAGAGCCACTCATCAACACCATTCTCGATTCTTTCTCACTTGCTCTTTCTTTCATGGATTCTCCTACTCCTCTGCCACACCATGAGTCTTTTACTCAAAACATGGCCGGTCCTGTCTCCGGAATATCATCACTAAAGAAGTAAACAAAATCAGCAAAGCTAAACTCTCATTGCATGTGTTATGATAATATACGAAATGCATAAGTTTCAAGTAGAACATATTCATTCTATATGTTGCTTTATGTCTTCTATATTTTTCTATGTCATGAGGATCCTAGCGCAATACATGCTTTGATCTTTACTTTGATACGACATTTCAGAAAGATTTGTCAAGCACAAGTCATAGAGCATTACATAGACGATTCCCCAACTCCACTCCTCGACGACGGCTTCTCCTGGAGGAAATATGGACAAAAAACCATCAAAACATCTCCGCACCAAAGGTTAGTTAACTAGGCACACACACACACACACACAAAAAACAGAGCAAATACTCTGTTCTCACAAAACAGTTTTATTTTTATAAGTGGCGATAAACTAAAGTAGGATATTTATAGGTGTTACTTTCGGTGTACCTATGCGAAAGAAAAAAATTGCAAAGCCGCAAAGCGGGTGCAGAAGATCAAAGACAATCCTCCAGTGTACCGGACCACTTATGTAGGAAAACATACGTGTGAAGCTCCGGCTTTTGCAGTCTTTACGAATAACGAAGATACATACGGTTCCAAAATGATCGAGTTCGATAAATGCGACCATGTTATGTCCGAGTCAGTTACGCCTCAAGTCGCATCAATTGATCACCAAGCAGTTGCCATGGAGGACAAAGCCACGGACCATATCATGAACCAAGAATGTGATGATAACGAATTTTTGGTGGATGTTGACAACTTATGGGCGTGTTATTTTCCCCCATTGTCACCAGGAGACCTCATGTTCTTCGATAACACTTAATTCTCAAGCTTATGTTCTCATAATCTCATGGTGGAGATTCCCTGATTCTTCACTTCATTACAAATTCATGCTTTGTAACTTTGGATTCATATGCGTCAGCTTTTCTGCTTCGAATTTAAGTTTGTCTTTCTCGTGTGAGAGGAAGTTTTATTAGTGATGTATTTCTGCGTTTATTCAAAAAATAAAATGAAGGAAGATGTTATATGTATATATAATTCAATTTGATTGCATTTGATTGAAGATCCATAAAACAAGTGAGGCTCAGGATCACCAAATACGTGAGAGTGGAGTATATACCAAATGAATTTTTATTTTACTTGGTGTTTATTTTTTGCGTTTATTCAAAATAAATAAATGAATAAGTATTATGTAATATGTATACAGTTTTACAGGTTTTATTTTTGTTTCTATCATGCATAGAAACCTGAAGGATAACGAAATTATAAGATTATACACTATTGAAGGATCAAATATTTTCATGTATACTTTTTCAACCGAATCTTTTAAAAATATTATTTACGCAGAAAAACTTGAAAACTGCTAGATTTGCAAGACATGCCAGCGATTATTATCCACGCGCGCAGAGATTGAATTTTGGTTCCCTACGTTAATTTGTCCCACTTAAATTTAAACACAATTATCCGCAAACTTTGACAAACGAGGATGAGTTAGAATATTAAATCATCGGCGATTCACACTTACTAAACGTTCCAACTGATCAAAGAGTCGACCCAGTCTAGGTAAGTAGATGATAAGCTTTTAGAACACCAGGGTTCTCGTGTAGATGACGTCGATAATCGATGTCATAGATGACGTCGCATAGTTTGACTGATAGTTGCCATAGTGGATATACGATATATATGCATTTTTGTCTGTTTGTTGAATAATTTTATTCCAAACTGAATGCAACTTCTCCACGTTAACTTCAAACGCCTATGCAGTTTGAATCTCCTGAATTATATAATATGGAATTCTTTAAATAGTATTATTAGGACTGTATGCAAGATTAATACTAGTAGTCTTATAAAGTTACTCGGTGAGTGAAAACAAATAGCCAAAAATATATCGATCTTCAAACACAGTGATTATAAGCAAACGATGTTGTCATTTGCAGAGGTTGAGAGCGCCTGTATAGCTGGCTAGTTGTTTTGTTAGGTCCTTGCAAAAAAGAATGAATTAGATCTAATCTGAAATTTGATGGACAAAACTTTTTGTCTGTAAAATTGGCTTTTCCTTGGAATTAATTGGATTGCATAAGTCGTCCAAAATCTAGTCCTGGACCCACTCCAGTATAATGCTTACTCCAATCTTAATTATAGTTCAAAAATGTAGGTGGTTAGGAACCTTCTATAGATTTAACCAAATTAAAGTGGTATGTTTGGTGAAAAACGTATAAGTTTCTAAAAATATTATACTTTTTTGGGTTAAATCTGTTGAAAAATGTTTTACCACGTTTTTGTTTATTTTGCAGTAAATAAAAAAAAACTAGTTCTTTTATGCATATAGCCACATAATGTGTCACAATCTATCTGTTTTCAAAGCAAAACAAAAAAAACTGTCAGATATGAACAAGAACTTCGTCAACGGCGGTATATTATCCTCAACTATATGCGCTGGTATTTAAAAGATTTAATTAACCCATTACATGATGCAGCACATCAATTCATTACGTATTCCGGCGTCCGTCGTACAGCATAAACAACTTATTTCTGAAGAAAGAAGCACGTGTCCTTTAGTAAAGCTTGTTCTTAGATTTTATTTAGATTAATTAAAGATTAGTGATGCCCAATTGCATGTGGAAATTAGGACCGTCTTTCTTTCTTTCTCTTTTTTTTTTGTTTAATTTTTGACAAACATCATCGTTCTTTCTTTTAATAATGTACACAGCATCAAACCAGACCAAACAAACATAAGTAAATAACATAACATGCCGTCGTATAATTACTTTTTTGAGAGTTGCCTTAAACAAAATTAATAGAACAAATGGATGGACTCCACGTGTCCTTTTACATGCCAAAGTAAAACCTTATCCTTACTAGTTTATTAAATTTATGTATCATAGTAGTACTAAACTACTAACTAAAAGTAAACTCCAACGTCTGAAAATATAGGCAGATTCGTAGCAATAATCCGTCCTGTCCTATTCATTCAAAAATATCCTTTTATACCCTTTACCCAACGTTATAACTTATAAATACGCCTCCAAAATCTTCCAACTTTGTTTTCTTAGAAACTAAACTCTTCTTGTTCTTTCAAGTCTTGACTCCTCCACAACTCTAAACGGACAAAAATGTTTCCCGGCGTTGACAAGGTGGTTGAGGCACTTCTTCGTGGCCAAGAAAGCGCTAACCGCTTGAAGACGGTGCTTGAACACCCGAGGACTAGCTTGGTTCCAACAGAGCCTCTCTTTGATACCGTTCTTGATTCTTTCTCACTCGCCCTTTCTCTTTTTACCAATCTCACTTCCTCTAGTCCTCAACCACACCGTCGAAACATGACAGCTTCTGTGGCTCGAAAATCGCCTAAGAAGTACTGACAAGAAAAGAATCAAAAATATTAAAAACTTGTTAATGATTAAGGGATGTTTGATTTTATCGTTTCGAATATGTTGTAGAAGGAGCTACAGGGAAGACGCTTTAGAACATTACAGAGATGATTCACAAACTCCGATCCACGACGACGGTTTTTGCTGGAGGAAGTACGGACAAAAGAAAATCAAAAATTCTACCTACTTAAGGTTAGAGAAAAAATATTAACCAATAAATGGAGTTTATTAACCGAAGATTCTTTGTAAGTTGTAACTAATAATGAATTTCAATATTCTCACAGGTGTTACTATCGTTGTGCTTATGCGAAAGACCGAAACTGTAATGCTACAAAGCGGGTGCAGCAGATCCAAGACAGTGCTTCGGTCTACAGAACCACTTATATAGGAAAACACATTTGTGAAGTCATGGCTTTATCGCAGCCTAATGACGACATTACAGACGGTTCCAAGATGATCCGGTTCAATAAAACCGACCAAACCATGTCCGAATCTGTTATGCCTCAACTCGTATCGCTTGATCACCAAGAAATTACCATCGAAGACAAAGGCACAGACCAAATCACGAACCAAGAATATGATAATAATAATGAGTTGTTGGTGGATGATGACCAGCTCTTGGCGTACCAATTTCCTCCGTTTTCCCCTGGAAATTTTATGTTCTTGGACGATATTTCTGCTCTTGATTACAATTCTTTTCAGGTTTGAACAAGAACTTCCTCAAGGTTCCAATGTTCGCACTGTGGAAACTATTTCTTCTTCACATGTGTGTTTGTTTTCAAGCTAGTATCGGTAGTTGCTATATCTTGTTTAATTTAGTTTATATTTTGGTGGTCTAGATTCATAGTTCGTCACAATAATGATGTATTTTGTGTATCAAATATATATAAAACAAATACTGTTCTTCTTTTAGATGATATGTACGGGGATTTATCATGACGTACGACACGCATTATAAAACGCGTCATATATTTTATGTCGAGTATTTTCTTCAACAAATTGTTCATCAAGATAGCATAATTAAGAGTTGAAAAGAAAAAGGCATATATAATCAAGAAAGAGATTGCAGACGACGAAATGTTTTTCCAATATAAACGTTAATGATCGATAACCAATTTATACATACTTGACTTTACATTTTCTTACAACTATTTTTTCTTAACAGAAAATCCTGAAAAGAAAAAGTTATAATTCTAACCAAGACCACATCCGGAAACAGAATACATAACGGAAATGGAAAGCTCCAGAGTCTTTCGCCGAAAACTTTCGGTATGTGCTTGCTGCTTTTTAAAGTCAAATAAACAATGGAGAAACTATATTTGAGAAGAAGTTGTTGGAATTTTGAGTGAAGAGTCCACACGTGGACCCTTTATCAGCGACTGACCTTTTCGCAGGTCGGATCTCAAAGGCAATTTTTTTTGGACATTTGCATAAGATTATTGAATATATCAATACATACACAATTTGTCAAATTTCGACTGCTTAGGAAAACCAAATAAGCTTATGTTTTCTTGATGGTGACCCATTAGCCATTACCTAACCTAATGCATGCAAGTAGATTAAACAAACAAAAAACATATCATCATCTTCCTTTTCAGCCAACCCTTTTAGCCTCGTAAGCACCAAACATTTTCTTCTTTTTAATATAACTTATCATTTTAGTATCCTTTAAATAAATACAAATCATTCGTACGTTAAAACTAAGCCAAATTTAGATCAAAAGCATTTGCAATCATATATTATGAATACATGAATTTTTCTTATTATGGAAGAACCTAGAGTATGATAGTAGTAACTAGTAACTAGTATATAAGTATTACACGATGTCGCTCTAAACATCCAGGAAACTTCGTGATAACCTTGAGCATGTCGACCGATTACTTTACTCGCATTTTAACCTCATTTTGATAAATATAATATTGGTAGTAAATCTCCTGTCCATAATTATTTTTTAATAGAAGGATTTAAGGAAACTTTTTTATCAAAAGAAATTTGAAATAACATTCCTTTTCACCCAGGTTTCATGGAGAAGAGTTTCTCATAACCCAAGACAAATGAAGATCTTAACATAATGTTTAATGGATCACACACTGACACACACATATAATACGCACGTGGCACGTTATGTGTGTGTTACTGTATATGTATAGAGAAGAGAGGCTTCCTATTACTTGCTCAGCTTTTGTAGCTTTTAGTCTCAGCCAAGCCAATAACCAGTTCCTAAATTCTTCTGAGAAACAAGATCTATATTTCACTATTCATCACAGAGTTACTGATCCCATAATTTATGCACCCAACCAAACCCAGCTTCTATATCCTATGTTAATAACTACCTCTATATGACCCAACCATTCATATTTTGAACAGAAAAACTGACACTAAAGTCATTTTTCATTCAATTAAACACCAATGTATAGTCATGTTTCAAAAGTAAAAGAAAATGGATAATATATAAAGACAATGAACTACATGTTACGATTAATGCCCAACAGACCCAGATTATGTTATCTTGTTTCACCAATTAACAAACAAGAAAACAATACTTCATAAATATTCATACATATAGAGAATTCAGAAGAGAAAAACAGTGCTAAATAGTAAACAACCGAACCACTAAGCAATGAGTGATTAACACTTTCTAAACAATCCTAGACCCAGGTTCAAATCAAGCTCAAACCCCATTTTTTCAAGATTATTAAAATTACTAGTCACATTTCCACTATTACTAGACGAAGTTAAGGTATTGGCATCGTTAAACAGCTGTGCAACTGATGTGACTTTAACACACTTCCTCACATTAACCCTTTTCTTCTTCTCCATCCACCTATTCTCCTCCGTCGTTGACCACTGGGTCTGAGCTATCTCCTCCGGGAAAACCGGAGGAACCAAGAAGTTGGTCTTGGCTTTCGTCCCTCTAAGCCTCAACGCTGCCGCATCATACGCACGCGCCGCCTCTTCCGCCGTATCGAACGTCCCTAACCAATGTCTACACCGCCCTATCCTGTCTCTTATCTCCGCCGACCACCTCCCCCACGGCCGTTTCCTCACTCCCCTGAATCCTCCATTCTTTTGCGGTATCTTCCGGCACCGCTTCACGCCGTCTTCCCCACCGTTGATCTCTGTTGCGGAAAAGCGATCGGATACATTGTCTTTATTACCGGTTAACACGTTTCCGCCTACCACGGCGGCGATGGAATCATCCATGACCCGAAGAGGGTTTGCAGGTTCAGGTTTTGGGTCAAGAGAGAAAAGAGAAGAGATATCGAACGAATTTGGTACGTTAAAAGGTTTCGTCACCGTTGCGTTACGAAACTGAGTACTGTTGGTTTCAAAGAAGGGCATGCAGACTAACGGCGTCTCTTTGGATATTTCAGACGTGTCGACGCTTTGACGGGTTCCGAAGGTGGAGCTTAACGGAACGGGAAGTTGGAGACGGTGGCCATTAACGGTGTTTTCCATTTTTATTAACGGTGAGAGAGGTCAGTATACAAATTGTAGTGGTGTGTCTGCGTGTTTGGAACCACTTTATAGGAACTAAAGATGACGTAATTTGTTAATTATTCGAAAGAATTTGACTGTGTTTTTCTTTGTAAAAAATGGATTTCTTTCTTTCTATTTAATGGCTTGTAACAAAAGAAGCTATGAAAAGATTATGGTAAAAGTTTATTTTGTTTAGTGAGATAATTAAAAGATACTGCTGTCAATTTTGATGAGACCGTAAAATCTTTCACATTTATACGCCTGTCCGTCACACAGTGCAAAAATGAAGTTTGTACCTTTTGTTTTCAATAGAGGAAGACAATTTTGATTTTATAGTTTAAATTGTCCAAAAAATAATGTTTAAGAGTTCAATCTTTATTTTTACACATCTTCTCAATGATATTATCAATCCAAATTTAAGCAACCACAAATATATTTTTAGCGCATTAAATCTCCACTATAAAACCAAAGATATATAAATAAACTGTGTAGAATAATTCATACCAAGTCAAACATAAAATCAAACACTTCAAATCTAGGTGGTAAAATAAAGATTTGAAACTTCGTTAGCGCATATAAATCCCTCATCTCCAAAGAGATCTTTAAACAAATAATCTGATTGAATCCAAATATTTTTGTTATTAGCTTTTACAGACGTATTTTGAACTTATATTTTTAAGCGGAGCACGGTGATTTTGGGTTTAGGCCGACGCGAGTTTGAAGTTTTGTTATGAGATGTCAATTTGCTACGATTTGCAAATGTTATCAATATATGTACACACTACACAGTAACACATACGATCGTAGGGATTTATAAAAATAAATAATTTGTGTGTGACAATTTGAATCGAACTGTAAAGAAAATCAACCAAGGGATAAGTTGGGCCTTGACAAAGACCTAAGTCCATTAAATCTCAGGAAACCATCAACGGCAAATCATGCTCTGTAAATCCAAACGATTTGACTTCGTAGAAGTGACTTCCGCTAGATTACGTAAGGCGCGTCATCTCTCAAGGACCCATGCTGGCGTCAACAGACACGATTGTTTTGATCACAATTCGCTTCCAGTAAGCAATTATTAAACTCCAAATTTTGAAAATTAAAAATACTATTAGATCATTTACCAGTCTAAAAAAGATGCAAATATTTACAAGATGCTTTTATCGGGTACTGTATAGTGTATACTAGACCATCTTAAAATTGGTCGTACAGGTTTAAAAAAATAACCGTGTTTTGTTGGTCATAAATTTTACCTTTCTCAAAAAACTTTCCACACAATTTTTTTTTTAGAAGTTCGAAATGGAGTACAATTGGGAATTGGGAAGAAGTAAGGGTTAATTTTGAAAGTCGGCACTTTTTAAGTTTTTATTGTGAAAAGAGGCAACACCAAGTTTTGTATTGGGAAAAGAGGCAAAGTGGAGAGAGAAAAAAATTTAAATACCAAGTTAACCCTGTGTCTGAGAGAGAGAGAAAGGGAGAGAATGTAGAGAGAGAATGGAAAGAAAAGCGGGACATTTCGGTGGCGTTTTGTCCACGTCGGCTTCGGGGCGAGAAACTCGTGTCCACGTAGACTAGTGGATGTGACTAGGCATTCGGTTTAGTTTCAGTGGCGAGATGGGCTATTTCTCTGAGTAAAGCCCAAAAAATGAGAATTTGTATCGGGCCATCGATTAGGGCGAAGATACGAAACTGCAGCCAAAATTGGGAAACTGGGTGGACGAGATTAGTCGACAAAGAGAGATTAGCGCCTAAACAAACCCTAAAAGCAGAACAAATAGAGTTTATGAGGGTAAAGGTGGATGACTATTTCTGAAATTGAATGCTGTGCTGCGATGTTTCCAAATTCAGAATCGCTGAAATTGAATGCTGTCGGCGAAGAAGAAGCAGGTAACTGATTTTGTTGTTTAGCTGTACACCTTGTCCATCTATTTTTTAAATTGTACATACCTAAGTGGGGTATTTAATTCGTAGCTGTACGGGATGATAATATAGTCGTACTGGCGGGAACGTGGGTACGGCTGGAAGACGGTGTTTTTGAGTTTAAATTGGACATGTCTAGGATGTGTAGGTCTATTTATTGCCGGAAAACTGACGGAATTGATGCTCTTAGGTCGAAAGTCAGCGCCGAGTACGCTATCGATTGTAGAGTAGTGTCGGTGGATCTTACTTACCTTATAGATGATGTGTTGGCCGAGAAGTATGGAAACGGTTCTCAACCAACAGAGATTGTGAGCACTCGTGATTACAGAAGCTTCCTGTTTCTGCACAAGGCCGACAAGTCTCTCAACTTGTTTGTGATGTTTAGAGAGACGGTGGGGGACGAACTAGTGATTATGAAACCGAAGCCGAGATTGAGAGCTGGATTATCACTTGGCGCACTTAGTAGTGGCGTAGAAGATGATGTAGATCAAACTGCTAGGAACGGAGTGGATGGTGATTTGGGACGAAATTCGATTATAGAAGAAAGTGACGATGAAGAATTTCTAAGGGCGGTTGATGCACTGGAAGCAAGTGTATTGGAAGCAAAGTCTACGAGCGGAGTGGAAGCAAGTGCATTGGAAGCCAAGTCTGCGAGTGGACAGAGTGAGGAACCTGAGGTTGGAATCGACTTTGACGATGTCCCAGATTATGAGGAGGAGTATGAGTACGACGAGGAGGGCTGTGTCGGATCTGAAGACGACGTGCCAGATACTGAGGAGGGTGATTATTACTACGATGATGGTGAATATGATTATGACTGGTGGACGGAGTACGTGAGAAACGATGGGAAAGGGGATGCGCCTGTGAAATACAAAGGAGTAGTAGGCAGTGACGATGATGATGACTTTGTAGAGGATCTTTCAGACGTGCGTAGCTTCAGGAACGGGAGAAGCTATTTTGATGGTTGCGCCGATCCACTGCCGCGTTGCAGGGAGAACTGGACTTGCGTTGATGATGAAGATTTTTGTGAACATCCACCGATGCGTAAAAAGAGTGTAGAGACAAGAAGAGCAGATGGTGGGGGTGATTTTGTGATGGAAACACCTCCCAAACCGAGGGAGTATCCGGGTAATGTCTTCAGGAAACGTGATGATAGCTATTATGGGGATGATTTTATTGATCCTCCATCTGCGCCCGAGTCCGGAGTAGAGCTTGGTCCACGGAATCTGATGAAAGGAATCCGTCTCACTGAAATATATGGTTACGAAGATGTGGAGCCTATGTTCAACGACATGGATAATCAGAGTTCGTTGACAATTCACGATTTGGATTTATCGTATGAGGATACAGATATTTTCATAGACAGGTTGTTCAGACACAAGCAACATTTCAAGACGACGCTAGCCATCTATGCACTTAAGAATATATTCCGCTTCAGGTATCACAAGCACGCGCATAACTATACGGTCGCGAGGTGCATCTCAAATAAGTGTGGCTGGAGAATCATGGCGAAGCAAGTTGGTGATTCGCAGACGTATGAGGTGAGGAAGGCACAACTGAATCACGTATGTGACGTAGATTCTAGGGGTTCGTATACAAAACACGCATCATCCAAAGTTATAGCAGCATTGGTGAGGTTGAAATACAAGTCATGTGTTGGACCCCGGGCGAAGGATCTACCGGCGTCGGTACTAAAGGAGCACGGGATCTTTGCTTCGTATTGGAAGTGTTGGAAAGCGAGGGAACTTGCTATCGCGGATGCACACGGAACAGAGGAAGCTTCTTACAGGTTACTACCTAAGTACATGTATCTTCTAAAGTACGCTAATCCGGACAGCTTATGCCATCTGCATACGGAGGTTGATAAGAAAGGTGATCGTAGGTTTAAGTATGCCTTCGTGGCACTTAAAACTTGTATCGACGGATGGAAACATCTTCGCATAGTCGTAGTGGTGGACGGGACGCATATGTTTGGGAAGTACAGAGGCGCAATACTAACCGCTTCTGGTCAGGATGCAAACTTCCAGATTTTTCCTATTGCGTTTGCAGTTGTTGACAGCGAGAATGACGAGTCTTGGCTATGGTTCTTTGAGAAGCTCCTTGATATTATTAGTGATGGTGCGGACCTTGCAATGATATCGGATAGGGCTCCGTCTATAGCTACAGCGAAGGAGGTACATTATCCGCTTGCACATCATGGAAACTGTCTTCTACACATCCAGAGGAACGTGAATCAGAAGTTCACCAAACGGAAGCAGAGGTACATTGTAGGCGTAGCCGGGGAGGCCTACACTAAAGCTAAGTTTAAGAGAGTATACGACCTGTTGAAGGAAACAGATATGAAGTGTTGGAAATATATGGAGCTTATAGATGTCCGCCTCTGGACGAGGGCGTACTTCGAAGGAGACCGATACAACTTGATGTCTAGTAACATAGCCGAATCCCTGAAAAAAGACGTGGTTTGGGATTTTCCGTGGAATATATTACAAGCTCCCATACAAAGACGTGGCAATACAAGATCAAAACCATAGTTCTGGTATACGCCCTCTCTCCTCCACGCGTATGCGCCGGTACCAGTCTCGAAGTGTACGCCATGTGTTCCCGTACACCATAGAGGAGGTGTATGCCACGTGTTCCCGTACACCATAGAGGAGGTGTACGCCATGTGTTCTTAGGGTTCACCATGTAGGAGGTGTACGCCATATGATCCCATATACCAGAAATAAGGTCATGTGTTCCCGTACACCAGCGGTAAATTTGTGCACAGTTAACAGTAATAGTAAATGTGTTTCAGTAATATTTGAACTTTTAAGTTTGTTTTTCCTTGAACCAAACGATCTCGTACACACGTTTTGCGAGATGAAACATGTAGCAATTGTTGCATTTGTGATAATACAGGTTATCAAAAATACAATAAGGGAATTGTACGAAATCGTCGTTCGGGAATTGGAAATATTCCGGAATGTCGTTATACCCATCAGGGGCAAACCACCACAGATCACTCTTGAACTGGCCACCAAAAGTTTGCGCCCTTGCATCAGTCAATCCAAGGCCGGTTACTCTGTTGAAGACCTGGAACGCCGTACTTGCCTTCTCGCACTCTCCCAAGCACACGTGAAAAATAGCCGAGGCAATTGTTGCGAGAGGATATGTGGAGGAGATGCTGTCTAAAATCTCGACCCCCTTCTCGTATTCCGCGTATCCGTAGACAAGGTTAAGACCTTCGAAGTACATTGCTTGGTGGTTTAGTGCCCGGAGGCACCCCTTGAAGATATTACGAAACTTCCCGTCTCCAATATCGATCGCATCTGAGTTTCTGTGGAAGACAGGGACAATGTTAACCCCCGCTGAGGACATCATCCGAGAAGACGATGTCGAAAGTCCGGCGACCAGCTCGAATAAAAGGCCCAAGGTCTTTAATGGAGCATTTTCCAGATAAATGAATTCCTATTTGTTGACTATTACTTATTAAATCTTGTAGTCTTGTAGTCTTCGGGAAAGTATTTCATCCGGTAAGAAAGGAAACATATGGATCGTTTAGTGAGTTTTCCTATGTAACAACAGCTACATATTCTGGTTATCTCATTTCTCACCCACTTTATTTACGTAATATACGTTTGTTAACCAAAGCTGTTGTTACTGCCCAAACCTACCAAACTCTAGTTGGTGGTTGAGAGACAAATGAAATTAATGCTAGGAGGGATGGTCAGACATATGTGAAATCTATGCCCTGTTGACATCCTAAAATATAACCGCTATATGGATCGAATTCATAAAGGCCCATCAACTTGAACATGCCAGTTATTTAAGGCCCATGATTGTCTGGTCCATTAATATCTCCCAATTACGCTTCCCAAATTCTAGGGTTTAGTGGGCGATTGGATTCGGGAAAAATCTCACAGGCTCATCGTTGTGTTCAACTCAGCCAATCTGCGCTTTCGCAAGTACGATGGACGGGTACGATCCAAACTACCACGAGACGAAGGAAATGTACAGACACATCGAACGGGTTCGGCTTATGGCCAAAGTGGGCTATGGATTCATGCCGTGGTGTCCTTGATGCCATTTTAAAGTATGCTTTGATAGAGCAATTCTACGAGGGGGAGAAGTACTGGATGTGCGACATGTACAGGGTATATTTTACATAGATAATATGTTGAACATATGTGGTGGAAAGTATAGTAGATTATGCAGTGGTAGTTTAGACATTGGGATGAAAAATCTACATTGTTCCGTGTTTGATGTCGGCGTTTGTGTAGTTTATTAAAATGGCTTACTTATGCAGTTCGACAGCTTCTTGCATCACCGTAAAAGGTGGGATACCTCGGTAACGGAAGAAATCCGCCACCTGAAGGAGCAGAACGAAGTGAATGAGAAGCAAATAAGAGAGCTCAGTTTTCGTTTAGAAGATACAGAGAAGAAGTTAGGAAAAGAGATAGAAGGGAGAACTCAGTCGGTCAGAGAAGTGTACGACATGATAATGGAAGTGGTTTGCGCTTGCGATGATTGCAAGCATAGCGTTGTGATTGCATTGAACATGGTACCAAACCAACCATTTCACACAGGGAAGAAACTTGACACTCCCGAATAACCTTATCATGTTCGTTCGTTCAAGATATGTTTGTTTCAGTGTTTGGTATTTTGTCCTCCTTGTAGAATCTAATAACTTATGTTTGCTTCAGGACTTATGTCTACATTCATGTTCTTGTCCTCTGGACTGTTTGTGTAATCTGAGTACCTACGTTTACTTTCATTTTAATAGACTAATCTAAGTACTTATGTTTTTGCGATAAAGCGTAACAAGTAATAACATAATACTTAATAAATAGTTATTAGAGTAATAAATAGGATATAATGATGATTACGAAACAAACTATCATACACAATCCATAGTTCAAGATCAAACCATAGTACAAGATTAAAACAGTTAAGGTTAGTTGTTCATAACCTCCGCATTCCCGACAAACTCTTCGTAGCTATCCATCGCATATACTACACGAAACGTGTCAACGTCTTTGTCTGTCAGATTGCCCATTTCTTCAACGCTACCTTCCTCAGCATGCATCTCGAGGAATTTCATTGCACACGCTCCACAGTCACCGCTCCTAAGGTTCTGGTATACGCCCTCTACTCTCCTCCACGTGTATCCACCGGTAGAAATTGACTTACTTATTTCCGCTGGCAAGTACCGCTTCATAGCCCAGGGCAGTGACACTAGCACAGGTTCCATGTACTGCACAACTTTCTCTTCATTCTCTGTGATGGAGGTGTATGAATCGTAAATGTCAATGGTAGAGAAACGTAGATTGATTACAAGACCAACCCAGTGGGTGCTTCCCCAGTTCATTGGAGTGTAGACCCGGTCGACATCTTTGAGAAACATTGATTTCATTAGCTTGCCAGATCGACCGCCTCTCCCTGTCACAAATCTCTCCACATTTGGAGACCAATCACACTTATCTTTAACCTCTAGTCCTTTAAACAACGCATAGCCTGAGACGAGAAAGCTCGTAAACCATGGATCGACGAACACAGCTCTATCTTTCAGTAAGATATCACCTCTGCGCCTCACGAGCAGGGCCGTCAGTACCTGCATATGCTGTCAATGAAATTGCAAATCAGGCTTACGATATCCTTAACTTTCTCTACGCAAGCTTCTGATTAAAACAACGAGAAAAGTAGCATACAGGTGTTGCGAGCCACTGTGTTGGCTTTGCAATCTCGAGGAAGAATGCGTTCGTCACCGTCTGCCCAGTAATGATCTCGAATGATCTATCATGTTTATAGCAGCTTGTAAGTAGCAGTTCGTAAATATAAGTTACACTTTTTTAAGGAAATCATACTTACTGCTCTTTCGCTGCGGTAAGAGTTCTTCTGAATGTATTCCATTCCTCCGCATGAAGAGTTTGTATAGGTGCATACGCCGGTTTAGTTCGACTTGCAAACAGAGCTCGGATCCTTGGATCGCAGGTGTACACGCCGCTTATTTTCTCCGACTTCTGCGGTACACGCTTTCCACCACGCCCATTTGCAGGGGCAGGAGGAGGCTGATCAGAAAGCATTCGACTTGACCCCTCTGGTGGTGTACTGTTTTCATGGGACTGCACCTTCTCTCCCACGACCGGAGGTGTGGTGTACCCGACTAGTTGAATAGGATTGGCTTGAATAGGGGAGTTTAAACCTTCTCCATTGTAAAGAACCATCTGAAGCTTATGCGACGACGTGACCTGCAATAAATAAATCAGACGTTAGTTATGTCCAAGTTTAAGTCGTACGGTATATGGTGTACAGAGCTACGGTGGACGGTGGACAGTTATATGGTGGACGGTGGACAGTTATATGGTGGACGATGGACAGTTATATGGTGGACGGTGGACAATGATATGGTGGACGGTGGACAGTTATATGGTGGACGGTGGACAATGATATGGTGGACGGTGGACAGTTATATGGTAGACGGTGGACAATGATATGGTGGACGGTGGACAGTTATATGGTGGACGGTGGACAGTTCTATGGTGGACAGTAGACAATGATATGGTGGACTTACCTTTTTTTGCGGAGTGTCATCAACTGGTGCCTCATCTTTGGGGTCTTGATCAATTTTTTCGGCATTGTTTTCGGGTTCTTCTATGCCTTCATCACGTTCGGTTTCGCTCGGTTCATTTGGAGGATCACTATGATTACCCCCGTCACTGAACATGTCAAGATCTTCATCTATAAGACTAGGCACATCAAACTCTAGCTTTCTCCTCTTTCCCCTCGTGGTCTTTCCGCCGCCCTTTTTCTCTTCTTTTTGCAGGGACGATAGATCTACACTACCATAATCCGCCACAACTTTCCTCTTAAGCCGGTTAGATCTCCTGAGGCTTGTGGCTGCCTTATCTCCGACTTTGCCTTTTCCCTTGTTGTTCACTCCAACCACAATTACTTCATCTAACTCGTCCTCGCTGTCTCTCGTTTGTTCATCTTCTTTTTCCTTCCCCTTTCTCTTTACCGACACATTTTCCTTCTTACTTTTCTGCGTCTCCATCCCCATTTCCGTTTCTTTTTTTTTCCCCTTTTCTTTGACATCGTCTCCATCTCGTTTCTCGAATTCGCTTCTGATGTACTCCACCAGCTCTTCCTTCATATTGCGAAGTTTACCAGCAATCCACTCTTTCAGTTCTGCATGGTCCTCCACGGCTTCAGGCACATTCTCCTTCTTCCTCTCTCTTTCGTAGGATCTAGTTTCTCTGCCACCAGGATTTTTTCCCTGCTTCTTCTGATGCGGCTTCCGTTTACTTTTCGATGCAGCACCAGCTGTATCTCCTCCTCTTCTCGCAGATCCACCCTCGGTTTGTCCAATGAAAGGACGAATGGACAAATCTCCTCCACGGAATTCGTGAGGTGTGAACACATGTCCTTCGCGCAGCAGCTCAACCATGTGATCCACTTCCTCGTCATCAACTTCATCATCCCATTCTAGGTCTGCGTTCTCCTCTTCAGGGACGTACCATTGCACACTTAGCTGTTCAAACGACCAAATTATCAGTCTACATACAGATAACTTAACTTAGCATCTACATAATGTATCGTACACCTCCACAAAATACGTACACCAACACAACATAACGGTCAACTTCAATAACTAACCATACGTACCTTCGGGTTCACCTCGACATCTAAGATGTCCTCAGCTTGTAACAGAATGGTTCCGCTTTCACAGCTTGTAACAGAATGGTTCCGCTTTCACAGAAACTTGGTTCTTCTAAAAATGTCGCCGTCTTCATTGAGTCTGGGATTTTTTCAAGTAGAAGTGGGATCGCCTCCAAAGCTAGCAGCTGCAATGCTAACGGAAAACCGTAGCATGCTGAGGTTTGCTGCGTCAGCCTTTTCTTCAGCTTCTTTATAGGATTCGGTGTTTTCGTGGACATCGGTTCAGGTCCGAAACAATGTAAGGTCCTGATGAATGACAACCTACCCCAAGGAAAATCAAGGAAAGCTTGTACATCTTCAAGCTTATCCACGTACGCCGGTGTGAGTTTCAGCGTCTTGTTCGTAACCAGGACACCGTCAATCAGAATGATCAGTGCTATCGGCAATCGCTTACACTCGTCGAGGTCTTTGTCTGCCAGCAATTTCAATGCACCTTCAACGCTCATGTGCTTACAATGGGCCCCATATAGCTCTTTCCACTTTCTCGACCGTTCTTTCGATACTACGGGAACAAGTGGATGTCCTTGAGGTATTTTGGAGCATTTTAACCCTGACACTCGTTGGAATTCCCGGATTGAGAACCTGATAGGCTTTCCCCCAAACACTGCCCACAATTCGTATTTCTTCTTCGTTATCAACTGCCTCGCGAGTATTGAGTGTATGAGTTTCCCTGAGTTAGGACATCCGGCCACGAGCAACATGAACAGCTGTCTAAACTGGGATCCGAGAAGCGTTTCCAGGGCCTCTGTTCCTGCCAGTGCGTCAGCCACGCTCCCAATGACGCTTGCTTTCGAATATATGTTGAGCCTCGCTGGTTCTGGATAGCAATCCATTGCAAAAACCCTTGATGGGAGTATTCCTTCGAGATGTGCTTCCCCACCCGTTTCTGTGCCTTCGTTGCATTTCGTGGATTCCGTTCCTGCGAGGACGTTTTCCTTTCAGAAACCAGCATCATACGATTATGCAACTTTCAATTCTCAAACGATTTCCAATTACTTAAATGCAGGCAACTCAAATCTACTTAACCTAATTATCAATTGAAATAACGGAATTTTGGATTACTCTGATTTACTCCATTTTCACACAGTTTGAAATGAACTACTCGGATAGCAAGATGGGAGTTTTGGGATATAACCACTTACTTTCCCTCGAATCCATCACCGGATTCGTCGACGTCGACGGTGCGTCCTCTTCAATATCGGCACTTCTCAATCGACGGCGGTTTCCGTTTCCAACAGCGTCCTTCTTCGAATTAGCTTCTCCTCCGTCGACGGTGACTTTGGGGTCGACCATTTCGCAATCTGTGATTTGGGTTTATGAAATTTCCAATATGTCCGTTGTAGAGTTTCCTAATTCTCCAGATTTTTTCACTGTAAGACGCTTCGGTTTCTTTCGGTTTCTTTCTTCTAAACCCAGATCTTAAGAAATTGGGAAAATTCAAGTTTTGTTTTAAATTTGAAAATTAGCCCAATTTCTACAGCGGTTCGAATGTTCAATCGGAGACGGTTAGCTGTGAAACTCGGTCTCCAATTCGACGAGTCACACTGCCATCGTGGCATATATGCCATGTCACCTTAATAGCATGTTCCGTAATTCTGTTGGGTGGCCGAGGTCCATGCCATATATTCTTATGTGGGGTCCATGGAAGTTGCCTCTTTACCGAATAAAAACTTGGGGTTGCGTGATCGTCGAATTAAAAACTTATTAATTGTTATTACCGACAGAAGATCTTAAAAATGTCAGAAGTCAGTCCAGTTGAACAGCAGTTATTATCAAACCAGTACACATTATATGGCAATAAAAATGGATTGTTGAACAAAAAATCTTCGGAATAACAATATATTTACAGTGTATTATTAGCTCACGGATTGGATAGATATCAGTCAAATGCTCACAACTTAAATTTTTGTTTCTCTTTATTTATGAAACATGTAATTATATTAAGAAGCAATACGGAATCAACTTCTAGCTTCTCCTCATAGGGAAGAACCATTAACTTAAGTCATATCCATGGAGCCCACAACGCTTACATATACCTGCATGGCTTTATTTCATGACACGTGTGATTTCTGACTGTTTCACACTCTTTTTTTTTTTTCCAAAAAAAGATTCCATAGTGGTTCTTATCCGATCGTCGCAGAGCGGTTGGGTTGATCCGTTGTCGGTTGATGGGTTAAATTTAAACCGTCCCTTTTAGCTTTCGTCTCTTTTTGAATTTATTCTGATCAAGTTTCTTATATTCGCTTCACGAGTTTCTGGTGAGATCTTTTTTCTCTGATTTTGTTTCATACACGGATCTCTCTCAGGTCTCATGTCAGACGAGAATCGAGGCTGTCAATTTTTGTTATCTAGCGTTTTTCATTTATGATCCATAGGATGATGATCGGTCGAGGAATTTCCTCGAATCTCTGCTTGGGAAATGATAATTTAGAGATCTTGCTTGGTGTTGCGTCTCTAGATTATTACTTGCTTGATCACGTTTTCCTCTGTTTTGATCTCTGTTGATCTGTAACTTTTGATGTTGATCACGTTTGCATGATCTGTCTTGTAATTTGATGTTTATTTTTGTGCAATATCTATAATTATAGAAGATTTTTTCACTTGACAGTTTTGTTTATTGATATTTTCTTCACAGATATAGCGCAGCTAAGAGCCAATGGAAGAATTGCCAGACCATTTAATTTGGGACATTCTCAGAAAGCTTCATCAAACCAATGACAGAAACTCTGTTTCATTGTCCTGCCGTCGATTCTACTCGCTGGACAAGGAGCAAAGAAACTCTCTCCGTGTTGGATGTGGTTTAGTTCCTGCAACCGATGCCTTGCTTACTCTCTGCAGGAGGTTTCCGAATCTGACCAAAGTAGAGATCATGTACTCTGGTTGGATGTCAAAACTTGGCAAACAACTTGACGATCAGGGCCTTCTTCTCCTCTCCACCAACTGCCATTCTCTCACTGATCTCACTCTTAGCTACTGCACTTTCATCACCGATGTCGGCATTCGACATTTGTCCTCGTCTTCGGAGCTTTCTTCTCTTAAGTTAAATTTCGCTCCAAGAATCACCGGTTGTGGGCTATTGTCACTTGCCGTAGGATGCAAGAAACTCAGGACACTTCATCTCATTCGATGCCTAAACGTGGCGAGCGTCGAGTGGTTGGAGTATTTCGGGAAGCTTGGGATTTTAGAAGAGCTCTGCATCAAGCACTGCAGAGCGATTGGGGAGCGTGACTTAATTAAGCTCGGGAATAGCTGGCGGAAGCTTCGGAGTCTGCAGTTCGAGGTTGACGCCAATTACAGGTACATGAAGGTTTATGATCAGTTAGCTGTGGAACGGTGGCCGAAACAGTTGGTTCCTTGTGACAATCTTGTAGAGCTAAGCCTTGGGAATTGCATCATAGCTCCTGGTAGAGGGCTCGCTTGTATGCTGAGCAAATGCATGAACTTAGAGAAGCTTCATCTTGACATGTGCACCGGTGTCAGCGACTCGGACATCGTAGCTTTGGTCAAGAAAGCTAAACACCTTAGAACCATCACACTCCGTTTGCCATCTGATTTCACTCTGCCTCTCTTAAACAGCATCACCTTCAGATTAACCGACGAGAGCCTCGGTGCCATAGCTCAACACTGCTCAAGTCTGGAGTCTTTCAAGATCTCCTTCTCGGACGGGGAGTTTCCTTCGCTCTTCTCTTTCACCTTACAGGGGATAATCACACTGATCCAGAATTGCCCAATACGCGAGCTTTCTCTCGACCATGTGTGTTGTTTCGACGACTCTGGCATGGAGGCTCTGTGTTCGGCTCAGAATCTAGAGATGTTGGAGCTTGTCCAATGCCAGGAAGTGAGCGACGAGGGCTTGATTCTGGTGAGTCAGTTTCCTTCCCTCACAGGACTGAAACTATCCAAGTGTTTGGGAGTCACAGACAATGGATTGAGACCGCTTGTTGGGTCTCAGAAGCTTGACTTGCTTGTGGTTGAAGATTGTCCTCAAGTTTCAAGAAGAGGTGTTTATTGTGCTGCAACGTCTGTATCTTTCAGGCAAGACTTGTCATGGATGTATTGAGATCCTTAGTTGGGCTTTTGATCGGACGGTTCCATTGATTTCACCTTCTTCGCCGGGATCTCAGAAATTGAATTTGAAGATCTGGAATCATTTTTGTGCATAGCAAGGACACAGTACTAATATATAATAAGTTTAAAACAGTGTATAAAGTTTATAAGCACATATTGTTTTTACAGAAACCCGGATTTGAAGCTCTGGAATGACTAAAACTAGCTGCTATAATATAAACTCCGAAAAACAATAAAAATCAGCAATCAAAACTACCGAGACAAATCAAGAATTGGCTTTGACCAAATTTTCCCATGAATACAATATCCCTTTCCTCAAAGACGAATTTCATGGAAACCTTGTGTCCATAGATTACATTTTTGTTTCTCATTTTTCTCGTAATTCGGAGAGAGATTCCAAATTAGCATGGCTGCAAATGATAATGATAATATATTTGAAAGGGGAAAATGACATTTTAAACTAAGAAGGTGACAAAATGCTAAAACTTTAAATCTTTTTAGTTACAGAAATTGGACAATCTTATAAAACGGGCCGTTTATCGGATGAAAATCTTACATGCTTAAATTGGGCCATGAACATTTACAGGCCCACTCGAAAAGAAGGAAATAAAAAAGTCTGTCCCCGAGTTGCGCATTCGCGAGTTTTCTCATCCATTAGGGTTCGTGGATTGATAATCTGTAATAATCAATCCGTCTTAGTTTTCTCATATTATTGGTTGAGAAATTGGAACCTGATAGATTTTTTTTTCTTCATCTGAAATTCCGATACGATTTTGTGTAGCGAGTTTTCACATCCATTAGGGTTCGTAGTCATCGTGTTCCACGAAGGTGATTGAGATTATTTGTTGAGAAATTGGGACCTGATAGATTGTTTGTTCATCATATTGAAATTCTGATCTGATACGATTTCGAATTCAAGGTATTGTTTGTTATTTTTTTTTGTTTTTTTCAATTTTATGCTGTTAGTGATTGTCATCAACTTATTGAAATCATGGGTTGATATCCATTTCTTCGTTATAGGATATAGCAAACAAGCATCGATTTCGATTTTTTATCTTCCTTAAGCTATTATCACCTGATCAGATCTGAGATTCCGATGACTTCGATTTCTGGAGTTCTTCAGTTATTATGCTGATTTAGCACAAAATTCAGTAATCTGTATGAATATCTCTGTATTTAGTAATGATGAGGCTTATTAAGCCGTTTTAATCAAAAACTGTGTCTTCTTCTTCTTATAATTTAAACAACTATTTAACAAGATCTTTCCATTTGCAGTATTGACCAACGGCCAATGCACGGTAGTAACAGTCTCTGTTATAGTCCGGTCTTCCATCAGCAGCTGCAGCCGCTGCCAAGTCACGCCGGGCACAACATCTACAGGTAACTGAAGCAGTTGTTCTTTTCTGCAAAATTTGTGGTGATTAGCTTACAGCAATACTTTTTACTTTGTAGAAAGGTTAATTTGATTGATCACCGTATGTACCTCATATTGAACTTGCTGTTATTGCTTCTTACTGGTTGGTAATCCTTAGATATCAGAGTTGTTTTAATGAAATCCTTGACTGGTGTTGCAAAAGCAAATAGCAAGAATGCTGAAATAAGTAAAGCTCATGCTCCCACCAGTGTGTGTATGTCTCTCTCTCTCTCTCTCAACACAAAGTAATTTTCTCGATCTATATCTCAGGTCATACAAAGACAGGTTTAGACCACTGATAGATGGTACCATCCGTCGCTGGAAAGAAGGCAAGCGCCACAACGCACACTTAAAGGTAAACTACACCTTATTCCTTATTCTATAATACGTATCTCTGAGTTTAATGTATTCTTTTGGCCAATCTCTTTGGAAGAAGTTGCTTAACATGGAGATTTTGATTGTTTTAACTTTGAATCCTTAGGAGATTCGTTGTTTAGCTAGATAGATAATTGGTATGCGAAGTTGTATTTACAATACCATCTCTGTTGATTCTTTATTTGATTGCGCTTTTGTTCTTTTGCAATATTGAATAAGATACATCGCCATAAAACATTGTTACTTTGTAAGAACCTAACAACCTGTGGCGAGCCAAAACGTGAACACACAAAATTCAGAGTCAGTAATTAATCACTCTTTTGAATTTTAAATTATGCAGGTCAACTCAACAGGCAAAGATGCATGGGGACCAGTTTTTATTTCAACATTCAACTCAACATGTATGTCTTTTATTTCTTCTAGTGTTAATATCACATATTCATAAAATATTAGAACCAGTGATGACTCGGCAGTGCTTAGGTCCATATACTAGGTCTTCCCAGTGTTTAAAATTAGTTTTTTTTAGCATACCGAGATATTTCCACACCAATTTCATTTAGTGAAGCTACGAAGATAAGAAATTTCCATTTCAAGCGACCCCAGATGACTACAACTATGAAAACTTGTGATAGTGCGCTTCTCTTTTTGTCTAGCCACATTTGTCCACCATTCCAACCGCTCTCTTCTTATGTTACAACTGCAGAAAGAAGCCTATCTCCAACATAGCTCCATCGACAGCCAAGGAAAAATCAATCAACTTCATTGGAATCCATGGGGAACTGTAAGCTGAGAGGAGTAGTGCACGTTTAAACAAGGAAGAAGGTTATTGTCCCTGCAGGTAGATTCCTGCAACATTTTCAGTCAAAATATAGAATAGTCTTTAGGCAGTGTGTAAACAAATATTTCTTGCAGAGACTCGGATTTGGAGCTCACTCTGAAAGGATTAAAGGTATAATTTAATAATTATGCTCATGCTCATCATTACTTTTCTTTACTTGTTATCGGAAACATTTACTTACGGGTCTTTGTTCTAAGGAACCTCTATCTCCGAACTTGGGGTCCCAGCTTTTTCCGAAGAAACTCACACTACCTCCGCCATTACATTCATCAATCATCATCGATTGCTTTTACGGAAATGCTTAGAACCAGCTGCTTCTTGCAATCGTCGCTGATTCCGCCATATTTGACGTAAGTTTTTTGGTTTCTTCTGACTTGTTGCGTCCCTCTCTCTCCACGTAGCAGATTTGGCATTTCCCCATGTTTCTAGTAGCTATCTAATTACAATACAGGACGAAACCGTATATATTGATTAATAGGAGGGCAAAACACAATTACCCAGTGAATCAGGGATCTAAATATAATATGCACAAAGCCATAGGGTAAAATCATAATTAATAGAGAACGGAGGGTAGTATAATAAATATGGACAAATGAGCGTGGTCAGGAATATTTAATATCTAAGGGCGCGTACCTAACCTTTAAATGACCGAGAGTCCGACCAAAGTGTTAGTGGTCCGAACTAAAGCCCCCGACAAAAGTCATACTGGGCCGATCAAGGGCCTGGTCAAACATTTAATTGGCCGACACGACCAAACTATAAGTGGTCCCACACGACCAAACTAACTTTTCCGACCAAAACTAATGTTCCGACTAAACTTTATGATCCGACACGACCAAACTAAATTTTCCGACCAAACTTAATGTTCCGACCGAAGTCTCGACAGAACTCTAAATGGGCCGGAAAAACTCTAAATGGGCCGAACCTAGATAGTATTGGGCCGAGTTAATCCAATATTTACCTTTTTAGGCCCATCTAGGCCCAGAATCTGTTCTTACTGGGCCGACCGCGGGCCCGACCAAAGTATAAATGATCCGACACGACCAAACTAAATGTTCCGACCAGAGTGTAAATGATCCGACACGACCAAAATTCCGACCAAACTCTAAATGATCCGACACGACCAAACTAAATGTTCCGACCAGAGTATAAATGATCTGTCAAAACTATAAATGGGCCGCAACAGATTTATATCTTAGTGGGCCGACCAAAGCTGTTATTTAACCTTAGTTGGCCATTCCAGGCCTAGATCCAATTCTTATTGGACCGAAGTACAAAATAAAGATAAACCAATTGTAAAATCATAAATAACGGAAAGACAGTGGGTAATATTATAAATATAGAAACATCGGGGCGCAAAACCATAAATATCGACAAAATTGAGGGTATAATCACAATTAGCGAACAAACTTAGAGAAACTATCAAATCTCGGAAAGATGGAGGGTAAGATAAGGGGAATGCCAATCTCTGGGGAGCCAACCATTAAAGACAAGAGGGTATTAGCATAAATATGGAAAAATCAGAGGGCATAAAGAGAGATTTTAGTTGCAGAAATTGGAGTTTGCATCTTCTTGATCTAACCCTTTCTTCTGTTACTCTTCTTTTTAGGTACATGTATAGACGCAGAAGAAGATGTCGTATTGGTAGATATGGGCAAGACCGTACCGTCCTTGACCTCTTTTGACTCAGAGACTTCTTCACTCTCAGTCTCACCATCTATTTGAGCCATTAGTTTCCCAAGCTGATAGCGTGAATAACAGATTTAGTATGGGTATTGTAATATAACCAACGACACAGGATTGTATTTTGTGTCTATAGAGATGTTTCTTTGTTACCTGTTCTTCCAAGCCCCGGATCTTTTCCTCCTTCGCCTGAACCGCATTCTTCTCCCTAATTCAAAGCTAAAGTTTCATCAATGGAGAATAACACTCAATTCTAATAATATGGACACAATTTCCCATGGGGCAAGGCAATCCGATGGATTGATGAATACCTTTCTTCCATTCCTGCAATCTTGGTGCTCCATACGTCCTTATTTTTCACAAGATTATCGTTCAACTACGTATGCAAAAAGCAACAAGTCAGTCCTTCACAGAAATGCAAGTTGATGTTGTTGGAAGTTGGAACCGATATGTAAGCTTCTGCATCAAAGCAATATACTCACATCTTCAAGAAACTGCTTCTCTTTGATACATCTGTCAAACCTAGTTTGCAGCTTCTGCAGTCTCTGGCTTATTGCCTTGCTCGCTGCTTCTGAGACTTTTTGTTCAGTTTCCTCTTTGACATTTTGTAGCAGCTTTTCAAAATACTAGCAGGACAAGTAACGAGGAACAAACACAAGAAATTAAGTCTTACTAGCAGTACTGGAGACAACAAAGGCATACAGGATAGGTGCTTACTTGTTTTTGGTTCTCAAGTTGTGCCTGGAGAAGTTCGTTGTACTCACTAATAATCTGTGGTTTTCAATGAGAAAAAGGATGAGTCAACACTAAGTTAACTAAAGAATGCTAAAATTGAAAATGAGGATCATGATATCATGAAACAGAAGCACTACCATGTCCACTTTGCTGTTCAAGAGAGCATCACTAATTCCACTGTCAGAGTATTCGCAACTTCCAAAACCATCCTTGTTCAGACTACCATGAGAATTCAACTCCACTAGCTTGCCATCAGTTTTGGATTGAATAAGCCGGTGAACATAATTGTCACCAGCATAATCCCAAACACGCTGTGTTTCAAGTTCAAGTGAATAGCAATGCTCTGTCTCCTCCCAGTGCCTCCTGGCATGTCCTCCCTTGTATCTACGATTAGTATTTAACAGAGAGAAATGTTAATCGAGAAGGAAACAAGTCTCCGAACTGATTGCAGGAAGCACAATCCATACCTTCCGCAGCCAACAACCCCACAGATAACACACATCCAGAGATTCTCCGTTGTTTGGCAAACACAACATACTGAATTTTCAGGTTGTTGCTGGCAATATCGACAAACCTGGAAACAGAAAACAACACCCCATAAATATCCATGAAGAATATTGACATAAGATTTTTAAAAATTGCCTGAAGACAATAAAAGAACCTTACTGGGCAAGAAGAGTCTGGCCAATTCGAAATACATGAACAATGGAAGGAATGATTGCACATGGTTGTGAGAATGCCACCTGTGTCTTGGTCCAATCTCTCTGAAACATGAGCATATACCAAACAAGGTTTAGATTATACCTAAACCAAACGCAAGGTACAGTCAATCTTAATACCAACAACTTCTGGAGCTAAACTAAGGCTTTCAGACTTGAATAGTTCAGGTTAAAACTTTACCAAGGCAAACTGGGCAAGTAGGTTGCTCTATGGGACCAGCAGCAGAAGGCTGTGTGTGGTCAATAGATCCACTATAACCGGTAAACTGTACATCTAGCGTAAAAAGCAGGCGACACACATCTTCCTGCATATAATTCGCAGTAGCTAATCAATCACAAAGATCAATGTTAATATATACATCTGACATAGGCCGTGTCAAACGAAGCCATACCTCCAGAGAACTGAATTGTTTCCCTCTAAAATGCTGGTAGAAAGTATCGGTAGATTCTTGACTATCAAACCTTATCAAAATGCTATATCTATTTTCAACCCCATCATTCCTGTAACGATCAAAAGCCATAAGCAAACAAACTTCATATCTCGCCAACCAAAAGTAAACTACCAGAAAGCAGATTGAGAAATTGCCATTTCACTTTTCTTTGCTTACCTCACAGTTCGCATTTCCAGTATGTGCTGAATGAAGGAGCCGCAGAACTGGCAAAAATCTGCATAGGTCATATGGTTCGGCACCCCAAGAACGCAGACAAGAGGGTTCCTCCCAATCTAAAGGGCAACAAAACTATTCCCAAATAAAAAATTCGATTCCGGAGAAAAATTGACGCAATCAAACGAAAGAACGAACAAACCTAAGACGGATATTGAATAGTAAAAGGGAGAAAGGAAGATTACAGGGAGATTCGACGAGGAAGAAGACGACGACGAAACGGCATCGTCGGGAAATAGATGCATCACGCCGCGAGTCTCCCCGATTCTAGGGTTTCCAGAAGAAAAATGAACTGTCTGAGTCATATCGGAGAGAGACGATTCACCGGAAACACTTGCCACCGGTGGTACGATCGATTCTTCTCCGGCGATTATGCTTGATGTTGAGGGCATCATCGTTTCTACTACACTCGCCAAACGAGTATCGGGAATTTACTACGGCAGTCGAAACGGAGATCTCTCGCACGCCTAATACACTATCCAGTAAAGCTCTGACACGTCATCAACTCCACAAGGATTTATTTCATTTTATTTTTCGTTTCAACCCCACCAGGATGTTTATTTTACAGAAAAAAATCCAAAGTTTCAATGTGATCAAATACGTCCCGCTAATAATTTCACATCACAGAAATCGTACAACATTTATCGTTGGAAAATAAAACAGAACTCTCTTGATGATCGATTCTCACTCTTCATAGTTGTATAGATGACTAAACAGAAGCTGGAACTTGGGAGTCCACCGACTTGAGAACCTCCTCTCCCATCTCCTTGCAGCCCACCAGTTTCTGATCACACACCATTCAAAAAACACCACAACATTTTTGTTAACTTTTCTAACACCGACACACAAGGGAAACGAAACATATGGTAAAGAGTATGGTTCAAGAAAAGTACATTTCCCGCGGAGTAGATGTCTCCAGTTCTAAACCCTTTGTTCAGAGCAACCAACACAGCGTCTTCAATCCTCTTAGCTGCCTTTTCTTCTCCAAGTCCGTATCTCAGAAGCATCGCAGCGCTGAGAATGGTTGCCAATGGGTTTGCTTTATCCTGAAAATTCAACGAATCGACAGGTTTTACTCTTTATATTTGACAGAGAAGTAGTTTTGATATTAAGGAAGTATTTGAAGAACAGAGTTAGGACCTGTCCAGCAATATCAGGTGCAGAACCATGAATAGGTTCGAACAGTCCAGGTCCCTGTATCATAAACATGAGAGGATTATGTTCAGACCTGGTCAAACTGCTGCATAATCAAAGGTCAAACTGTTTTATATTGTACCGAATCACTGAGACTAGCAGATGGAAGCATGCCAATGCTTCCTGTGATCATTGAAGCTTCGTCGGATAATATATCACCAAAAATGTTGTTTGTGACGATGGTGTCAAACTGCATTTTTAAGAGACGATCAAACAAAACCATTGTAAGGATTTACACAGTTTTTACATCAAATGCTAACTAGTTTGGGAAATATAAGTACCTGTTTTGGGTCACGAACAAGCTGCATCGCAGCATTGTCAACATACATATGTGACAGCTCTACATCAGGATATTCAGCGGCTAATGCTGTTACTCGTTTCCTCCATAAAACTGAGGCCTTCGATAAGAGAAAATTTCATTAGATTGTGTGTTTATCTGTGTTACATAAGAAATCAGAAAGAGGAGTTTCGAGAGAGAAGTGTAATTAGCAACCGTACTTCCAAGACATTAGCTTTGTCGACAGAACACAGCTTGCCACGTCTTTTCCGAGCTGTCTCGAAGGCAACACGAGCAATTCTATCAATCTGAGAGCATAAGATTTTTTTAATCTTACCTCAGTCTGTAGCACATAACAAAGAGAGAAAAGAAGGTTTTTTTTTATAGTAATTCAGTCTGTGAAAACGGTTTTCAATAGAGTACCTCGTGAGCACCATAAACCTCCGTATTAAAACCAACTTCCTCGCCATTTTCATTGATCTTTATGCCTCTTGGTTCTCCAAAATAGATACCTGTTTCCACGAGACATCGCATGGTAAAGAAACTGTCTCACTACGGAACAAGAAAGACAAGACTAAAGAATCAATCAATTAATCTGACCTCCTGTAAGCTCCCTTACAACCATTAGATCAACACCTTCTGCTACTTCTCTCTTCAAGGTCGAAGCATCCACCAGCTGAATTTTTTTTGTTTTGATAATGTCAGGAAACAGAGCTATAGGTTACAAAGCAATCTAGAGATTCAAAAGAAGATGGTTACCTGAGGCAGAACTGTAGCAGGTCTCAAATTAGCAAAGACTTTAAGACCGGCACGAAGTTGAAGCAACCCCTTCTCAGGCCTCAGATGTTTTTCATTGTTATCCCACTTGTACCTGAAATCATACCAACACTAAGATCAGAAGAGAAATGATTAGAGCCAGCCAAACAGTAGCGGGACAAGAGAGAAGAAACAAACCCTCCAATGGCTCCAAGAAGCACAGCATCTGATTCTTTTGCAGCAGAGATGGTCTCCTCAGGCAAAGGCACTCCCACCAAATCCAAAGCAGCTCCTCCAATGGGCATCTCCCGGAAGCTAAATTCCACTCCTGATAAGCAGCACATAAGCAATGTTGCGTGACCATAATCCATATAAATCCTAAGTACGATTCTATATCTAATCCCCACACAAATTCATGAAACAGAAGATACTAAAATCGCAAAATCTCTCCAATTTCCACTTCTCACGCGTTTCAATTCGATTAAGTGTCAATTCCATTTCCAAGCAGAAAACAGTCAATTCCCCCAATTGCTTCCCGTTCAAATCGGAAACAAAGCAGCCACACAAACATAAAGAGAATGGGAGCAAAAGAGAGAAACCTTCTAAAGACCCAGCTTGCTGAAGCACATTTTTGGCGATGGAGACGACCTCAGGACCGATTCCGTCGCCGGGAAGGAGAGTGATGTTGTATCGTTTCGTCCCGGGGGAAGCAACAGCGCATCTTACTCTAAACGGTGCGGAAGACTGTTTAGTGAATGCTCTGAACGTGGCCGGAACTTTGACCGGCCGGATATTTGTCTGCAGAGCCGCCGCCATTTCAAGGAGAAAGGATTGCGTCTTTTTTTTTGGGTTTTTTCGGATTTTTGAAACTGTAGTACTACTAACTCTACCAACCTGGCTACCTCTGATACTTAAAAAGACTTTGCATATGGGTCCTTTTCTGCATATTATTTTATTTCCACTATCGACCCCAAAGTTTTTAATTAGGTAGTGGAGAAGCTTACGTTGCCAGATACGAACATTTATACCCATATCAGAATTCAGAAGATTACAGTCTTCAATTGCAGCTGCTCTTTTTCTCTTAACGGCTAGCTTTATTGCTTGAACAATTTAGCAAATACAAACAAAACGTCGAATTTCTTTGAATATATCACTCTATATTTGTAGCTAAACCACACTTCCGTTGGAAGCAGAGACTCTAGTATCAAGGGATCTCAGTATCTCTTCGCCCATTCTCCTGCAGCCAACCAATGTCTGTCCAAAAATCCAACTTGCTTATCATAAACTTGTGTGTATTACTAGAAACAACAACATATACATTTTGCCAAAAGAGAGAGAGAGAGGAAAAAGGAAAGATGAGCTTACAGTTCCAGGAGTGTGAATGTCACGAGTTCTGAACCCACGATCCAAGACATCGGAAACTGCATTTTCTATCCTCTTTGCAGCGTTCTCTTGTTTCAATCCGTACCTGAACAGCATTGCAGCTGATAGCACAGCCGCTATGGGATTCACCGTGTCCTGCAATCCGCAATGTCATACATGTTTAGACTGGTTTCACGTTCAATATCATATATACATGAAGATTATGAAGCGACCTTTCCAAAGTGTTTAGGTGCAGATCCGTGGACGGGTTCGAAGATTCCAGGCCCCTGTAAACATGAGAGAAGAAGAAACTCATTTTCAAGAAAACGACATCACTGTAAAGAGAAGTAAAAGGAAAAGGACGTACTGAATCACCAAGGGCAGCAGATGGGAGTAATCCTACGCTTCCCGGGATCATAGCCGCGAGATCAGACAGAATATCACCAAACATGACTCCAGTCAAAATGGTATCGAACTGAAACATCATAAAACTTCAAAGCATTTTGTAAGAATCAGTGCAGGAACAGCCAAAAATGTTCCAAATTGAACTGGATTAACGAAAAGATAACCTGTCTTGGGTGCCGAACAAGATCCATGGCAGCGGTGTCAATAAGCAGATGAGTCACTTCAACCTCAGGATACTCCAAGGCCATTGCTGTGACTCTTTTCCTCCACAACATTGATCCCTGCACCCCAGACAAGGAAAAAAGGAAAAAAAAAAACCATTGAATCCAGGATCTATCTCATCATTTTGTAAGTCAAGAAACTAGAAATGCTTCATTGAAGTATTTATCTCATCGTTTTATGATTCTGTTCACGAATTCTTACCTCCAAGACAGTAGCCTTGTCAACAGAGCAAAGCTTACCGCGCCTTTGCTTAGCAGTTTCAAATGCAACACGAGCAATGTGATCAACCTAAAGCAGAGGAATCAGAAACAAGAATGCTTCCATCAAATGCTTTCTTTCCGACAAGATTAAAAGTCTCCAACATGATACCTCAGTGGCAGAGTAGGACTCCGTGCAAAATCCAACTTCGTCACCTTGTTCATTCGTGGTAAAACCCCGAGGATGCGCATTGTAGATACCTGTTTTCAAAATTTTATAAGTGACAAAGAGCCAAATCTATGTTTCTTATGTGAGCATTGATTATTGACTGACCTCCGGTAAGCTCCCGGATGATCAAAAGGTCAACCCCTTGAGCTGTGTCTTTTCTAAGATATGTCGAATCAAGCAGCTGAGACATGTCAAAAGTCCAAAGAACGTGAAGTTACAGACACTGATAATAATTGATGAAGAAGGCAGTCTCTCACTTTCCAAGAGCAAAGACTCAGATACCTGTGGGAAGACAGTGATGGGTCTGAAATTGGAAAAAACTTCAAGAGCCGCACGAAGCTGAAACAGTCCCGTTATCGGCTTCAGAGGCTTGGGATTGTCATCCCATTTCGGCCTTTCAATTCAAAAACATCAACTTCAGATTAACCCAATATGGTGGAGAAAACAAATGGAATGAGAATTGAGAAATACCATCCAACAGCTCCGAGAAAAACAGCGTCTGACTGTTTTGCCCTTGTCAATGTTTCCTCCGGTAGTGGAACTCCGACGAGATCTAAAGCAACGCCTCCTATAGGCAACTCCTCGAAGCTCAATTCTAACCCTGAAACGTGTAAACCGAGTATTGAAACGCTAATTGTCAATATTCAATATCATCATGTGGTCCTGTGACGATTCATGAGCTAAAAAATTATCACTATGAAGTCTGGATTGTCCGTGATTTAGATTCGGATATCAAATCAAATCAATTAGGAGGAGACTAGAGAGATATAAGAGGGAACCTTCAAGAGATCCAGCTGAACGAAGAGCGTCGACGGCGACTGGGATGACTTCGTTGCCGATGCCATCGCCGGGAAGTACCGCAATGGTGTACCGTTTCTTCGGTGAGTTGGCGGCACATCTGATCACAGACGCTCTCCTAAAGGTCTGTTTGGTCCCGGACTTAAACGCAGCCGGAATCTGGATACCGCTGACGTGGAAGCCTAGAGCTCCCGCCATTTTCCTCTCTATTGCGAATGAATGCGCTAGTGAATTTAAACCCAGATGAAAATCTCATTACAACAATGCAAGCTGCAGAATTACATAAGTAACAGATACTGGTTTTTATTTTAATTATCTTGGTCTACAAATATGTTTTTCACAAAAAAAAACATACAACGTTTGAAATGATGCCATGGTGGTCCCAAACTCCGAAAGCAACGTAATAAGAAAAACGATAATTTGGCTTTGATGGATCCGTTTCGTACGCATCTCTGGTGTTATTCGTGTGTTTTAAGCATGGCACAATTAGTATAGTGGCGACTGGCGACTGGCGACAAATCCACCTAAATCTTAACCACATAACATAAGAATATTCTTGTTTTTGTTCTCTAATGGCTCAATTATGGGGCCTACAAGAGAGATTCGCCACAGTCGACCAGTTTTTAAAAAAACTAATTTCCGGCATTAACCAATTCATATTCAAAAAGAGAGAGAGCGGCCCAATTTTCCACATATCAGAAACTCAAAGTCCAATGGGTAATCGGCCCACTGTTTCATATTTACCGGAATGAAAATGGGTAGTCGGGTCAAAATTCGCCCGTTGATCGCCGTCACTCGCTAAGACGAACCCCTAGCTCCGGCGGCATAGAGCAGAGATAATATGTTATTGTCGATGTATTTGCGGCGATTCGATCGACTCCGGATTGTATGTCCTCCCTCCTTTCGGCTTCTATCTGGGAAACCCATTTCGAATGTTGACGGCGAGAACCATCGATGTCAAGAGGATCAGTCGAGCTACGATCAGAAAACAGTATGCGAAGCGCTCACTTGTTACATCAACGATTGGCAAAAGGCGTTGGAGTTCTTCAACTGGGTCGAGAAAGACTCCGGATTCACACACACCACCGAGACGTTCAATCGGATGATCGACATTCTGGGTAAGTATTTCGAATTCGAAACTTCCTGGAGTTTGATCAAAAGGATGACCGGAAACCCGGTTTCTCTCCCGAACCACGTCACTTTCCGTATAGTCTTCAAGCGTTACGCGATGGCGCATCTTGTTCAGGAAGCGATCGATGCGTATGACAAATTGGATGATTTCAATTTGAGAGATGAAACGTCTTTTTATAACCTCGTCGATGCGCTTTGCGAGCATAAGCATGTGGTTGAAGCAGAAGAGCTTTGCTTTGGGAAGAACGTGATCGGTAATGGGTTTAGTGTGAGTAATACGAAGATTCACAATCTGATTCTTCGTGGGTGGTCGAAATTGGGATGGTGGGGTAAATGCAAAGAGTATTGGGAGAAGATGGATAACGAAGGTGTTGCAAAGGATTTGTTTTCGTATTCGATTTACATGGATATTATGAGCAAGAGTGGGAAGCCATGGAAAGCTGTGAAATTGTACAAGGAAATGAAGAGTAAGAGGATAAAGCTCGATGTGGTTGCTTACAACACTGTGATTCGGGCCATTGGAGCGTCGCAAGGTGTTGACTTTGGTGTCAGGGTGTTTAAGGAGATGAGGGAGAGAGGTTGTGTGCCTAACGTTGCGACGTATAATACAGTTATTAAGCTTCTGTGTGAAGAAGGGAGGATGAAAGAAGCGTATGAGATGCTTAACGAGATGCCAAAGAAAGGATGTGGACCGGATTCGATTACTTATATGTGTTTCTTTGGTAGAATGGAGAAACCGAGAGAGATACTTGGTTTGTTTGGTAGGATGATGAGGAGTGGGGTTAGGCCAAGAATGGATACGTATGTGATGCTGATGAGGAAGTTTGAGAGATGGGGATTTCTTCAGCCGGTGTTACATGTGTGGAAGACGATGAAAGAGTCTGGGGACACTCCTGATTCTTCTGCTTATAACGCTCTGATCGATGCTTTGATACAGAAAGGAATGTTGGATATGGCTAGGGAATATGAAGATGAAATGGTTGAAAGAGGGTTGTCTCCAAGGAGAAGGCCTGAGTTGGTAGAAAAGTCCTTAGAAGAAACCTTAGTTTGTGGATAATACTGTACGTTCAAACGAGCAACAACTGAATCAATTGATGCAGAATGCTAATTGTTATGTGTCCTGACTTGAAGCTCCTGATATCAAGAAGCCTCCTTTGCTTGAAGAAATGAGAAATCGATCAAAGATGAGTAAACAGTGAGGTTTGGAGCAAGTCGATGAGTGTGAGACCATGAGGCTTGAGCTATTTGTGTCAAAACATTTTATATTATGTAATAAACATTTGTATTTTATTTCTAAAAATTTTGCCTTCAAATATCACTCCTTTTATATTCTAAATTTTAAAGGGTATCAGTGAGATTAGTGAAAGAGTATTGAGAAACAAAAAGGGATAAAAAAAGGGGCCAAACATATATGATAATTAGAACAAAAAAAAAAAATCAGCACGAGATCGACACAGCAAAGCTTGTAAACGTCAACACTTTTTCTGGCGATCATAATAGATAATAGTTGGTACTATCTAAATCATATATTGTTTCTCCACAATATATGATATCAGATTGGAGCAAGAAGTTCAGTCAATGTTTCCTCCGTTATGTTCCATGGCCTTAGACCCTTAGTAGACACGGATTCAATATTTTTTCTAGATTCTTGAATCTCTATCCATGCAATTTAACAGCCATATACAACTCTTCTCCGTGTATTTCCTTGAGAGCTAAGATGTCTGTTTCTCCACCTTGTTCAAGTCTTTTTGTCCTGATCATTCCCCGTCATGTACAGTACATGTGCAAGAAATGAGAAATCAATCAAAGATATCACATCTGCATTTGTTTCAAACATTGAGGTTCATTGAGTAATCTGGTTCGCACTTGTTGTGATCATCGATTCCTTTGGAAGTTGGAACGAGGATTGGAGCAAGTCGATGAGTATGAGACCATGAGGCTTGAGCAATTATTTGTGTCAAAACTTTTTATATTATGTAATAAACATTTGTATTTTATGTTTATTGTATTTGAAATTTTGAACTAAAGAATAGGATGATAAATTACTTTCGTAACGATATGATTTTTCTTTTGCCTTCATCAACTAAGCATGTGGTTATTTCAGCAACAATAATTTACTTACTCGAGTTTGCTAAAAAAAAAAAGCAAAAAAAGCAAAAAAAAAAAAAAACGCGGTACCAGACGATCATTAATGCAAACTTCCGTTTCAAAAAATACTAGTGGCTGAATTAAAGTGTGGACATTAATGCAACTTTCCGTTTCCATGGAAAAATCCAATTCGACGCGGAATTGTTTTCCTTTCTAATTAGTCAATCGATGAGGAAAAAAAATTAAACTAACGTCATTTTTATCGGATTCTTTCATATAAACTAAAATGATTACTAGGAAGACAAACCGCGTGGAGTGATAATATCTACATTTTGATTACATAAAACATGTTAGATCTCAACCAATGAGAGGTGACGGAGTAATTAACAAAGCAAAGAATAACTAAAATGAGGTTAAAACAAAATAGAAGAACAACGGACAGAAAAAATTCTTAAGAAAAATAAATTCTAAATAAGGGAACAAATATAATCAGCTATCGTTTCAACTTCTTTCTCCTTGATTTCCTGGAGAAATAAAAGATTCTCATCGATGCATATAGATAGATAAACCCTTTTTTAGAGTTTCAGAAATTAGAAACGGTACCAAAGAAAAAAAGAGAGAGAATTACAAAAAAAGGATAATGCTAAATAGCGAAACGTCGTGGTTTCATCATGATCGCCGGCGTCTCCTCCTTATCGCCGTTGGGATTCTGGTCTCGTCTAGTTTGGTTTCCTTCTCTCATGGAGTTTCTTCTTCTTGCCATCTTACTTCCTCAGCCTCACTTCAAGGTTCTTCCCATTCATTATTTCTTTAGTATATTTTGTAAATGTAAACCATATTTTTTTTTTGTAAAAGTATCATGAAAAACAACCCTCTTTTCTCATGACTACTACTTGACACAACTTTGATTACCAAATAAAAATGTCATTTTTTTGTTCAACAAATTTGAAAAGGGATGGTTTTTATTTTGAAGGAGTGAGGAGGCAAATTCTGGAAGGAGGGAATGGTACATTGGTGTTAGCGGCGGAGAGGACACGGCGGCCTGACCCTCTCAACCATTTCAATATTTATACCGATGGTTGGAACGTTACCAATTATCATTACATCGCCGTGAGTCTTCTTTTGATTCCCCTAAATTCCATTTTCAAATTCAAATTGAAATGAAAACCTATGTGTTATAGAAACAGTGCTATAATCACCAGAAGAAATGCTCAAACCCCTTAATTTTGTTATCTTCTAATTTAGATCATTAGATTCGTTGTAGGCTATGAATCAAGGTTTCGAGGTACATTATGTAACAATAGATAGTTCACTGACCAAAGCAAAATAAAGATAAATACGAGGCATGTGCCTTGCGTGTCAAAATCAAAAAAGTTGACCTCTAATGGACCACTAAGCTAGTTTCAGAGCAGTTAGTGTAATAATTGATAGTACTGGACTAAAATTTAAATAACGAAACGTATGATGTTTTGTTGTTTTTGGGGGTGAATTATGTAACAGTTCATGTTATTTTGTTTGTTTCAGTCCGTTGGATTTTCTGCAGTTCCATTCATAGTAATAGCCATCGTGTGGTTCGTATTGCTCGGACTATTCCTCATATGCTCATGCCTCTGTTGCTGTTGCTGCGGTTGCGGCCGACGGAGCTACGGCTACTCACGCGTCTGCTACACTCTCTCTCTCGTCTTCCTCCTCCTCTTCACCGTCGCCGCTGTGTAACCACCTCCTTCTCCTCCTCCATATATAATTATTAATAACCCGTATTTCTAATCATTTCTTACGGTGTTGCTTTCTTTCAGGATTGCGTCTACGATGTTGTACACTGGGCAAAAAGAGTTCTACGGTAGCGTGGAGAAGACGTTTATGTACATTGTGAAACAAGCTACTGGAGTTTTGGGTAAGCTTACGAGCTTATGGGACTCGATTCAATCAGCTAAAGACATTCAGCTCGATGGACATAACCTGTTTCCTCCCGAGTTTAGAGGTAACATCGATCATTTCAACAACATGATCAAGATGTCTAACATCACTTATCCCGACCGTGTCGCTAATCAGACAATCCGTTATCTTACCGGAGCACTAAACCCTGTGTAAGTTATAATAAGATAGATGCCTTGCGTCACAATCTATATATATAAAAGCTCTGTTTGATTACTCGATTGATCAAATTCGTTTTCTTCAGGAGATTGGTGTTAAATGTGATCGCTGGTATTATGCTCGCAGTCGCATTCCTCGGACTATGTAAGTCCCAATTTTTTTTTAAACAATATTCGATCTGTTTCAATGATATTTTCTGTTTTAACATGCATGTTTGTGATTATGAAACAGTGTTTTCCTTCTGTGGACTGCGAGTTCTTGTCTACCTGTGAGTGTCACATTATATATACTTTATATAGACCAGTTGATAATTATGTAATAATTAATGGTTGCTTATCATTTATCAGATTAGTAATTCTGGGTTGGATTCTCGTCACAGCAACGATCATCCTCAGTGCCGTCTTCCTCGTCTTCCACAAGTAAGGACATTGATCATCATCATCATCATCACTTTGATGATCTAATTAAAGATCCAAAAGGTTTATTTTTCTTTTTAAATTCTAACCAAGTAATGATGTTTGCGCAATACAGCGTGGTTGCGGACACGTGTATGGCTATGGACCAATGGGTGCATGATCCAGCGGCAGAGTCAGCGTTGAGCCAGCTTCTTCCATGTTTAGACCCTAAAACCATTGGAGAGACGTTAGATATAACCAAGACCATGACTTCTACGGCCGTTGACATGACCAATGCGTACACGGTTAATGTCAGTAACCATGAGTTCCCACCTAATGCGATCCCTTTCTACCATAACCAGTCTGGTCCGCTCGTTCCTCTTCTCTGTAACCCACTCGACAAAAACCACAACCCTCGACCTTGTGCTCCTGACGAGATTCTCCTCGCCAATGCTTCTCAGGTACATATAATAACCAATTGGTAAATGATAAATTATTGATATATCATGTAAAGCTGTAACCAACTTTAATGTTGATACATTGTCTGCTTTTGTGTTGTTTTTGGGGTAAATATAATTAGATATACAAAGGCTTTGTGTGTCAAGTGAACGCAGAAGGGATTTGCATAACGCAAGGAAGGTTAACTCCAGCTTCATACGACCAGATGATGGGAGCGATCAACGTGGGGTTCACGTTGGACCATTACGGTCCGTTCTTGGCTAGTATTGCGGACTGCACCTTCGTCCGAGACACATTCAGAGACATAACGACCAAGAACTGCCCTGGACTCAGCATCACCAGCCAGTGGATCTACGCAGGCCTCGCGTCACTCTCTGGTGCGGTCATGTTCTCAATCATCTTCTGGTTGATTTTCGTCAGAGAAAGACGTCACCGATCTCATACTAAGAAGTCTATGGTCGAGATGAATAGGTTTTAGTTATCGCAGTCAGTCTATTGAGTGAGTGAGCCCGTATTATTACAGTTTTGATTTTAATAATGGCATTTTTTTCGGAAATGTTATCGATAAGCTCTCTATTTTTCGTTTAGAATAAATTCGTCTAATCTCTTATAGTTGTTTAATTTTCCTCTAGAAGGTGAGAACATATATAAATCAACAAATAGTTTTAGGTTCATAACCTCATTGTAGGAATTATATTATTGATGTTTCAATGTTGAACATTATATTTCTCTATGGTCGAGATGAGTATAGGTTTCAATACAGCAAGCCATTTAATGATTTTGAGAGCGAAACGCCATTCAATGTAAATACTAAATAGTAACCAAACCTTATAGTGACACGACGAATGTGATTATGGTGTTTGATTGCTATTTGTGCCTCAAGGTGGTGCAAAATCTACGTGTCCTTTTTTGTTTTGTTTCTTTTTTCCAAGTTGTCGAAATAGGTAAGATTTTTTCGTATTGGTTAGGTTCCGTAATAATTACTTATATTTATTTTTGGTGCATCATGGACCGTTCCATCTATTCTTTTGTCCGTTTTTGACTCGATGCATTGTCTCGTATCTGTTTATATTAAAAACAAGAAAGCTACATGTGATTCCTTCCATAGTATTAAGAATAAAATTTGAGAAATGGAATCGTTAAGAACTATGCTAAAAGTCATGCATCGGGCGGTCCACGCGGGGACGAATTCATAAACAAATGACCTCACGTGTTTGTTTCCAACCCAAAATCTTCACAAACCAACAAATTATTCTGTTTTGCCTTGTAATATCTATTACAAACCCGCATGGGAAATATCCTATGTTTTCTTTTTTTCCAAAAAAGAAGAAAGAATTAACCAATACGCATTGGTTGATTAATTATAAATTTCGTTTATGCAACAAAATAGTAGTAGGAAGTAAGGAACAAAAATTAGAAAACAGAAAGAGGTTATGAATTTTCTTGAGTCCCACCTGCAATTACTAAAAAATTAGTTTCTAAAGTAATGTAAAACCTGTCACGAATCACGCTTTTATTCTCGACTTTAAAAGAGATTAAGAAATGATAACGTATGCTTTAAATATATTACTCATTTTTTTAAGATTAAAGAAATGTGCACTTTATAAGGTAACACCATCTAGCTACCTCATTCTAATAAAATTCAAGACGACAAAAAAAAAAAAAAAAAAAAAAGGTAACACACCAAACTTTTATACACTTTAAAGCAAAGCAGTTCTAAATCGGAAGTGGAGAAGAAGAGAGCGGGAGAGAGAGAGAGTGATAGATCGGAGATGCCGAAGCTAGTGGAGAAATCGGGAAGCCGACCACCGTGGGTGGGATTGGCGGCCGCCGCATGGGTTCAGATGTCGGCGGGAAGCGGAGCGACGTTCCCGCTTTACTCCGCCGCTCTCAAATCGGTTTTGGGGTTTAACCAGCAGCAGATCACGATCCTTGGCGTCGCTTGTGATTTGGGAGAAAACATGGGTCTACTCCCTGGATACTCGAGCAACAAGCTTCCTCCTTGGGCGATGCTTCTCATCGGCGCCTCCTCTTGTTTCCTCGGTTTCGGTGTCCTCTGGCTCTCCGTCAGCCAAATCGTTCATGGTCTGCCTTTCTGGCTGGTAAGTAGCAAACCCATTTATAATTTCAATTTGTTCTGTTTTCTGATTCGAATTGTTTTGCTTTCTCTTTCGATGCCAAAAAGATGTGATTTTGGGGAACTTCTGGTGCCATAAATGGATCGAATCTTGTGTTATAAGTTCTGTCATCGATTAGATTTAGCAACATTTATCTGTGGTTATAGAGCGACTAATGCCACTAGCTTCTTCATCTCTAAGTTTTCGTTGTTTCGTTGATCACTGAACTCACAAGATTACTCTATTTTGTTGTTGACAGCTATTCATCGCTTTGGTGATCGCTGCGAATAGTAGCTCATGGTTCGGCACAGCAGCTCTTGTGACGAATATGAGGAATTTTCCAGTGAGCAGAGGCCCTGTGGCTGGACTTCTCAAAGGCTATATTGGGATCAGTGGTGCAGCATACACTGTCTTGTTCAGCGTCTTGCTTCACCATTCCGCTTCAAACCTGCTTCTGTTTCTTACCGTTGGCATTCCGGTTTTATGCTTAGCTGTCATGTATTTCATCCGTCCCTGTATCCCGGCCACCGGTGAAGACCCTTCTGAGCCAATGTATTTCGCTTTTCTGCTCGGCACAAGTATAGTTCTTGCTGCTTATCTCGTTGTGACGACTGTCGTTAGCGAGGTGTTCGAATTGCCAACTATACTCGGATATGCTCTTGTGGGTTTCATGGTATTGCTTTTGCTGTCCCCTCTTGCGGTTCCCATCAAGATGACACTTTTCCGTTCAAATCCCAAGAGGTCTCTACCGGGTTCCTCAGACAATCTAGCCAAAGAGGAAGGTGAAGAACCACTGCTGACGCCTTCTACCTCAGCTTCGAACCTCGGGTCTCTCTTCGAGGGAGATGGAGATGATGTGTCGGATATGGAGATACTTCTCGCTGAAGGAGAAGGTGCGGTGAAGAAGAAGAGGAAACCAAGGAGAGGTGAGGATTTCAAGCTTGGCCAAGTGTTTGTTAAGGCCGATTTCTGGCTCCTTTGGTTTGTGTATTTCCTCGGGATGGGTCCGGGTATTACGGTCTCAAACAACTTGGCACAGATTGGATTTGCCTTTGGGGTTAAGGACACAACGATACTCCTCTGCCTTTTCAGCTTCTTCAACTTCATAGGTCGTCTCTCTTCAGGTGCCATTTCTGAGCACTTTGTGAGGTAATACTAATAGTCTCTCTCTCTTTCTTCAATCTGTTTGACTGAATCGTTCGCTGAAAGAACATATCTCCTTGTTGCCTCAGGTCAAGTACAATGCCAAGAACAGTATGGATGGGAGCTGGGCAGCTAGTCATGGTATTGGCGTTCCTCCTCTCCGCCATGGCTATCGACAACAGCATTTACGTGGCGACTGCTCTTATCGCGATAGGGATGGGGTTCCAGTTCTTATCAATCTCCACCATCTCCGAGCTTTTTGGTCTCAGGCATTTTGGAATCAACTTCAACTTCATACTCTTGGGTAACCCCATCGGTGCCACCATTTTCTCTGCCTTCCTCGCTGGATACATATACGACAAGGAAGCCGAAAAGCAAGGGAATCCGACCTGCGTTGGTCCTGATTGCTACAGGGTAACGTTCTTGGTTCTGGCCGGTGTTTGTGGCCTTGGAACTCTGCTGTCTATTATATTGACGGTGAGGATTCGCCCGGTTTATCAAGCTCTCTATGCCTCTGGCTCTTTCCGGTTGCAGCCACAATCAACTGGTCGTTGATATGTTTAGACCAAACAAGATATAAAGACTATTATATTGTATTGTATCATGCCGCATTTTTGGTGGATGTATTCTAAGATTTTGTAACCTGTGTGTATTCAGCTGTAACCGGCCAAAAACCGGTTCGAAGAACCTATTGTATGAGCTACTTGATGAGGTTGTAACCGTAATGCGATAAGACTACTTATCAAGCTTGTCACATACATACACAGAGACTAAAAAAGCAGAGAAGGTAAGGTAATGGAGGAGACTTGGTTACATCAACAGAGAACCTAATTCTATGTTTCAACTGCTAAATAATTAGCCCAACAAACATAAACAAACCAACCACACACACTGTGAAACAGAGCCCAAAACTCAAATACATGGTGGAAGAAGCCTAAAAATCCCATGTCTCTCACTCACCATCTATGTGCTTCCGCATCAGATCGAAAAGAAGAAGCTAAAAAGTTGCAAGATTTGATCAAGTAGGTTTCAGATTTTGAAACATTGAATCCCACTTAACCTCTGCAACATCTTTCCCCGAGGAAGTATCATCAGCATCGCAATCCTTGTCCTCTTTCAAACCGTAATCGAGAACCATTGGATTCGAGGAGAAGCTATCAAACCTACAAGGAGCCCCGTTGGTCAGCAGAAGTCTCTCTTCCTTACCGAATCCTCCGCCATTTCCGTTGTTCGGCATCACCGATCTCTTGTTCCTCTTCAACAAAGCGCCTCTCCATCTCCCCTTGCCGCTATTACCGCTCGGAACAAGCACGAGAGCCCGAGACGATTCCTCGCGTCGGATCCAGCCCCGGACATACTCGGAGAAGCATTTACCGGTTTTCCTAATCGCGATCAGGACTCTGGAAACCGAACGAGCGGTGAGCGGAGACGGCTTCCGATCCCGGCGAGCGAGCTTGAGGATCTCGAGGCGGTGTTTGGCGATGGAGATCCCCATGCTCTGGAGAAACTCGTGGTTGAAGTAAGTGATGTCTTCGTACTCGAGCTCGTTGTGTGAGAAGGAGAGACCGTACTCGTAGATGAGGGAATCTTCGAGATTTGTTCGAGAGAGCCATGAGAACCAATCCATTGTTGCCTCTGCGAATGCGATTGAAGAAGAAACAGTTTTGGTGAGAGAGAGAGAGAGAGAGTGTGGTTTGTTTGTGAAGGTAAAGTCGTTGCTCAATGAGAGTATATATAAAGAGAGACGGTTGGGGTTCTTTTCGACTTTTTCAAAAAGTTGGGGAGCTTACTTGGTAAGGTGGGTGAACCATGGACTAAAGCAGACCAAAGTGATAAAGAAAGGGGTCCAAATATGAAATTAAAGAAGTTCACACATCTTTGGCAAAAGCCATTGAGGAAATTGTATAACGAGATTCTAATAAGAAAATGATATAAACACAACACATGGAGATAACTGAGTGTGTCCATTAATTACGGTGTGGGAAATGGAGCATATGCTTTTTTGGATCACTATCTCTAGTATTATCTATTTTGTTCTATTGACTACTTTTTATTATATAAAATTTCAAAAATGCAAAGGAAACTACCATGACGCTCACACATACTAAACAGATTAGACCTTTAATTTTATAGACATCGTCCGTCATTTGTATTATCCTCATTACTAAACTAAATAAAAATGCTTCCTCTTCGTTACCGGTAAGATAGATTAGTTAACTGAATACTTATAATCAGTATTATCTTCGTGGTTAGGTCAACCAAGGATAACCAAAACAAAGACACTATTACGGATATCTAAATTCACCTCTTGTAGGCTGTAGTCAACCATTTTATGTATTAATTCGTGTGATAATGTATTGTTTTTCTAATTTAATTACTTTAAGTCAATGAACACAAATCCATTTTTTATGATTATCTTCAGTTTGTTTTTTTTGAATTAAGGTGGAAGATAAATGCTGTGATTACAAAACCATTGAGCTTTTAAGAGATTATGCGTGCCATTATTATTGAATGCTGTGATTACAAAACCATCGACACTAGTGGATGCAATCATGCAAATATCCATCAGTCACAATCAGAATGTTGTGCAAACATATCTACAAGACTACAACTATAAACTTATATATCTACAGAGATAAATATAAGACACGATTGGGAATCATGAGCATGTGGAATTTAAACTAGTGTTCATATGCACTACCAGGCACCAGCTAGCTTCCACCTCTATTTTCGGTTTGGCTATACAATTTTTTAAAGTTTACCAATCATAAATCATAACGACCCAAGAAGACATAATAGCAGGAAGAAAAAGTATGATGAAAAAGAAGAGACCAGAATATTCATAACAAAAGAATCAAAAATTGCGTATATATAATATCATAAGAATCTTGGTCTGTATACATAGAAGTCATGGGTATGATGAAAATCTCGTTACCTGAAACAATTCACAAACCGGAATCTTTAGGCTTAGCCTGAACAAACGCCACTGATCAAAGATCAGGTGCACGTAGCAGTCACAATTCACAAAACTGAAGACTTCCGGTTCGGTATTGGACTGAGAATCTCTCTGATTGTATAACAAATCTACAAGACCCCTGAGTACCGCTGAAAGTAAATCAATCTGATTTGCTCTCCATGCTGTAAATGTTGCCAATGGTTCCAACAACGCTAACCACAACCGCCAAGATTAGCATCAACCACGACACATATCTTTCCACAAAGCTTAACGAATTGGTCTCTTTCCCTAACCGTAATGCAATAAGAGCAGGGAATGTAAAACCAAGCGAAACCGCTGATGTCGCGCCTGTGAATTTGAAAGCAGTCCATATATTCGGTATCATCGTTGATCCAATGTAGATAAGAGCCAGCAAAACCACCGTGAGCCCCAATGATCTCTTCTTGCTTTCCGATAGAGGCGGCGAGCTTTCAAACAATAAGGTATTGACGGTTTCTCTCAATGAGAAATGGATCACAGGGAAGACGAGAACTAGATGAAGAATGTAACCGATCCTCACAATGTAATTCACAGCAGAGCTGAAACGAATGCCGAGATCTTGATCAAAGTTGGTCAAGATATCTGCTTCGGTGTCTATACCGAAGAGGAGATAACCGGAAATTGCAGTAGAAGCATAGACAACAACACAAATCGCCGTTGTGATTCTCCCAACTCTGTTCATCTTATGAGGCGATCGACCTTCGAGCTCGTTGTAGATCGGCTGTACATTGAAATGACAAACGTAAGCGTTTGACATGATCGGAATCACCACGAGAAGATCCAAGATTGCTTTTTTGGAACCGAAATCAGGAGTCATCCTCGGAGGGTCGATAGTTCCTTCGATGAGCTTAATCGTAGCGACAACGAAACAAACAACAACGAACACAACCGCAAGACCCACTGAAGCAGCTGAGGTTAAGCTTAAGGAATCAATCTTGTTCAAAGCACAGAGAGGAGCCAAGAAGATGATCATGACAATCAAAATCAAAACTTTCCGGTGATCCCAGAAACCATTTCCTAACCACTGATCCAAAACCCCAATGTGATGAAGCGAACCAGACATGACGTCACCCATGATGATGAGATAAACAACGAGAACGCCGCCGTTGTTGACGATGATGCAAATCTCAGATAAAACCCTAGCGGTTTTCCCCAATGCGAACTGCACAACCTCGCCGTAAGATCTGGACTTGTAGAGAACTGAAAATCTAATCAAAAGCTCGACACTAATCTCCGACAGAATCCCCATCAGGATGATCAAAACAAACCCTAGGACCAAGCCGAGAACTTTCATGGTCGCCGGCAATGCCATGATCCCGGCGCCGATAATCGATGTGGTGAGGTTGAAAACCGCACCGTAGATCCCAGATCCTTGATTGGGTTTCCCGTAATCGGCGATATTGAAATCCAGATCATCGCCTTCTACGTCGCCAACACTGTTGCGGCTATCGTCGAAGTCATTCACGAAGCTTTCTTCATCAGAAGGAAGCAGCAATTTGGTTCTGGGTTTTCCCGGGATTCCATTGGTCGTCTGCTTCTGTAATTCTACGTAAGAATTTTTGGAGATGACAGAGTAACTGCTATCCATTCGCCAGATCTGATACAAACACCCTCTAAAGTCGCGATTGAACGAAAATGAGAGGGAATAAACTTACAGATCTTCCGAGATCACAGAAGACGAAAAAGGAGACTCTTTTTTTTTAGATTGTTCAAAAAATCAAATCTGGAGTATCTCTCGGATTAAGGGTCAACGTCTCAATTGGTCGTTCTTCCTGACTCGTCGGCGAGAGAGAGAGAGAAAAGGAGATAGTTTGGATTTGGAAAGAGAGAGGAGGAGAGAGGTAACTTCTAATCTAACTATTGGTGCTTTTTCTTCACACGTGGTGTCTCTATTCCTTAATGTTAACGATTGTATTAACAGATTTCTTACTTCAATAAAGTCTTCCAATACATTCTTTTGTGGTTTGGTTTGGTCAAGATTGATTTTCTTACTTGAATAAAGTCTCTTACAGTATTAAATGGTGATTAGACAGCAATTAAAGTTTCACATTCACTTAACCTGTTAGCGTTTAATCGTTTTCCAATACATTCAACCTTTCTTCCTTTCTCTGTTTACTAGTACTAATATGGATCAAGGAGAGAGACTTGGTAACAACCGATGACGAAATTATGGTTGGATTGAATATGGATCATTTCTCTTCTCATATTAAAACGAGGAATCTCAACATTAACATTTGCTTGAAGAGTTTCAGAAATGGCAGAAACCCAACACTAAACATAAGAGAGCAAGAACTGGAAAATGGATCCAAGAAAATTGGGCTTTGGATTGGACCTCTCATCCACTAAATGCAGCAGGATCTCCGTTGTCTTCTCTACAGATACTTTCTTGCAAGTGCACGTACCTTGGTGTCAAAATGTGTGGATGTAATCCGAGAACCAGGCAAATACAAGGGATTCAGAAGAATCTGCCATGAACAAACGGTTTTGATGATGGCGATTGCAATATTTGTGTTATGACAGAAACTAACAACAGACAATCCATCAGATCAAGAAATTTGGTTTACCTTCATATAAAGCTCATGCACCTCCTGAAAGAAGCTCTTGATGCCGTCCTCATTGCGTGAATCATGGAGGAGCATGAGCCGTGTATGTGTTGATCAATTAAGGAAAGAAACAAACATTTGACATTGGAGAGGAATCTGTTAATCTGACATCATAAAACGATTTCCACTTTGCTATTTTGATTCCAAGTATAAAAAGGATATGGCCTGCAGTAACATAGACTGACCCAACCAGGTCGTTAAACTTGTCGACGGACTTCAAGAACCTGAAAGTGTTACATAATAATGAGATGAATCCCTATGAAACATAATGAAAACATATAATTTCACTAAGGGACTTTAGTACTTACATGGCACTTGTAGTCCATGCTAGGTCTTGGACGATGTCTAAAGCTGCATGTAATATAAACTGGTGCAACTGAGCAGCATCTTCTCTCTGCCAAATACGGAGAATGGTGTAAGAGACTGATGAGCAATTTTTAACAACTAGACCAACATACCAATTGGTATCACGGTTTAAACATATGCTACAGCTAGATGAAGATATAAACACACAAAAACAGAGAAACTTCCATCATTAAGCAATGATGATCAACCATATGATAGACCAGAAACCAATTAGTCATGAAATTAGCCATAGAAGATCTTAGAGCACCACAATTTTTAGAAAAAAACTAGTAAGAACAAGGCCTGCTTGCTTGGTCATGTAAATACAAAAACATGGTGAAAACGTTCCTCCACCAAAATGTTTTTGAACAAGAGTAATAGCCACCTTTTTCAAATCACCAGCTAAATGAGAAGAATGGTGCAAAAAAGGAAGAAGCAAGAACATGTACTACAGAGTTCAATGATTCAGATTCAATTTTCCGGTGAAAGTGGAATAGGGAATGTACTTTAGCAGGAGATCCAACTTCAGCTTCGTAGATGGGAATATCATTCCGAGCCACGATTATAAAGCAGGCAGTGTTATTAGCCATTCAAATTCAAACAGAAGAGACTAGAGATCTTGTGTCTCCTGAATAAAAAGAAGAACACACAGATATCAAATTCATGATTCATCTTGTTCCACTAATCTGGGGAAACAGAGAGCTCAGGAGCAGTATACAAACCTAAGCTAGAAAATCAACATTTCCACAACAACTCGCATTTCCTTTTTCTAATTCGTGATCCAGAAACTAGCTATGCAATACAAATTGAAGGATTGCAGAAGAGAAATATCTGTTCCCACTTATCCAGGACTGTAATTGGTTGATTCGACAAACCTTGGAAAAGGGAGGAAACGTACGTCTACTGAGGAAGGTCACATGAGCAATGCGAAAGCTTCGGGAAATGCAGCCAAACAGGATCGCACAAATGGATCCTAAAATGGAGAAATTGATCCTGAAAATGACGATACTGGGGACTGATCAAACGCGATGAATCACCATTTCTACAGATTCGAGATTTTAAATCCAATGTTTGGTTGTGTCAGAGAAGAAGATCAACAAACGAGGCCGTTCCAGCTCTTTACTGGGCTTTAAGCCCATATCCTCCAATTTTGATTAGCATGTAATAATTACCAAAATTGCCACTACTATTTCTTATTTTCGCTGGTTTACGGAAGACATTCGGTTTAGTCATACACTCATACTGAATGTCGATTTATCCAGATTAAACATTCCATACTTTTACAAAATTGTGTAGAAGATTCACAGGATTTTATGTCTTTAGGGAAGCTTCAAACGTTGGGACACACAACCATTATACTAATATCAACCGTGGAAACATTTAAAGAGCCAAAAACACATTTTTTTCTGGTTCTTGTCGTCGTCATACGCGATAAGAGAGAGAGAGAGAAACAAAACTCATATTCCAAAATAAAGAGTTTGCGGCAACGTGAATGGATACGTGGAAACTGAGTCTTATCTACATGCTAAAGAAAGTCGCATAACAACGGCAGGGACAACCGACAACTTCTCTGGGAAAGCAATCACTATATCGCGATTATATGAGATGGTGATAAATTGAAGAATATAGAAATAGCAAAGCAATTAAGCTTTTAAGAGGAGGGGACATACGTAAGTGGAAAACGACCAATCGTGAACACCCTTCGCGCTCCCTTCTCATGTACGTTCATTTTATCGTATCTTATTAATTTGTCTACTTGGAAAATTATATTTTTGTGAACTGCAAAAGCTATCCCAGTTATAAAATAAACAAGAACAATATAATCTTGCTAATAGGTAACAATATCCAAAATCTAAATAATTAAGATAGTGCGTCTAATACTTAGTGGGGTTTATGAATGTATAATGTATGAACATGGTATTGACTAGTTGAGATATGAAGACACTTTTTAGCATTTACTTTTGTTTGGGTAAAATTTTAGTATTTGATGTTGTTCGTTCATTTTTACGTTACTGGGATTTACTTTTCAGTTTGAAAACAGGAATAACAGTTACCACGCAAGAGTGACGATAGCATTTTGATGCGAACTAGCGAATTTATGATTAATAATTGAAGAGGGTATCTATACTTAGATTTCGGACAGGGGCGTGTATTGTTTACACAGAGATCAGATCAACGCAGCGGGGGTAACATCGATCGTGAATGATTATTAAGACAACTTTAATGAAACATGTTGGTGAGAATTTAATTATCCCGTTAGACTTTTGGACAGACTCGCCAGAGGGGACCCACGTCCACTGCTTTTTGGCCGGAGACTTACTGACAAAAGATGCAGTTACTTACTGACCATTCACTTCTCCATCTTTTTAATGTCCAATTGCCCAATAAATAACAGTTCCATTTATTTATGATGTTTTAGTCTTAGTTACTTTTAATTATTTAAAAATAAATAAAAAATTAGTTATGTAAATGATACAGTGAAAATATGAATTTGATTGAGAACGTACATTATAGTTAAACATAAGAAATATTTATTACAAACCTGAATATGAGTTTTTTTTTTTTTTTTTTTTTTTTTATCAAGAACAGAGAGCCATTTCTCTACCAGATGCATTCCCTTAACCTTTTGAAAAGTAAATATAAGTCTATAATCAGTTTTATAAGTAATAATTACATCATGCACATGTACCTAGTGGCTTTGAAACGTATCATACTGGTGGACTGACGAGTTGTTGTCTGATATTGACATCTTAATTTATAACTCTCCTTTTCATTGTTATAATGTTCCTTACTAACTTTTGATTGATAATTAGACGTTGACCTACCAAACCAAACATTTAGAGAAAAAAAAAAAAAAATTTGACCAAAGGCTCAGTAAGTAATATTTTTCGTTCTTCATTTCCTCCTTTTTTTGTGACAAAGTAACTCCTATAACCTTTTAAAAAATGAATATTACTCTTTTATGAGCATGCCATCCAGAGCTATAAGTGGTCAAAATTTAATAAAAAAACCTATATATAGTAGTAATAATACTATAAAATATTGATTTAAATTTAAAATATACATTTGTATATTTAATAACAGCGAGTTCACTGGATTATACAGCTAAATTAACTTATACAAATAACCAGTTCTTCAAATATACTATGTATTAACATTACTAGAAAAGTAGATACTAGCTAGTGTTGTGTTGCCGTGTAAATAAAGAAGAATAAAACTATGCTTTTCAAAAGTTATACTTTTCTTGTGCACCCATGACTTTAGAAAAGAAACCATTAACATTTTTGAGCAATTTAAAAAAAAAAATCTTATTCTCGTACAAAAAACTTTAAGGTAATACTAATGACGTACAACTCGATGTCTCAAATGAACAGATTAATATTTGTAGAAATTAAATTATAAAAAAGATCCCGGATAACATCATCAGTCAAATTTAAACCATCTAAATATATATCACATTCACACGACCAAACAAAAAAATTATATCACATTCACATCCATGAACTATCACAATTATGTTGTGATATAATATGGGCGACCCTTTTGTGTTATTTAATGAGTAACTAGATTTGATTGATACACAAATGTACAAAATAAATTCATATCAAAATTATGTGATGACAAAATTATTCCCTCAAAATAGTTTAAAAAATAAAAGAGGAAAAAAGAAGGGGAAATTTGAAAATTACACCTTTTGATATGCCAATTTTTAAAAATACACCTCTATGGTGCTAATTTTTAAAACTACACTTTTTTTTATTTAGTAAAAAAACTCTAAACCCTAAAATATAAATCCAAAACCCTAAAATCTAATATTGAACCCTAAAATTTAACATTGAACCCTTAAATGTAAACCCTAAACCCCAAAATCTAAACCCTAATATAGGATTAGTGAACCCAAACATATATATTAAAATTGGGGAAGGGAAAGATGTATTTTTGAAAATTTTCATACTATAGATGTAGTTTTGAAAATTTGCACCTCAAGAAGTGTATTTCATAAAATTTCTCGATGAAACTACTCTACTTTTTCAACTTTCAAAAACACACACAAATCACACCCTTTCCTTGGTTCAATTATCTCTCCATCACGTGATATTCAACGAGTACCGCATTTCAAGAATAAATGGCAAATTAGGTAATATTTGTCATTTCAAGGGTAGGGGAACTTCTCAGTTCTCAGAAGGAAAAGCTTTGTCGTGTAATGACGGATCTGTGGGGCCGCAGCTACTTTGCTCACAAAAGGCATGTGTAAACCGTTGGATTAATATCCACAGATTCATCGTACCAGATGGACGGTTTTTACCGAAGATGTACTCTTGTCGCGAAACAGAAGATCATGCCTCCGTGGAGCACAGCGAAGCAACTAGAGATTCCGAGCCGATAGCGTCGAGAATTGTAGCCGGCTAAGTCGCATACCCTGCTTTAAGTGTACTTATGAATAAGTCATTGCACTTATCAGAATCAGCTTCCTCATCGTGTAATAGGTGACTCTTCTTATCACTCTCCGTTATCCGTCACCTTCGCATATTAAAAAAATGTCCTTTTAAGAAAAATCAAATTAAAATCTCCATTTCTCTGCAAGAGATTTAATGCTCTAGGAGAGAGAAAACCTGTTTATTTTCTCTTTTTTTTTTTCGGTCGTTAGAAGAAAAAAAGAGTCCAAAAACCAAATCCTTCATTTTGAGGAGAGAGAAACTCAGAGCAAGCTCTGGAAATCGATCTCTTCTGTTCTTCATGGTAAGTAAGCTTCACGCTTCTGGAATCTAGAGCTCTTTGAATTTTTTTTGTTTTATTTTTTTTAACCGTAGCTTTTCTGGGTTTTTGCTTTTCCCCTTTTGATTTGTTTTGTTTTTTTGCTTTTTTTTGGGTTGTTCATGTAGTAAAAAGATGCTCATTTGAGCTATTTAATTCGATAGACAATAATACTAGGAAGACCCTAATGTTTCCCGATTTTCACCCTATAATTACACTAACTAATGGAGTTTTTTGGAGAATTTTCCGGAGATGGTTTAAACTTTAAAGATCTAGTCAAGAGGGTATTTAATTTCTAACTCCCATTTCCGTTACTTTTTTTTTGTTATTTAACTATTTCCAGGAATATTTGAAAACCCAGTTTTGGATGATGATGTTCACTCATGGTTATCAATTATTGCAGATCTGGTGATAGTTTTGGTTCGTTTTCTGCATCTGAGCTGAAAAAAAGTCTTGAAGAGAGAGAGAAAAAAAACATGTCTTCTCTTAGTAGAGAGCTCGTGTTCTTGATCTTACAGTTTCTAGATGAAGAGAAGTTCAAAGAGACTGTTCACAAGTAAGTTTTGTTCTGTTATCTATTCTCGTTGGAATTTTCTTAATATCTGGCAATGCATTAACTTTGATATTCTGAAAATTGAAAATAGGCTTGAACAAGAATCTGGATTTTACTTCAATATGAAGTATTTCGAGGATGAGGTGCACAATGGAAATTGGGATGAGGTGGAGAAGTATCTCTCTGGTTTTACAAAAGTAGATGATAACAGATACTCCATGAAAATATTCTTCGAGATAAGGAAGCAGAAGTATCTCGAGGCATTGGATAAGTAAGTAGTAG